TTTCTTCAATGTTGACAGTAGAACTTGGGTAAAAGCTGGGGCCACCATCATCTGTGTCCTTTCTAACTGGAAGCTGAAAGATTGAGTTTGGATCAATGTCTCCAAACATTTCATCTGAGCTGCTAGAATTTTCAGGAGATGCAGACTCTAAACAAACACCATCTTTGGGTGAGAGTTGAATGGCGGTGGGATCAGCTGTTGCATGAAGCTCCATTTCTGGGGTTTTATCCTGATTGGCTCCTGGTGTAACATCTGCTGCAGAGGAGGGACTCTTTATTGATACTGTTTCTGTGAGTCTAGCAGGCGGAGGTTGATCCAGCGTGTCGTCAGAGGAATCAATGAAAGGAGCAGTAAAATGGGTTTTTGATTTTTTCATTCTTCTGTAGCTGCGCCAATTTCCCTTCTTCTGTTTATAACTTGAAGAAGAGACAGGAGAGTTAACTGGGGAAGAGCCATCGAAGGGTTGTTGAAGGTGAGAATCGGCAGCCAGAACCAGACAGGTGTTTTTTGTCGGGATGATGGACTGAGTGCCGGTAGACGTGTTGGACATGGAGCCAGAGTAATGGTTAAAATCTCCGGGGTTGCCAGGATTTGTTCTTTGTGCTGAGCTGGGGCCAGCCCCCAAATCTCTGAGGTCTGACTTTTCATGCAATGCTTGATATGAACCACTGACATAATTCCAGTTAAATGGACCTGAGAACACAGTTGACTGTGGCAGACGTTCAGTCAGTTCAGACAGTGATGGATAGTTCAAAGGAAGCTGAGGGAGAGGATGTAACCCTGATTTATGCCAGCTACCCCAATCATAAAGACCCGAGGACCCATCATCTGTGTCCTTTCTGTTTTGGACCTGAGACCTTGCAGCTGAGTAGTTCTCAGCTGTGAAAGGTGCATCCATTTCCACATGAGCATCACTGACATCTCCTGTATTGCTTTCAGACTGCACAGACAACAGCTCAAAAGCATCTTGTGTTCTGCTTTCTTCAGTGCTGACAGTAGAGTCATGGAGGAGTCTGTGCCTTCTTTGTGGACATGGAGGGCGAGCAACAGTTGGGGCCGTAAACTGTGAGGAGGTGTGTCTACTTAAAGTAGATCTTTGTCTGTTTTCAAGATGTACGACCCTGCATAGTGAGGGTGAAGGAGTTGAAAGACAATCAGCACCTTCATAGTTAGATGACAGATTTTCATATTCAGTATGGAGAAAGCATCCTCCATCAGATGTCTCATCCTGTCGGCGAGCATTACAGTGGACAGTGGAAGAATTACCTCTGGACAGATTTCTCCTGATTATTTCGGTTAATCTTCTTGTTCTTATATGTTCTTTCATGTCCTGTTCAACTGTTCCTTTCACACTTGCCTTCATTTTGCTGGATTCATACTTGTCACAATCAGAGTCAGTGGAGTCTGTATCGGTCGTGTAATCGCAGCTTTCTTCTGGATACAGAGGGCCCACATCAGAAGTGGTGATGGACCAAGAACTGGTGGGCGGGTTGAACAAGGAAGGACCGTTAAAAAAACGGAGCCTGCTACAGGAAGTCACGGCAGAAGGATGTGCTGATGTTGTGGATTTCTCCTCCATGTCACTTTTGGTTTTGCTGCAGCTGACAGTGCTCAAGCTGCCGTACAGTGAGAGACCTGGTGGTTCAGGTGATTGTTGACTGACGTGATTACGTATGGACTGGGCTGAGCTAATGTGCTTGCTTGGTTGTGTTAGAGAAGAGCGAAGAGAAGAAAGCAGAAAGTACTGACGTGTGCTAGATTCACTAAAGCGGCGCGCGTCATCTAAATAAGAGACTCTTTTTCGAGACGGCTGACCCTGAACACCATCCTTCAATAACTTCCCATCAGCAGTCGTCTGTTTTTGTGAGATGGAAGTTTGACTTATATGTTTGAATAATGAGTCACTTCTATCTTCATTTAACTCCTCCTTCTCTGCCCTTGAGTCACCTGTCTTCTCACAACTGCCTGCGCCACACTCAGTGGAGGAGGGACACAGGGTTTTTCCCTCTTTTGGTTCCATCTTTTCTTTTTTCAACTTGATCCCAAGAAGCTTTTAAAACTCATTCTGCATGTTTCCTGCTCTGATTTTCTTCTTGTCCCGGACCCTAAAATAAAGAAATGACATTAAAACATACTGGGATGACTTTACCTTACATTGTGTTTTGGCCTTTACAGTGTGTAGGATTTAGTGACATCTAGCAGCCATGATGAAGACTCCGGATTTTAGAATGAAAGATGTGGGCTCCAGAATAATGTTTTTAATTATAACTGTATTTAACAAATTTAACACTCACTGTGAGAGAGGTCTATCAAAAGATATATGTTCACTCATTTGTTCTTCTTTGCCAGTTTTGCTCATGTCTCTGTTAACACTGTTAAACTGTTCAGTCTGTAGCTTAGTAAACACGAACAGTAATTAGTTAGCAGGTCTTTTCATGTTACAAGAGAAAATGTGCTTGAAGAGAGAACAGCATTAAATGGACTTGTTCCCACATGCACATCCACACACGCAGTCATTATTTCAGTATCATATAAATAAGCAGAACTTCTTACCCGTGTTATGGATGGATTAACACATCAGCTGCGGACAATCTCTTCAACCTTGAAACTTTTTATATCCTGAAATCAGAATAAATGTTGAGCTCTTCTCTATCGGTTCTCTGTCTAATTTCCACTCTGGATGACGAGTGTCGCCTCCACACCTTCCAACCAATTACACATTGTATTACAGCAGGTATTTCTGCCTGTGGGATGACTGTATGTTTCAGGGAAGTGAGAAATCAAGTCTGCTCATTCAGTTACAAGAACATGACTTCAAGGTTCTGTTTCAAAAGTCTAATTCAATGTTATAACAAATGGAAATGTATTTATCATTATACACCACAAGGTTTTATAACAAAAGGTGGGTTTGCAGCTCCTTCATGCTACACACACAGAAAATTAAATGCATAGAATGACATAAAATAAATCAAATGAACCAATATGTGCAGTTATTTACATACATATACACCTGTGTACCCCTGTACACTGTCTCTGGCTATAGCACAGGTTACTGAATCTATCAACCTCACTGTGATCATAACACTTTATGTCCAGCTGTTGTTCAGCTACAATTTGTTTCAGCATGTAATTACGCCAAAAACCACAAATTGTTTCCACAGTTCTGCTTCTGTAAAGGTTAAACATGTTTTACTTCCTTTTTTTATCATTAAAATTAGGTCAGAGACTTGCTGTTCCCCCTGCTTTAGGTTTTTAATGTTATCCTGACTTCAGCTGCGCACTCAGTACACACACGATACTGATATCCATCTTTAAGAAAGAAAGCAAAGAAGCGTTGTTTGCAAAAGGTTGAACTGTTCCTTTAAAAAAATGTATTAATGTCACCGTATACTGGAGATTTGATGTACAAGATCCAGAAGTAAAAAGTACAATAGGAGCAGAAATATGAATTAGCATGAAATGAAAATGTACTTAGTCACTCTCCACCACTGATACGTAGCCTATAACATACTGTGAGTAAAACATAATGGTGGAGATGTTCTGGTGTATTATTTGTTGGAAAGATATGACTGGGATTAAAATGTTGTTTATTTAAATACATCTGTTGTGTGGTTGCTGTTGCTTCAGAGCTGTATGGCAGAGATTGGTTGGAAGTCACTAAAGATGTACAACATCCCACTGGGCTTTTTTAAAAATCATTTAAAGATTTGACTTATGAGTCACACAGCGAACTCCAGAACAGCTACTGAATGGATCTTGCAGTGAGGTTGTTGAGCTGTTTCCAAGGTCAAGAACGCAATTTTTAGTCTCCATATTTATGCAGCAGCAGGCCGCATCTCCAAAGATGTTTCCAGAATGATATAACTTTTGGCCTGGGCTAAACCAACATTTAATCATTTGTCTGTTTCAGGCAGACAAGCGACATCTGTGAGATCACAAAAACACTTATTAAGACAAAACCAGCTGCTGGGAAACTGGTTAAACTTGACATGATCAGTAGGGATGGGTGTGTGTTAGAATCTGGTGAAATGTACAGATGCAAAATGATGCTGTCATTGCCACAGTATAATGCACAACTATAACTCTCTTAAAGGACTAGACTCCATCGAAGGTTCCCAGCAGCGTCTGGACATAAAAACAGTTCATTTTAAGGTCACAAAAACACAAAATTCCTATATTCAGGTGATTACACACCTATGATTATTATATTCCATTTCTGCTGATAGAGCCCCTCAATGTTACACAACTGACCTTTAATGCATCCATAACAAATCCCCCTTTAGGTTAGATACCATTCAAAAAAGATGTTTTTTAAATAGAAATCATGAATGTAAATCCTTCGTAAACAGTGACAACAAATAGTTGTACAAAAACCATTCAGTAGCTAAGAGTTAATCAATATCAACAACAACATTACAACAACATAAGTGCTGATACCAAAATCTGTGATAAGCGAAAAGCTACAATTAGATATCAAACAGACCCAGTAGTCACAGTCAAAAATAGTATATAGACAATAACAGCCATAGGCTTTCTCTTGCATCTTGTTATATTTCCATTTGCACAATGTAAAAAATATATAATTAGATTTTATTGTCATCTCATTTGGATCCACATTAGCACCTTAACTGACACCTGGTTCTTGAACCTGACAGAAAGCAATAAAACGTACCTGACACCATAAAACATAAGTGAAATAAACCATCAAAGGTGTACAAACATCAAACAGAAAGCATCAGTGATTGGTAAAAATCAGGTGACAAACATCCATATCTACAGTTGATTGATTTGAATGGGAAAAATGGACTAGATCAAGAACGGTGACTGATGCAGGGAAAAGTCTTTTATGGGAGTTACAGAATGATCAGTTTCTAACCTTCAGGTCAACATGTTCTGCATGTATCACCTGTTCATTCAGCTTCAGATCAACCCGAGGTGTTCAGAGAGGAAGGGGTCGACCTCACAGAGAAAGTCAATTATCTCTGAACCAGCAGCTTCACCTTTCTTCCTCACTGTGTCGATAACAAAACGAGCTTTGTCACTTTTGTTTTGGATCTCGTCCGCTGACTCCCTCTCAGAATCAGTCAGCACCGTTTTCTCAAACAGTTTGTCCAGCAGACTTTTGAGAACAGGTCCTGATATCCCATCGATGAAGCTGCTCCGAATGTCCAACAGCCTCTCATCTGAACTGCCCTGCACACACCTTTTTACTGCACTGGATGGAAGACAAACTCGTCTTTCCCAGACACTGTGGGGGCTTTTGGTTTCTCTCAAAAACAGTTTAATATGTTTCATGATTTTTTCTAAAGTCACCTGGAATGATGGGAAGTAGTTGTCATAGTTATCACAGTCAAATTCTGCTTCTGTCGGTTCAACTAGAACTGAGTCGTCTTCAGGACAAGTGGACAGTTTGTATTCCTGCTTTGGGTGCAGTTTACAGTGGGGGGATGTCTGTATGAGGCTCTCCTCTCCAAATAATTTCTTCCTGGTGCGCAGCACATCCCGGAGCACGACGTTCATCGGTAGCAACAACACATTGAGGAGGGAGTCAAGATCAGGATCAGCCGGGGGTCTGTAGAACAGCAGAACCAGTGCTCGGACCGGGTCAGGTGGGCAGTCTTCATCCTTGACGTTACCGAAACCAGAAAACCCTGTGATGTTTATGATAACATGAGTTTCTGTTATCTTATGAGGGGCGATGAACTCGATGCTGTCATCATTCACATGAGCAACTGACAAGAATCCACAACCACCTGTGGAGCGGATCTCACAGTGTGGGAGATGAAGCTGACACATAGACTGCTGGACACATTTGATGTCAAACAGGGGTCCTGCAGGCTGCTTGTGATGTTGGCCCAGTAGCCTCCTGTCCCAAGGGACAATCCTGTAGACCACGTCCCCTTCTCCCTCCATGTGGAACAGCAGACCTGTCACACTGCACTGGTACAGGCCTGGGCAGGAGCACTGGAACCTGTAGCTTTCATCGTTCTCATCAGCAGTGATATCAGGTGTAAACTCCTCAAAGCTGTTTTTGAACAGCATGTCAGGTAAGCTCTTTGCTCGTGTAAAGGTCTTGTTGTCTGCAGAGGTTGTTAGACTCAGTGAGGGAACGCTGTGAGAGCGAGACAAACAGCTGGAGTCTCTTTTACTGGAACCAGGATCTGAAGAGTTGTTCTGGAGGTGAGAACGGGCTGGCAGGGTGTTTGTGGCTGAGTAGTTCTCAGCTGTAAGAGATGCATCCATTTCCACCGGAGCATCACTGACATCTCCTGTATCGCTTTCAGACTGCACAGACAACAGCTTAAAAACCTCTTGTGCTCTGCTTTCTTCAGTGCAGACAATATAGTCCTGGAGGGAGGGAGATCCGAAGGAAATATCTGAATAGCAGTCTTCGTAGTCATATGAAGCATTAGAAACCAAACATTTACATCTGGGAATCCTAAAATTTAAATCTTCAGAACAAGGTCGATGAAACATTGCATTAGTTGTCTGAGTTTTAAGACGAGGGCGAGTGTAGACAGGAGAGGAGGAATTGCCTCTGCGGATCCTGGACTGGTATGGATTATAATTTTCATCATTGGTCTGATACCAAGGATCATCAGGAAGGCAATTGTAGACAGAAAAAAATGAATCTTCTCTGCAAATCCTGGACACAGGTAAAACTTCAGGACAAGGTGTCTGACCTTCAAGACGAGGGCGAGTGTAGACAGAAGAGGAGGTCTCCTCTCTGCCGGTCCTTGACACGGGTAAATCTTCAGAACAAGATTGTACAAGCGCTGTATAAATTGACTGACTTTGAAGACGAGGGCGAGTGTAATCAGGAGAGGAGGAATCGTTTCTGCAAATCCTGGACAGGGCACTCCTGATTCTTCTGGCTGCCCTGCTGAAACACGATGCTTGTCTTTCTGTTCTTTCAGGTTCCAATGACTTCATTTTTGCTGTGTTGATATGTGTCACAGAGTCGATGGAGCTGAATGAGCAACAGAAGCAGAGACAGTCGAGCTCTTGTCTGACTTTCTGGACACGTCTATGTTCTCGTTTTGACTCTTCAGGCCCAGCTTAACTTCACTTTCTCCTGCTCCCATACCCTGAAATAAAACAGATCATAACACAGTTTACTATTTTATTTCCAGTGCATGATTTAATCACCATCACACAGACTAATAAACGGGATAATGTAAAGTCCAAATATCAGATCTATGACATTGAGTTTAAACAATAATGATTTAAACAATAATGTTAAATGAGAGCGTGATCAGAGTACACAAGTGAAGACGAGAGGAAGCTGACTATTGCAGGCCGCTATATTTAACATTAAGTAGCAGAAAGGAAATCAATTTAGGTCAGAGAGGTTAAAAACATCAACCAGGTAGAGAAAGCTGCATATTATCACCACTCAATAGCTTTATGTGAGAGAGTGAAAGCTGGAAGATGTTTTAAATATTAAAACTGCAGGTTACTAGTCTGTATTTTTTTATTTTTGAAATATTCACTCATTTGATCTTTTCCACTGATATTCACACTGAGCACTATTACATTTCATAAAAGTTAACAAACTTTAAAAGCTCACAGCAAACAGCTCAGCCTTTCCTCGTGACGTGAATACACCAAACTTTCCAGACAAATGCACTTCCTATAGTCACATATCATCGCATACATCTCTAACACACTCACAAACACATGTCTAATTCTAAGTTTTAGCCACTGATTTAATGTTAAAACATCAGGATTGTCTCTGGCTTACCGGGTGAGCTCCACAGGACGAGTTCAATCTTCAAACATCAGAAGAAGAAAGTCTAATGCCACAGATGGTTGCAGGACTTGTGGTTTTCAAAGTTTTGCGTCAGCGTTTCTTCCTTCTCCATTTGTTCACAAAGTTTCCAACAACAAAGTTTAAGAGGTTGAATTCAAACAAGACTTTATTTTCATTATGTTATCCCACTATTTCCCCTGAACCCTGAAATGTGTCTGTATCCTGGGGGATGCAGTTATTTTACAGTGGGTGCATTTTATTTCATGAAAAACAATAAAGGGGGAGGGTCAGGTAGTCAGGTCATGTGACTTTATGCAACATTGAAAAATATACTCATCATCTGTGTCAAAATCCAAAATGGCAGACATAGAACAAAACCACTGGCCACGAGGTAAAAGTTGTTATTTTTTCAGGTTTATTATATTTTGGTGGACTTTGTTTCTTCAGGATGATTTTATATGTTTTTGTTAAAAAATAATGAATTACATTTGAACAGCTCTGATAATGAGGCATTAAATGTCTGTATACTGGATGATACATCGGTATAAAACAGGGATAATCAAACATAGATATATGCAGGTTTTAAAGCCCATACTACAGATAATCAATAATATAAAGGTGTGAAAAATTGATTACTCTTTATTTTACTCTTAAATGTGTATTAGTGATAAATTCACCAGTGTTCTCTCTCTCAAATTCATTCATTCAAATTCAAATTCTCTCTCTCTCTCATAAACACACACATGAATAACTGTTGTTTTTTACACTTTTTAAAACTTGTGATACAAAATATGAAAGGAAGTAACTAACTAACTGAAATGTATACCCTAAATAGGCAATGTATCTTGGGAGATACAATCTTTAAATTGGAAAATAAAGGTGGTATTTTAGAAGAAATCATTAAATTGTGTTATTAGTGTCTTGGATGACAAGAACTGGAGCCAATCTGGTCGCTCACTATTTTACTCACATTTTAACTCCTAACTAATGGCTAAGTGTGTCAATGTGACAGCACAGAGGCTGACACAAAAACATTAACATTACAGGAAATGTCATTTCATAAAAATATTTCTGAAATTCCTCTATATACCACTAGAGGCAGCTCATGTACCACCAAAGGTACACATACTATAGTTTGAGAACCAGTGAAAAAATGTCCACTCAGCAGTTGTTGAGATATTTCAGCAACAACCATCACTGCCAACCTGTGGGTGGCGCCATAAAGGAAAGCTCAGAGGATCAGTAGAGTCATTAGGATGCAAAAGAAGAACTGCAATTCCCCAGCTTGAGATCAATAAAGTATATCTATCTATTTATCTATCTGTGCATCATCATCTGATAGTTGTCCACACGTTTCACTCTGAACCACCATGAGGTTGTTTTGCTAACATAATGGAGAGAAAGGGGGATTAAAGAAGTCCTGGACATCATCATCATCATCATCATCATCATCATCATCATCATCAATCATGGACACTGTGAAATTCCAACAATTCCTCAAAAGAGAAATTGTGAGACGTGTCGAAGTCACATATCCTGGTCCTCGTGTTTTCCTGCTGGTCCTCTAAATCGGTCGATTTACCAAGGAAGAGAAGAACTCAGTGGAATTCTATATTCTATATTCTTCAAAGACAGTAAATAAACATAATCAGTAGCAACAGCTTCTTTACCCAAAGAATATAAAAGAAATGTAACCTAACCTAAAATAGCCTAAATAAATAAATAAAATAAGGACTCTTCTATACAAGCCTATAAACACATTGTCCAGTATAAGGAGGGGGGCATTTTGACTATATTAATTGGACCTTTTTATTTAACACACTTGTAATAAAAAATTAACGGACATTACTGTCTTTAGTTATTATGATCAAAGGTTTTCTCACTTCCTGTATCTGTGACCAAATATAACAGAAACATATTCATTCATTTTCTTAATAATAACTTAGTGTGACCAATTAAGGTCTTATGAGAGTTTGCCAGATTTTATTATAGGTAATGATAACACCACCTTAGGACTTTCTCCTAAAGAATAGAAAGTAAGAGTGGCAGTATTATACCAACTATTGCACCTCTTCTACAAGAGGGTTACCCTTTAAACAAACAGACACACAGTAAAAACAATTAAGTCCACACATGAATACAGAGGGTATAGGGTTAGGGTTAGGGTTAGGGTTATATACCAACAATCTTTATGTTTCATAAGGTTCTTCACAATAACTCCTTTTATTAAATATCCTAAAATATATATACACACATAGTTAAATACTAAAGTGTACAGAAATAATAAAATGTCTAAGCAGTGATTTCACCAAGCTCAACAGGATTAATGATCCTTTAATCAAGTGACAGGGAAACCTTCACTTAAGGGAGGGGCTGCAGCTAAATGCTGCTGGGGTAATTGTTCACAAGTGGCCTGTAAACTCAAAGCCCTCCGACAATACAAAAGTCAAAAAACTGCAAAAGAAAGAAAAGAACTAACTACTAATAAATAACCTAAAGCACACAAAACAATATACGCTTGCAGTTCAATAGGCCCCAGACCAACACCACTGCATCCACCCTTTACAATGTTGCACTTACACATGCTGTTACTGAGCAAGACAAGAACTTATGACATACGGCTTCATACAAAACAACTGCAATTTAGGACAGAAAGAAAAAAAACATAAATAAGAACTTAATCTACAACCACCAGCAGATTAAAACAAAAAAGTTAGTTAGTTAGCCTAGAGTTAGCCTGCCCTGCTGTTAGCCTGCTGTTAGCCTGCTGTTATGGTGTTTTCGTTTTGTCTTGTAATCGCGACTTTCAGCCCGAGAGCGACGTCACATCCGTGTTGGAAAATGAATTAACGCGGTTTTTGCATTCTGTTTGGCACACAAGAGAAAGACAAGGGGGGGGGGGACAGAGAAGAACATATTTCTTCAACTTCAATCAAAACTAATGTTTGTAAGTAAAAACATACGACCATTTTTCTTATAAAATCAGTCCTCTTTGCTTGCGAGTTCTATAGCGCAATTCATTACTTATGGGAAACGTTTCAAGAGCAACAGGCTACCTCCAAGCAGCACAGCACAGGGAGAAGTGGGTGCAATGCGGAAGACGTAGCCAGGTCAAACCAACCAATAGAAACTCTTCTCTCGTCCACCAGTGTAGGCCCCGCCCATCAAGTGCAGTTAAATTCGCAAGCAAAACTTTTGAATTTGCAAGCAAAGAGGACTGATTTGCAAACAAAACTTTAAAACTCTCAAGCAAAGAGGATGCAAAATGGTCGTAACACAAAAGGAAGGTTAAGATCAGGCTGACAGGAACGCAGAAATTCCTCCAAGCTCATTCCTTCACGCTTCAGGTCGTCTCAATGAGTAAACAGGATGATTGTTTGTTCAAGAATTCTGCTAACAAGAGCTTCATCCAGCTCTGCTAACATGCATCACCAGTAAGTACACACAAGGTCCTGACTCACAGAGCGGTTTGTACTTTCTCACATGTTTGTTCTTATCTAATGATTTAATGCCACCATAAAAGATGTCTGGAGTATCAATGACACTTACACGTGTACCTCCTATCACAGTTTCTGCCTTTTTGCACTCTGTGGTGATTGGATTTGAACGGACTCTTGAGGTGAACTCTTTCTTTCCCAGGATTGTGTTTCCAGTTGCACTCTTTCCAGTCCCGGACATTCTCAGCAGAACAAGATTTACTGTGGTGGCAGAGTGCTTTCCTACATTGATGTAAAACAAATGTTTCCTGTTTTCATTAATCCAAGAAGCTTTTTTAGTTTTAAAAAGTGTGATCATTTGCATTAAAACACAAACACCAACTACTAAACAGAGTTCAGACATCTCAAATACACAGCTCTCCCTTTTCAAATTCTTCTTCACTTTGCAGTCCTAGCCTGTGGCAGGAAGCAGAGGGGGGAGGGTGGGCAGAGGTGGGAGTGACGGTAGAGCAGGGAGGGAGTTGAGTCTCCTGACAGCCTGATGGTAGAAACTGTCCTTGAGCCTGCTGGTTTTTGCCCAGAGACTGCGCAGTCTCCTCCCTGACGGTAGCAGGCTGAAGAGGCCGTGAGATGGGTGGGTGGGGTCACCTGCAATCCTGGTTGCTTTGCTGGTGAGGCAAATATATAAATGTCCAGAAGAGCGGGAGAGAGACACCAATGATCCTCTCAGCTGCTCTCACGATGCGCTGCACAGTCTTGCAGCAGGACACGGTGCAGGCGCCGTACCACACAGTGATGCAGCTTGTCAGGATACTCTCGATGGTGCCTCTGTAGAAGGTGTGCATGATGGGGGACGGGGCTCCTGCTCTTCTCAGCTTACAGAGAAAGTACAGGCGCTGTTGGGCTTTTTGGCCAGTGATGCAGTATTGTGGCTCCAGGACAGGTCTTCAGAGATGTGCACACCCAGGAACTTGGTGTAGGATAGTTAGTGGAGCATGCTGGGTGTGCACTCTCCTGAAGTCCACAACAATCTCCTTTGTCTTCTCCACATTCAGGTGGAGATTGTTGTCCTTGCACCACGTGGCCAGCCTGCTCACTTCATTCTGGTAGTTTGTCTCATCGCCGTTGTTGATGGGACCCACCACAGTTGTGTTGTCCGCAACCTTTATGAAGGGGTTGGAGCTGAATGATGGTGTGCAGTCGTGGGTCAGCAGAGTGAAGAGGAGGGGGCTCAGCACACATACCTCATGTTGGTTAGATGTCTCTCTCCAGCCAGTTTTCTGAGTTCACTGAAGACCTGATCCATCGTGTAGAATCTGAATAGATAAGAAACTTTGTGTTTGTAGCCGAGGGGCAACACAACTCTGAACTCTTCTGTGGGTTTTCCAGTTGTTCTGTGCAGATTTTCTACGGATGTATTTTATTTGGGAAGTGGTCAGGCCTGGTGAAAAATTGGATATTCTATGCGTCACATTCGACTTGGCCACTAGGTGGTGCTACTATTAAGAAAAGTAGGTTTAGGCTAATAACTCCCGCATTGTTTATCTCACATTCAAAAATGAATCTCCCTATATAGGCCACGCCCACTTTCGCCTAGATTTTTTTTGCTAGAGTGCGAAATGTCCAAGTTTCATGTTCCATCCATGCGCTTTTGTCTGATTCGCACAAAACTTTTCACATAGCATCTGGTGACCGTCCTGGCAAAAAAAAGTAATTCAAAGTATTTTGATATTTCAAAAAATAAGCACGTTATAAAAGTAGCACTTCCTGTTGATTTTTGGTCAAAAAGGAAGTGGGGTATTCCTCCAAATTGGTATGTCTGATTGACACCAACCTTGGGTCAATTGTTCCTCATGTCTTTATTAGTCATCATCCTCAGTTTCAGGCCACCGCCACAAGGTGGCGCTCTTTCAATATCTCCACATCGGCAAGTGTGATTAATACAAAACTTGGTATGATGATTGCCCATGGCTCCCTGAGGCTCCCCTAAAAAGGAAAAAAACTCACGCCACTAGGTGGTGCTCTGGTGGCCGGGTAATTCACTCTGCAGAGACCGTAATAGTTATGAATATGAAATTCACAGGAGACGTTTAGACTGGTGCCTGTAGCTCACATACCAAAAATCGTGTTTGTCGTGTTTGTAGCGCCTCCTACAGGGTTTTTAAAAAGCAGCCCCGGCACACCATTTCACCGATATGTATGAAACTTGTTAGGTACGTGTAATGTGCCGAGACGTACAAAAAAGCCTCTTGGACCCATTCCCCAAAAATGGGTCTCCTCCTAGGGGATTTATCGGATCTGCTTAGAATTTGGTCAGTACAGTCACAGTTTCACAGTGTCACACTGTGATGCATTTTTGGCATTTCAGGGTTGTATTTTAACTAACTTCTCCTACAAGTTTTATCGGCTTGACTTCAAATTTGGTCAGTACAGTCAAAAAATGTTGCTGACTGAACGCCATGCTTTTTGTGACTGTACGTTGAAGGGCGTGTCCGTGGCGTGCCGTCAAAGGGGGAATTTATTGGACCGACTTCAGATTTGGACACAGCCATCTAAACACATACACCATTAAAAGTTGTGCTCCTCAGTTTTTTTCGTCGAACATTGTGCCCGTGGCGTGGCGTCCCATGGCATCCGATTTCAAACCTTCGCCATGAAAGAGGGGTTAATCATAACTTCTGCGTACATGATCCGACTGCAATGAAACTTCACATTTGATAAGAGTCCCGCCCTGAACACGTCTATGTGATAATATTCAGTAATAGTGAGAGCGCCACCTAGTGGCAACAGGAAGTATCACGTTTTATACTTTCATGTTCTACTCCTACTTCAATTATTATTATTTTTAGGCCCCTTTGACTGCATTTTTGCCCCACTGAACATATACGAAAACTCAATTTTATTTGGCAAAGTAAGAAAGTAGTCTCTCCTATACGCTTTGTCCGATTTGCACGAAATTTTTCACATAGCACCTGGGGACCGTCCTAATAAAAAAGTAATTTAAAGAAATTTGATATTTCAAAAAATAAGCACTTAGTACGATGCTTGCCCACAGCTCCCTGAGGCTCACTGATTAATGTGTCAACAATCCGCCACTAAGTGGCGCTCTGGTGGCATGGTAACTCACTGTGCAGAGACCGTAATAGTTATGAAATTCACAGGGCACGTGTAGAGTTGTGCCTGTAGTTCACATACCAAAAATCATGTTTGTCGTGTTTGTAGCGCCACCTACAGGATTTTTAAAAAGCAGCCGCGGCGCCACGTTTCCCCGATATGTATGAAACTCCGTTGGTTACCGTTCTGTTATAGTGTCGCCATGGATGTTAGCTACACTACCTGCGCTACCTGAAAATAGTCTTAATGAATAATTCACAGTGCAGTTTACACTGGGATTGTCTCATTATTTATCCATTCTTTACAGAACAAACTGTTTGACATTGTTTCAGTAAGGATAGAGCATTAACATTGTTTCCTCTTTGTCACCCTGTTGATGTGAGAGAACAGAGTTGACTGTAATACTCTTTAACACTCGTACTAATTAAATTAAGTACTGGAGGCTTTGTGGTCGCTCAGTTGACATTTCTCAAAAGGTCAGAGATGGCTTCAGATATTCTGTAGGCTGCTGCCCTGGGTCGACAGTTCACCCGAGGAATGCTCTCAGATGCTTGAAGTTATTTAGAAAAAATATCAATGAGATGTGAACAATCAGTAACATCAGTGATGTGGATGCTGGGGTGAGGGAGAGACTACAGACTAAATCCTAACCGATTTTGAAATCGCGTTGCATCACGCACATTGGTTTGTCTAATCTCAAACATGCACACACTCCAAGATTTGAAAACAATATGACCTTCAGAACGCGTGATCTCATGGGGAAGCAGATGTTAGCCAAATGGAGAGTGAGGTAGCGGAAGAACTTGCTGTTGTAAGGTTAATGCTGTTCAGAAATGGTTGGGGGGATGAGGTTAACAGTGAGAACTGGAGGTAAGGTTTTAACCTTCAGTTTTAACATCTCAGAAAAAGTTTACCACTTCCGTACCGCAGTAATCACCCAGATTTTAACTCCTGGATCTATAAACCCCTCACATTACCAGTTAATCTAGTACCAAGATTGTCTGTGTTATGAATTACGTTTAGGAAACTGTATGCAGGTACAAAAAGTAGAGAAGGGTAAAAAAAATAGGTAGAAAAATATGCAATACATTGACAGTATTCAATAATACCTCAAGTTAGTGAACATACATGTTTATTATGTACACCTACATAATAGCCGATTTGTGCAAAAAAACAACCTATGTTGCAGTTTCCCCATATTCCTGAGTGAAGTAGGATAGTGATCGATATAATAGCATATAATACAATATGTAGTAATGTGTATACTGTAGGATGAACACAGTAGCTGCTGATGACTCAGTGTTGGAACAACATGAACTAAAGTAACATCGAACATGAATCAGTGCTAACATTAGCAAGCTGGGCTAACACTTCCACTTTCTGAGTGGAATACAAACTTAACAGCATGATGGGTCCTTCCAAATGTTGAATGAGGTCAAATGTAGCCACTGATGACAGCAGACATCATGTTAAAATCCATGTGGAAGCAAATATTACCTTCCTCTGTGTTCTTATACTGTGGAAGGAGAAAGTTATATAAAGTCCTCTGAGGATTTATGTTGTATCGCTGTAGTGTTCTTTGTATTGTTTATAAATGAGCTCAGAACCTTTGGTACAGTCAACTTTTGAATGTACAGGAAATAAAGTAGCACACAGTGGTAAACTCAGCTCTCTACTTTATTGAATATTCTGCTCAACATTTCCAACAGGTTTAACAGGAATCTGACATTGCTTCAGCTCTACAAACATCAGCAGTTTACTAAACATCTAACAAAATGGTGACAGTGATTCCCTCCTCAGAGCAGTAAAGCCATTAATTGAACCCCAGGTCATTTTTAAGACACACATGTAACAAAATTATTCCTTTTACATTCTGAAAAGATTACATATGATATATTTTTAAGCTGACCTGCACAAAGAAGAAAATAAACACATGCTAACCTAAAATATTTGGACTTTAACTACCTTATGTCCCAATATAACATCTCACATTCATCAAAACCAAAATCACTATTATACAATTATTGTAAGTATCTGTTTCAACATTCTGCTGTTGAGAAAGAAATTGTGTATCAGTACATATGTTTAGCTATTAGAATAGAAAGTTACAATTAAAAACACATAATTTATGTATCAAGCAATGCAAACTGATTGTAAGCTGATAAGCTGTGAAGAACATTTTGAGAAGAAGGCTGTGCTTATAATCATCATTAACTAATACATAGAAGTTACATGTACAGTCACTTCATTAGAATCAGTGATCTTGGTCCATCTGGGTTTGAATGCATTTTTGAATTTTTGAAATGTGTTCAAGTTAAACTGGAGTATTAAGTTGCTCTTTAAACTTGAAATGAACATCCATATCCCTACAGACCAAGATCTAACAAGTATTTGTCATTGCTCTTATTAAATTGGACACACGTGCACATAATTGTCATTGTGGTGAGCATTGAAGCATGGGTACACAGGCTCATTGAATCTGGCTTTAAAGGTGTGAAGGTGAGTCAGTTTGCTAAAACAGACTTTGTAGAAGGACAGAGTGCCAGCAAGCCAGTCCAGAAACAACCCAACTCTGTTGCAGCCAGAGGGAAAAGAAATTTCCCCCAATTTACCATTATGCCATGGCTCAAGTGTGTGTTTGAAATTATTCGAAAATTGGAGAACAGACCAAGACATGGTATTATTTCCAAGACTAGTCCCTTTTCTGTCAATTCCCTTGTATGCAACACCGATTTGAACATATTGATGGTGACAATGACTCCACTCTACCTCCCAGTAATGGCGCCCCTTTAACCTCTCTTCGCCCAGCACCTGAATATGTTCATCAAACCTCTCTGGGTGATCAGGGTATGTCTGCCATGGTCCACATGTTGCCTTTTTGTTTCCCTCAGACAGAGTGAGGTAGTTGTTGGCAGTGTTTGGGTCCAGGGTGACATCACAAGCATCTGATGGAGAGACCAAAACAAAACATGTTATTAGTTATTCTGATGGTCAAACAGGTTTCTGGAGGACAGTACATTCATATGGGGAATTTGTTACTCAAAAACAAACATGGAAAGTGACTTACACCAGATCAAATCTCTTTTGTCTTTGATAGTCTGCACAGGAGGAAGATTGGGCTTCAAAAAATCTTTACTTTTCAGAATGCCGTCCCTATAATGGTAGATGGTTGCTCCTGTGTATTTCTTATTTTCATCGGCTGCCACAAGGAAACAGAACCGGCTGCTGTTCTTCAGTGCTCTGGCAAGATCATGGAAATCTTTGGCTTTTTTCCTCATTTTGGTGAAAACCTCATCTGAGTAGCACCAGTGGTCTTCATTGCTTCCTAATTTAGGTGATTTTAGGTAGCCAGCCATCGCCGTGAGCCTGGGGTCAGCGCTCTCCAGGGAGGTGAAAACAAAGCACAGAGCATCCTCTACACCTGGAGCACGAACCTCTCTGTCCAGCTTCAACTGATTTGGAACGATCTTTGTTCCCTGCATCGATTCTACACAGGACCTGATGATGTTGATCTCTTTCTCCTTATGATCCAGCCAGCTGTTTAGTTTTTCTTTACTGAATGGTGACTTGTATCTGTCTTCAAAGAGTTGTTTTGCTGAACTCTCGCCTTCTTTACCTTTACGGATGAGGGAAAATTTGTTCCTCATGGTCTTCTTCAGGTTAGATTCATAGTCTTCACACAAGTTTCGGAATCTGTCTAACCCTCCTTTAATCTGTGGGAGATTCTCTACCACTCTGTCATCCAGATATTCGTTGCATCTCTTTCGTATTTCCCTGAAATCTTCAAGAGCATCCTGTGCCTTCCTCACTAGTCCAACACTGATCCCTCTCTTAAGCTCATCAGCTTCAGGATACAAATTCTTCAATGGCATCAGCCAGACCTTCAGAGGAACAGCCTTCCCTTTCTGTTTCAGTAGCTTGGGAAGTTCTGCATAGGTCTTCACTGCTTCTTCAAATGTTGCAGGGTTGCTGTCAAGAATGAAGTCTCCGTAGAATTTGCAGGAGAATTTGTTGATCAGGGCTTTTTCTTCATTAGTCAGCTTGATGTCAACTTTTCCCCGAACATCGAATGAGGGGATTTTCTTTATCACAGCTTCCATGCCTGCCTGGATGTTCTGAACGCTGCTGGCTTCTAACTTCTGACTGTCAAACACAAAGAAAGCTTTTGCCCCATAAAGGATGCCTGTGACTACATGTGTTGCCCCGCACTTCTTAATGAAATCTATCTTTTGGCGGTCCTTGGGTTGAGGGTGAGTCAAAATCAACTGTTTGAAGGTGGTGGTAGCGTTGTACTGAAGTGTCACTCTGCTCTGATTCTTGTATTTCTTTGTATCATTTAGATATTTGGCAGATCCTTCAACTTCAATCAGTCCACCCAGGAAACTGGCTTTCAGAGAAGCATCAATATCCAGCAGAGAGGACTTGGATTCAATGGAGTCAGATGCAGAAATTTCAAATGTACTGCTCTGATGAGAGGTTACACGAGTTTCTTTATCCCATAATGCCCCACCTGTAGGAATTGGAGAACATCAGTCATGTGATAAAGCAGGAAACCCATATTTGTTAATATAGGCAAGTTACTGCGTTAACGCATTAATTAATTAATGCCGACAATTATTTTAACTCACATTAACGCAGTTTTTTTTACTATTATTATTATTATTTTGAAAGTCCGATGCTCACTGGCTCTGAATACACAGACCAACAATGGGTCACAGGAGGGGAGTGAAGGGAGGCTTCGGCAGACTATGTTGGATGCAGCGTGTGGGAAAAGTATAGATAAACAAAAGCAAGACAAGCTAACAAATGCCATAGCATAGTGGATAGCTTCAAACTGCAGGCCGATTAGTATTGTGGAAGATAGGATCGCAACGAATGACAGCAGGTATGAGCCTCCTTCAAGACGCACCATCACAAGAACAATTCATGAGTTGTGTGAAAAGGAGAGGACTACAAAAGCGACAGCGTTACAACGTGAGTTATAGTGCATTATATTGATGGACAGTGGAAGCTGCATTCACATGCTCTGACTGTAATGAAAACAGAAGAGAGACATTTTGCTTGGTGGAACGTTTCAAATAAAGTCAGCACACTGAGCACAGATAGGGCAAGAAATATTAACTGCTACTGTGGAAAGGGAATACTGCTGTTAAGAAGCAACCAATTAATTTAAAGTGCAAACCAAATGTTATTGCACTTTTATTCATATAGCAGTACTTTTAATAACAAATAAAAGTGCGCAATACACTACTTTTGAATTAGATTACTGAATGTGTAACTGCGATTAATTAATCGTGATCGTGGAAAATCATGCAATTAATCGCGATTAAAGAATTTAACCGTTGCCTTGCACTAATATATATATATATATATATATATATATATATATATATATATATATATATATATATATATATATATATATATATATATATATATATATATATATATATATATATATATATATATATATATATATATATATATATGTATACATATTTTATGGAATGCCTTTTAGGAAAATAATATCTATCTATAATATTAAATTTGAATTTATGGACTGAAATGACAAGTGATCAAGAAACTACCTCAGGATTTCGATACCAGCCTAATATTATTCCATAAGGATGTTACTGAAAGTGTGGAATGAGTGAGCATACAGTGAATCTATCAGAAGCAGTCCTAACTAAAAAGGAGATAATCAACACCCTGGTGAATGCGGGCCAATATTAAGTTACTGTACTGTAACTGTATGTTCAAGCACAATGCATAAGAAGCAGCAAAGGGTTTAATGTGGTTAAAGCGGGAAAGCTAATCATAGCCTCATCCAACTTTCTGTTTTGGCAAACGTAGCGTCTCATGTTTTATTCATGAAACACAATGCAATGCAAACGCTGTTGCACATTAATTACTGAACTATATGACCATGTACAAGGTGAGAGAGCGTCAATTAGATTTCAGTCAGGACCACTTTCGTCAAAATATCTTATATTCCAAGCAGATTACATTTGGCGGTATGGCTCTGTTCTGGGACCTCCTTGTCCTTCCGCGTGCCTACGTGGAAAACCTTAAGGCAGGGAGAGCACACCTCCCTGCCCTTCCATGTGCATACATGGAAAAGTTTAAGACAAGGAGAGCGGCAGCAGAGACCCCCCAGGGTACAGAACAGAGCAAGCATCAATGGCAATCAGAAAATGACATTGATTAATTAGAAATATAAAAAAGGAGGAGCTGGGGTGGAGGTGGGTGCAAAAAGGCTTGTAGAGGAGCAGCAGAGATAGGCAGGCAGGCTAAAGCAGCTTAAATAAGGCGCCATGTAGATGTTAGCCAATTGGATGCTTGAGGAAATCAGGTGAGCTGTCAGCTGACTGTGCATGGTATCTAATGGGAAGCTTAGAGGAATCAGCTGATGTATGTTTATGACTAGCTGTGATCATATGATATAGCTGTAACTTAAAGCTAAGCCTGACTTCGTGCCCTGCCTGAACTAACGCTATGCTCAATTTCAGTCAGGACCACTTTCGTCAAAATATCTTATATTCCAAGCAGATTACATTTGGCGGTATGGCTCTGTTCTGGGACCTCCTTGTCCTTCCGCGTGCCTACGTGGAAAACCTTAAGGCAGGGAGAGCACACCTCCCTGCCCTTCCATGTGCATACATGGAAAAGTTTAAGACAAGGAGAGCGGCAGCAGAGACCCCCCAAAGAACCATACCAGGCAACCTCCCTTCCATGAGCTACATGGAAGTGCCAGTAAGAGGAGCCAGCAGCGCAAATTTTTGTAAGAAATAAATAACAGTAATAAAGCCAATAATTATGCAGATACTAGTTAAGTAACTTGGCTGAGGATTAATAAAGAGATCCCTCAGAAGTTATGCTAGAGTGTATTTAAATTAAACCAGCAAAACATATTTCCCGAACAGAGGGTTATATTTGGTGGTGTGGCTCTGTATGGGACCTCCTTGTCCTTCCACGTGCCTACGTGGAAACCTTCCATGTGCATACATGGAAAGGTTTAAGACAAGGAGAGCGGCAGCAGAGACCCCCAAAGAACCACACCAGGCAACCTCCCTTCCATGAGCTACATGGAAGTGCCAGTAAGAGGAGCCAGCAGGACTATAAACCAATACGTCTAAGCAGACACTAGTTGAAGTACAAGGCTAAGTATACTAGAGATATCCCCAGAAATTTGCTATACATTAATGAATTTAAGCTGGAAATTACAAGGCACTCATTGCTTTTGAGCATCAAGATTTGCTTGGCCTCAGGCAGGAGGTATCGTTCGTAAGCAGATAATGAACATTTACCCATAGCCTTGCGTCGAGACAGGAGCTACGGATGCTGCATTTATGCGAATTGAATGAGTTATTTTAATGTAGATTAGCTAAGCCAGATCGCATATACTGAGCAGTAGATAGCCTGTATATTGCATGGTTGTGTTTACTCTAACACGGTTTGAGAAAATGGGGGGCAAGTCAGGCTGGATGGCGCTGCCTCCGGGCACAGCTGGCGAAATTCTGCGATTCAAACGGGACAAAAATCAGCAATTGTTATCCAAGCCTGGAATATGAGCTGCTCTAATAATGAATTTACCCAACATAGATAACCAAGTGAGGCGCCTTACAAATCTATTAATGAATGGAACTGAAGAACGCCCTTGTAAATGATGTTGGCAGTTGCCTCATTGTTGAAAAAACATGATTGTTCCCATGGCCAGTCTTTTCCCCACAGAAACATGAAACAACAATTGTACATTCATTAAAAAGGTAGAAGAGGCATTAGCTGGCAAGGATGACAGTATTTTAGCCATATGCCTGCGGACCACTGATTATTAAAATACCCCCCCAAAACCTACGGAAGGGTGGTTATCATACAGGTCAATCATGCCACTACTACTGTATGTTTGAATGAATTATATCTCCATTATTTCTGTACACAACACCGAAAAACTTGAGGATCCATTGCTCTTCCCTAAATGCCCCTCATGTCTGCTCTCTGTCTTCTAAGCTCAGCAAAGCTGTTCATTAGTGATCTAGTAGATCATAGCAGTCACACTATTAGACCTTGCTGTTGACATAAAGCTTCCAGGGTGAACTGGCACACAGTGTTCGATCATTTATATGTACTCAATATGCTGCGTCTTTTATAATTAATGGCAAATGATGATTTAGCTGCTCATTGTAAAAGAAGGAGATGCCATACCATTATCACACAGAAGAGATCAGGACTGGGGCTCGGATCTGCAGCCCTTCTCCAAGCTCACCATATCATGGAGTTCTCTATAAATCGGAGAGGTCCAGAAGCCTGGATATAGGGGAACTTCCCTGGGGAATAACACACATGCCAATTTAAGATGTCTAAGCAAGGAGAGCTGTTCTCTTTTGAAAGTTACTACTGCCTGCTGCTTTCATTACCTCTCTGATGCGATTTGCATCAGTACACTATCTAGAGTGAAGCCTAGAACTCTAGCCTTACAGGGCCTGATGTTTCTCCTTGGATAGCAGAAGACCTAATGTTTTAAAAGGTATATTTAAGAGCAAAAATGCATGGTCTGATTTTGAATTGATAGTCAACTAACAGAAAATCGTCTACGAGATGGAGCACGAAAGCAGTTGCAGTTATTAAAAGAATCCATGACTTAAATGCATCTGTGACATCTGCCTTGGCTAGCCATGCGCCTCTACATGCTTCCTTAATCAACTGATGGCATTGTAGATTATAGCATAAAATAAGGAAAAAGTGCCAGAGGATGTAGCCCCTTCAGACCCGCCTTATGTTCCAAGTGTGAAAAATATAATAATGACTTTATGCAACCAGAAATGAGAATCAATAAAAAAAAGTTTTTTTTTTTTTTTATTAATCAAAACCCTTTAATTGTTATTTTTCTTGTCCATTTCAATGGACATCGGGTCCAAACAATTCTTAAAATACCAACATCATACCTATTTTTGTCTGTTAAATGTTGCAAAAAGTAAAAAAGAAGCCCCTGTCAAGTGACGTCCATTGTAATGGACACAGGGTCTGAAGGGGTTAAACTATTTATGCCTTAGTTTTGCCTTTGCAAGAGCAGATCAATTAATATTGTTTTTTTTTTTTTTTTTTTTTTCTGAATATCCCTGGTAGCTATACCTTAATGCTTGTTGAGAAGGCGATTTATGAATGGACCAATATGAACCTTTGTTATCCTTCTTCAGTAAAGCATCGACTATCTCAGCTCTTTCAAAACAGATTGTAGGTTTTTATAACCAAGTCAGCTCAGCTAAGAACCATGAACCAGCCCTATAACAGAATGCTTTCTTAGCTCCTTCCCCAGCTCAGGGACGTTTACTGGGGTTGAAGGTTTATCTCTCATGCCCCCTTTTTTTGAGAGGCAGCACGTTCTTCCCTATGGTGATTGGGACTGCACTTCCCAGCATCCTCGGCGGGAATGTGACGCCGTCAAACAAGCTGCTGTGACGTCATCGTCAAGCGCTGCACCTGTGGGACCATGCGCTCTACCTGCAGACAGCGAAGAGGGAAACAATTGCGGAGGAAGACTGTCCGGCCTGACGTGCCAAACCGAACCCTGGACCCTTGAACCCATGACGGCAAGCGACAACCGGATGTTGGACAGAGCTGACAAGCAAGACAGGTGGAGCCGGCCGCTGCGCCTTGGACCCGCGCTCCCCTGAAAGGCAGCGCAGCGCAGCGCCGGAGCCGGGACCGGAGCTGGAGCTGGAGCTGGAGCCGGGACCGCAGCGGAGCCGCAGGAGCAATTCCTCCCCCCTCCTGCGGACCCTCCAGAACCAGAACAGCCGGACACAACTGCGGATGTTGTTCAAAAGCGACACTCTCCCCAACAGCCGAGATCTCTGCTGAGACTTCACAATGCAATCGACCCGCCATCATACTCACCGCAGACAGGACAAGTAGAAACAAACGACAAACCACAAGTAACGCACACAACATCCTGGCAAAAAGGCTTGTAGAGGAGCAGCAGAGATAGGCAGGCAGGCTAAAGCAGCTTAAATAAGGCGCCATGTAGATGTTAGCCAATTGGATGCTTGAGGAAATCAGGTGAGCTGTCAGCTGACTGTGCATGGTATCTAATGGGAAGCTTAGAGGAATCAGCTGATGTATGTTTATGACTAGCTGTGATCATATGATATAGCTGTAACTTAAAGCTAAGCCTGACTTCGTGCCCTGCCTGAACTAACGCTATGCTCAATATATACATAATATTACACATCTAAAACAATAAGATGGCGCAGTGCCTTGATGACGTCATATTTAATTCAATATAAGTTTCTTAAACAGCATTCCATATATATACATAGAGAGAGAGAGAGATTTAGTCCAAGTTAAGACTTACCTGGGATCAGTTTCTCTGTACGAGCATCATAGAGCATTCCCAGGGTGAAAGGTCGACTCAGGGCAGCAATCTTTATTTCCTCTGAGTCCATTTCTCCAACCTGTTGAGAAATGTAAAGTCAGTGACCACACAGCCTTCAATACTTGAAGATGTATTAAGCAGTACGAGTGTTGAGACTCAGATAGAAAACAGACAGGATGATTAAGTTACCAAACAGAGACCGTTTACTGTGCTTTGAAATGCAATATTTCCCAGTAGACACTAATGTGACAGTGATAGCTTTACACAGACTGGAGTTCAGTAAAAGTCTAAAGATATTTCTGTTTTTGTCACCCTCTGTGTCTGTCCACCCAGTTTGTCCTCACCTGGTGAAGTTGTATAGATCAGTTGAGTTGTGTGAGTCTTGTCTTCCAACTGGAGCTGTCAGTCTGATCATCTCTGATATCTGGGACATTACTTATATCTTCTCAAATACTCTAAGTCCTCCCATGACACGCCTCCAGACATGACAATAAGTCCAGACAGATAAATGAGTGGGCGGGGAATGTTAGCTAATTACAGATCAGATGAGGGAAATGGGAACTGGTGGGTGGATGGGTGGGGCAGTCAGGTGATGGGGAAAGGAATGATAGTCCGCAGCTATCTGGTGTATGGATGGAAAATGGCAACGAGGGGGCCTGAAAATAGGAACTGGAGAAAGAACACTTTAGCTTGGAGAGAGAAGGAGGACAGTGTGAATCATGACACTTTTGTACAAATTAGCCTTTCACAAACTTTTTCCTAGTAAGACCTTGTTTCTAGCATACATGTGCAGGACCGTCGCATCACAATCCAGGGTTCATGCAACAAAAGCACTTTAGTTAAATGTTATTAAATGTCTTATGTCACTGCTGACATCTAGGATTGTATTCACAGTTTTACTGGTTTTTATTGTTTTATCTTTTTTTTGCATTGGATTGTGTTATTTTCTCACACAATATTCATATTAGCTGTAAATTAAAACATATGTAATCAATGGAGGTTATGTGAGGCTTTGTCTTTGGTCGACCTTTGTGCTTATTCTGTCTCCATGGGAGATTTCATGAGAACTGGGCTCAGGCCAAGAACATTAGATTTGGCAATAAATGTTTTCCAGAGAAACGGGAAGGTGTTAGAAAGTGATATAAGATGATAACTTGGGGAGATTGATTACTCTGTACGTGTTGCTCACATAGTCACAAGTGTATAAAATTAGCTTTTGCCTGTCATCGCTGCTTGCAGCTTTAATATTCACATTGTAACTTCCCCCAGTGCTAAAAACCTCAAAGTTTCCATAAACATACAGAGGACATGAACTTTTAGTTGTATATGCTCCATTCACAAGCCTCATGTGTGGTTGAAAACGTGTCTTCTCTGCACGTATCTAACCAAGAGTTCCTGTCCCTTCACTGTGAGACAGACTGAAAAAGAAAGCACAACTTCTGTTATATTCAAAGAAATGCACAATGTCAGCAAGTGGTTAGCAAGTCTGGAAATGTGAATTTCTTTTTCACCAGCCATGTGTTAACATTTAAATAGTGCAGTGTCAATTAATTTCCTGGAACATACAGAGGATGTGACCTCTCTGTTCTCAGTCTGTGTGGTTGAGAACGTGTCTTCACTGCATGTATCTAGTTTCTGTTCAGAATTCTCACACAACTGAATGAGATATTACTATATATAAAATATTTCTCTTGATTTGATGTATTTGGTTTTAGTAGCTATATTTTATTGACCATCTCTGAATCTAAAGAGTGAACACAAACAATGTTTAATTGCTGTGTCACATTTAAATGACCCAAACAAAACTATTAAATATTCTATGGAATTACTATCCACCTAAACAAATATAAATTTGAAAATTGGTTGTGTGTTGAACATTATTGATTTAAATAACAACCCCATGTCTTGCTTTGCACATGGCAAGTTAATTGTTACTCTACAAACTGCAAGAATTACACACAGAAACACAAGACTGAAATGACACAGAGGCAAGGGTATGATCTTACCTGTCAATTACAGATAAGTTGCGGTCAATAATATACCATTGGAGGTAGTCTGACATGATTTCTTTCTTTTCTTCAACAGTAGCCACATGTCTCAGACAACCTGCTGTCTGTAGCATTGTGCTGTGTCTCATGGTACATTCTCGCAGAGCATCCACTGAAGCAGCATTCTCAATCTGAAGACATAAAAAGGAACATAAACACTCAAGTCAATAACTGTATGTACTGTCTCTCCTTGCCTATTTGTTTATTCCATGACCTACAGTACCAGATGAAGCCAATTCTGTGCATTTGATTAAGGAAGTAAAGATTGTTTCAAAACACTGCAGAGACGATGTAATACTCTGCCATACCATACTGCAGCCTTATGCTATTCTCACCTCTTGCAAAGCTTTCCCTATTTCTTCATCAGTTATTGAATTAACTGTTGCTCTGAATGAAGGCAGGCCCGCAAGATAATTCTGACAAGAAATGGGGTCCTGGACCTCCATGCACAATTGACATGGCAATCATCTTCCCTGACAGGTAGTACTCATCCTCCCTAACACCTGTGAATTTTACCAGCATGTCACAGGTTTCAGAGTATGTTGTATGCTTGAAACCTCTGACTGCTCCATCCTAAACATTAGCCTTTGAGATGTTGAACCTGCTGACTCTTTCATGATCAATGGGATGTGACAGGTTGGCATTAATGTCAGGTAGTGTAATGTTCATCTCCTCCCTGTAATGACAAAAAAGTGACCGAATTAGTGGATACTCCAGTGCACAATTTGCTACTTTTACAAAAAATATTTAAATACCAGAAATATTGTACAGAGAAAAAAACTGGATTGACACAGGCAATAGCTCAGTTTACATTGCTGTGTGTTGTGAACTCTTCAAATTGACTGCAACCAGCTCTTCGTCCTCTTCTTCAACACATGGTGCATACAGGTCTGTGCATTTACTGTTGGGAAATTAACATTTGCATGTTAAATCATCGTAACATAACAAAACATCTTTCTTTTGCGTGTAATCAATGAATTACCTGTAGCAAGTAGTCTTGACTGGCTTTGTTTCAGGTGGATCCAGATCCTCAGCATCAGATATTAATATCTGAAAAACAAATTAAAATATCTAAAATAGCACCACATTTAAAGCAAGAAACATGGCTGGAAACAGGTTTTCACAGTCTGCCTTAATAATAATATAAAAAATAATATAAATAATAAATAATAATTATTATTTAATAAAAATAATACCTGTCCAGGCTGAATTGTGGATGAATTCCCTGGTGCATCTCTGAAACACAATACAATTGATCAAATTATTACCTTTATGATACAGGGTATAATGGAGTTTTGAGCAACATTTAGAGGTAGGGGGGGCAGTAAGAATTTTTATTTATTTTTATAAATAAAAGATTATTTTGTTATAAATCACATAACGCGTATGATATTTTCTACTTCATGTTCACCAGAGCAAATGCTCTGGGCTAATCATGAATTACTTATTTTGTAAAAAAATTAGTACTTACCCTTCATCTTCAGGTTTGTATTTGGGAGTACTTTGGTTTTGTGGTTCAAACACCTGAGAGAAAAAGCATACAATTATCAACAATTTTAAACAGCTTCCATTATCGTTCCCTTACCACATATAGTATATATCAATGGTGAAAGATTGTGAGTGTTTCTGTATTGCTAACTAACAAATAATCAAAACAAACCTGGGTTCCTCTATTATATATGTAATAAATAAATAAAAAATACATCAAAAATTAGGAAAAGGGGGGGAAATTAATTGAAATTAAAAAAGTGAGTTAAAAAATTAACCTACCACAGTGTCAGCCCAATTGAATTCAGCTCTGTTCCTACATGTGATGACAATTTCAGAATCAGAGTCTGAGGTATCATCTTGACCATCCACTGTAGTCAAAACAAAAAATCCAACACATTATAATCTATGCTACAATAGAGTATGTAAATATGTAAAGATACTGAATTATGAGATACACAAACCTCCTCTAAAGTGTGTTTCTGGCATATGCCTTTCCTATTTCCTTTTTATATTCAGCCAATTTGAATGGCCTTTCTGACCCAGGCACATGGACCACCTCTGAGTGGTCTGGATACAAAAGGAAGTATGGTCCTTCATCCATTAAATGTTAAATGTTTTCATTTTCTGGACAGCTTGTTTCAGTAGATCAGGTGCTGCTACCTCCAGGTCTGTAAATAACAGGAGTGTTTTCCCTCTTAAAGGTTTAAAATCAGTTCCATGTGGCACCATCAATCCTATGTTTATCTAGTAAAACAACAGAAAGACATAATTAATGAAACCTACTAACTAACTCACTCAACGGTACATTTTAGTTAAAATAAATCTATTTGCCGGCTTTAGATTGCATTAAGGTGTGTGGGCCCACAAATTGTGTTTAAGTGACTTTAAAGTTGATAACTTGAGGTTTTCTGAATTAATCCATTTAAGGGTTAAAGTGGTTATATTGATCTGTATATAAGGTACAGTATTTACAGTGTTTTCCCGAAAAAGGGGGTATTTCATTTATAGTGTTTCTCTTTAAAAAAGAGGGACCATTCATGTGAAGTATTTTCCTGATGAAGAGGGACCTTTTATTTTGAAGGTTTAAAAAAGAACATTCATATGTTTATATACATTTATATATATGTTTCTTATTCCATTTCAAACAATCATTTCTTTATTAAGTAAATAATTGAGACATATTTTTCTAAAACCTTGGGTTGTGTCATTTTCTTACTTACCTGGAAAGAGGTTATCATTTCATTCTGAGAGAGACATATAGACGCATAGGGTTAAAAATATAACTTAAAGGGGAGTTCTTAAGTAGGTTAAAAAACATTTCTACACGTGTAGAAATCCAAGATAATATTTTAACTGAGTTAATCAGGGTTAAAACTATTGGATAGATATCTTTAAAGAACCCAAAAGCCCTGCCCTTATCCATAGGACTATTGAGGGGAGCGCTACACAGGGCTAAACCAACATTTAAACGTTTGTCCGTTTCAGGCAGACAAGCGACATCTGTGAGATCACAAAAACGCTTATTAAGACAAAACCAGCTGCTGGGAAACTGGTTAAACTTGACAGTAGGGATGGGTGTGTGTTAGAATCTGGTGAAATGTACAGATGCAAAATGATGCTGTCATTGCCACAGTATAATGCACAACTATAACTCTCTTAAAGGACTAGACTCCATCGAAGGTTCCCGGCAGCGTCTGGACATAAAACAGTTCTTTCTAAGGTCACAAAAACACAAAATTCCTATATTCAGGTGATTACACACCTATGATTATTATATTCCATTTCTGCTGATAGAGCCTCCTCAATGTTACACAACTGACCTTTAATACATCCATAACAAATCCCCCTTTAGGTTAGATACCATTCAAATCTAGTTGCTAAAGATGTTTTATAAATAGAAATCATGAATGTAAATCCTTCGTAAACAGTGACAACAAATAGTAGTACAAAAACCATTCAGTAGCTAAGAGTTAATCAATATCAATATACCAAAATATATTAATGCCCTATCACAACAACAACATCAACAACAACAACATTACAACAACATATGTGCTGATACCAAAATCTGTGATAAGCTAAAAGCTACAATTAGGTATCAAACAGACCCAGTAGTCACAGTCAAAAATAGTATATAGACAAAAACAGCCATAGGCTTTCTCTTGCATTGTTATATTTCCATTTGCACAATGTAAAAAATATATAATTAGATTTGAGTTTTTATTGTCATCTCATTTGGATCCACATTAGCACCTTAACTGACACCTGGTTCTTGAACCTGACAGAAAGCAATAAAACGTACCTGACACCATAAAACATAAGTGAAATAAACCATCAAAGGTGTACAAACATCAAACAGAAAGCATCAGTGATTGGTAAAAATCAGGTGACAAACATCCATATCTACAGTTGATTGATTTGAATGGGAAAAATGGACTAGATCAAGAACCTTGACTGATGCAGGGAAAAGTCTTTTATGGGAGTTACAGAATGATCAGTTTCTAACCTCCAGGTCAACATGTTCTGCATGTATCACCTGTTCATTCAGCTTCAGATCAACCCGAGGTGTTCAGAGAGGAAGGGGTCGACCTCACAGAGAAAGTCAATCATCTCTGAACCAGCAGCTTCACCTTTCTTCCTCACTGTGTCGATAACAAAACGAGCTTTGTCACTTTTGTTTTGGATCTCGTCCGCTGACTCCCTCTCAGAATCAGTCAGCACCGTTTTCTCAAACAGTTTGTCCAGCAGACTTTTGAGAACAGGTCCTGATATCCCATCGATGAAGCTGCTCCGAATGTCCAACAGCCTCTCATCTGAACTGCCCTGCACACACCTTTTTACTGCACTGGGTGAAAGACAGACTCGTCTTTCCCAGACACTGTGGGAGCTTTTGGTTTCTCTCAAAAACAGTTTAATATGTTTCATGATTTTTTCTAAAGTCACCTGGAATGATGGGAAGTAGTTGTCATAGTTATCACAGTCAAATTCTGCTTCTGTTGGTTGAACTAGAACTGAGTCATCTTCAGGACAAGTGGACAGTTTGTATTCCTGCTTTGGGTGGAGTTTACAGTGGGGGGGATGTCTGTATGAGGCTCTCCTCTCCAAATAATTTCTTCCTGGTGCGCAGCACATCCCGGAGCACGACGTTCGTCGGTAGCAACAAAGTTTAAGAGGTTGAATTCCAACAAGACTTTATTTTCATTATGTTATCCCACTATTTCCCCTGAACCCTGAAATGTGTCTGTATCCTGGGGGATGCAGTTATTTTACAGTGGGTGCATTTTATTTCATGAAAAACAATAAAGGGGGAGGGTCAGGTAGTCAGGTCATGTGACTTTATGCAACATTGAAAAATATACTCATCATCTGTGTCAAAATCCAAAATGGCAGACATAGAACAAAACCACTGGCCACGAGGTAACAGTTGTTATTTTTTCAGGTTTATTATATTTTGGGTGGACTTTGTTTCTTCAGGATGATTTTATATGTTTTTATTGAAAAATAATGAATTACATTTGAACAGCTCTGATAATGAGGCATTAAATGTCTGTATACTGGATGATACATCGGTATAAAACAGGGTTAATCAAACACAGATATATGCAGGTTTTAAAGCTCATACTACAGATAATCAATAATATAAAGGTGTGAAAAATTGATTTTTAAAGGTAAGAACAATGTTGAATGTATACCCTAAATGGGCAATGTGTCTTTTGAGATACAGTCTTTAAATTGGAAAATAAAGGTGGTATTTTAGAAGAAATCATTATTATTAGTGTCTTGGATGACAAGAACTGGAGCCAATCTGGTTGAAAAGGGGTCCTTCTGGTCCACACTTGTCTTCCCACTAGTTCCAGTTTGGATCCACCATTGCAGTGTTTTTGAACCATACATTTTACCCCTGCTCACTATTTTACTCACATTTTAACTCCTAACTAATTACTAAGTGTGTCAATGTGACAGCACAGAGGCTGACACAAAAACATTAACATTACAGGAAATGTCATTTCATAAAAATATTTCTGACATTCCTCTATGTACCACTAGAGGCAGCTCATGTACCACCAAAGGTACACATACTATAGTTTGAGAACCAGTGAACAAACGTCCACTCAGCAAGTTGTTGAGATATTTCAGCAACAACCATCACTGCCAACCTGTGGGTGGCGCTGTAGAGGAAAGCTCAGAGGATCAGTAGAGTCATTAGGATGCATCATCATCTGATAGTTGTCCACATGTTTCACTCTGAACCACCAACCTCATGGCGCCAGAATAAAAGTCAAAGGATCAGAATTCAAGGACCGCTAACGTGGCTCAAAGGCCTCAGGAGGATAAAAGTTCAACTATTAAACTATTCAGGCAGAGATCATCCTCCTTAAACTGGAGGTGACATAAGAGTCTTATACACTGTCAGTCAAAAGTTTAAGAACCTTCATTTTTCTAGTTTTGACTGAAATTTAAGTAATTTACCAAAAACTGGAAAATAAGGTACATTTGAGAGCTATAAAAAGGTTGTTTTCCAGAAATAAGTCATGAATGGATTAACATCTTACATCTGTTCTGCAGCAATGGAAGTAAATTATATTTAGATGTAGGAAATATTTTGCTAACATAATGGATAGAAAAGGGGGAAAATTATGAAAACAAATATAAAATAAATATTATAGCCTTCTGATGTCTTTCTCTTTATTTATTTTAAATATTCAGAGATTTTACTAAAATTAAGTTATTTCATTGTAGTTAAATGCGGAAAAATTAGAATTTTGAACAATTTGACACAAAACTGAAAGTTCTGTGTTGCAGAATTGTGGGCAAGCTTTAGACGCCTTCCTCATGCCTCATCTACGTTGTGAAGGAGCAGGAGGAGGCTGCAGGCAGAGCTTAAGCATCCTTTAGGGTTGTTAGGTGGCATTTATGGGTTATGAGTTCCAGTAAGGTGATCTTGACAGTTTACTGAAATTGTTTGTGGACTCTTCGGCTATGTTTGGATCAGTTAGTCTCTACTAGGCAGAAGCTTCAAGCTTCCCTTCAAACTGTGTTTCTGCTGGCTGGAACTTCTGCCAGGAGGATATATGAGCACCAAGCACTGTTGGTTGACAGTGACCGCTACAGGTTTTTACTGGATGGGTTCTATCTGTCAATCATCAAATGGATTATTTAATATATAATCATTAATCATTAATGTTCTATTCCTCTGATATAATCCTTTTTAGTGTTTAGGTTACTATCCTTTTTATTGGCAGAATACTTTTCTCATGAATGTTATTCTAACACAAATAAGGATTTGATATCAACAGTACAGCAACACTGCAACTACAAAAATAAAAATCAGCACCTTTCTGAAAGTGATGTGGATTGTTGTTGAACTTTCATCTTGTTATTGTTAAATAGAAATGTACTACTTTATGGTCTGATTGTGATGACTTGCATCAATAAATGTTGAGTGTTAAACTATTATATTGTCATATAGTTTTATTGTCAAAGATACTCTGGCATTTCATCCTTTTTAACTGTTCCTCATATAAAACAATAAAGTTCAAATTTGAACCTTCAACTTCAGAGTCTGACACCAGAGATGACTCTGAGTATTCAAGGGGACTCCAGCTCTCAAAGAGACAGTTCTGACTTTGTGACCTTTTTCTCGAAAAGAAATAACTTTTCCCTGTTCTATGCCTTTACCTTTACTTTCTTCTTGCTTCTAACACATCAACACTCAGTCACTTTATCCTGCTGCTGCTGGGACCGTACTTGCCAGTAATTTGGTGTCCTTGCTATAAGCCTTGCTATAGAAAAGGTAATTTCCAGTAACAAGTAATGAATTGATTAACATCTTACAGCTGTTCTGCAGCAATGGAAGTAAATTATATTGTGACGCGTGAAGTATTTTGCTAACATAATGGAGAGAAAAGGGGAATTAACAAAGGAAATCAGAGGAGGTTAAAATTATGAAAACAATATAAACTAAATATTATAGCAGACTACCTTCTGATGTCTTTCTCTTTATTTGTTTGAAATCTTCAGAGATTTTACTTAAATTAAGTTATTTAATTGTAGTTATATACAACTTGACAGAAAACTGAAGTGCATGTCAGCAAAGACTTCTGGGTAAAATATAATGGGAGAGAGAGGCAGAATATTGAACTGATATCAGTATTTAATTGCCAGTTTCCAACAGAAAGGGTTGGGGTTAATAGTTTTTCTGAATTTTCAGAACTGGTCAGTTTGCCCCTAAATGAAATAAGGGGATCAATTAACAAAACACATTACACAATGTTAATGACAACATTATTTTAAATATTTTAATTTATTTCTGCTATTATTTTAACACCTCTTTCACTGTCTGCATTAGTTTCTGTACTTGCTGTGAATCTGAGCCTCTGTTCTCAAATACAACACATCTATTGTGACACTTTTCAATAATCTTCTTAAGATCAGGCTGACAGGAACGCAGAAATTCCTCCAAACTCATTCCTGCTTGCTTCAGGTCGTCTCCACGAGTAAACAGGATGATTGTTTGTTTAAGAATTTTGTTACCAAAAGCTTTTTCCAGCTTTTTCAGAATGTCTCTCTCAGCGTCAGTGAATCTGCTAACATGTATCACCAGTAAGAACACACAAGGTCCTGACTCACAGAGCTGTTTGCACTCTTTCACATGTTTGTTCTTAACTGATGATTCAATGTCATCATCAAAGATGTCTGGAGTATCAATGACACGTACACGTTTACCTCCTATCACAGTTTCTGCCTCTTGGCACTCTGTGGTGATTGGATTTGAACTGACTCTTGAGATGAACTGTTTCTTTCCCAGGATTGTGTTTCCAATTGCACTCTTTCCAGTCCCGGACATTCCCAGCAAAACAAGATTCACTGTGGTGGCAGAGTGTTTTCCTACATTGATACAGAACAAAGAGAACTTAAGACACATTTAGAATTAATTTAAATATATTTCTAAATTGCTCTTAAGTCTTTTTGTTTGGAATTCATCACCCTTTGCTAAACATTGAACATTTGAGTAAGAGTCAGAGGGTGCTCACCTGTCTTCTCCATTAGAGTGTGTGATGTTGGTGTATATGGCGAATAGCTGCACACTGGAGTGTGTGATCTTGACGTAGACGGATGTAGAGGCAGATCCCTATAATGTAGAGACAGAGACATATTCATTTACCAACATGTTTGCTTTTGTAGATTTAGATCATCTATAGGGTAACAGTATGCAAACAATTACAACAGTACCCCTGCAGACATTCATGTGTGAACCAGTATATCTACATATCTCCTCTTTCACCTTTACCTCTTGTTGGTCAGATGTCTCTCTCCAGCCAGTTTACTGAGCTCACTGAAGACCTGCCCTATGGTGGAGAATCTGAATGGATAAGATTCTGTGTCTTTGTAGCTGAGGGGCAGCACAACTCTGAACTCTTCTGTGGGTTTTCCAGTTGTTCTGTGCAGCTTTTCTATCTGCTGCCACACCTCTTCTGTTGAAAACCCATCTTCTACCACCAACAGAGACATGTCAGGGTGTTCATTAATAGCAAACAGTTGTCTTATGTCCTCACATTCTGTGTACAAGTCTGGTGTATATGTGACTTTATATGTATCATTTTCATATATCTCAGTTTTTTTCAGAACTTGTGTTTTGAGTAGTTTTGATAAATCTTTCCCCAGGATGTTGGTTATCAGAGCTTTCTTTGCAGAATCTTCATTTCCCAGGACAACAACTGAAATCTTCCTTTCTGTAAAAACAATGAACATATTGTCATTTTTACCTGATACATACAATAAAAAAATCCTCTACATTGTTCTACTGTTATCCAATAAAGGTCCATTTTACTTCAACAAGAGAGTATTACTGACTCAAAGCAAAGAAAAAATAAAAAACATTTCGTTCATAGAAAACAATTATGTCATAACTTACTGTCAGACATGGTCCTCTGATCCAGAGCAGTGAAATACAGACAAGCTGTGTGGTATCTGCAGAATGAGCTGCTCTCTGCCTGTTTTATATGGTCCTGTTATGCAAATATTAGTGGGCGTGTCAACAGAGAGAAAGGTTTCATATCCCATCCGAGTTCAGAGTCCGTAACTGCATCCTGTGAAAAAGGTGTGGTATGGTGGGGTAACAGAGCGGCTCATCAGGGATCATGGACATTGAGAAATCTGATGAATTAATCAAAAGAGTAATTGTGAGACGTGTTGAACTCTCATGTCCTGGTCCTCATATGTTCCTGCTAATCCGGTCGATTCGCCAAGGAAGAAAAACAGGCAAAAACAGTGTAGCCTAGACCTGATTCATATTTTACCACAAACTCAAACTTAAATGACAATTACATCCCTGAATGTGTAAATGTATTTCATCAAATGAACACACTATAGAAAATGAATGCACATTACTGTCTTATGATCATACTCTACTTATCATTACAGTTCCAACTGTAGTGAGACCTCACAGCTCCTGTAAGGTTGGCTCACTGGCTGTATCTGTGACTAAATATGACAGAAACACATGAACTGTGAATTACATTTGAAGACCTGAAGAGCTTCTTGCAATGCCTGATGCAGGGCAGATATTCCCGCACTTCTTATTGATTAGGAATGGGCTGCACAGAGTGAGTCGTCACACTCAGACAGGAAAGGAAATTATCCAGTTCATACTATTAAAATACAGTTTTCTAGTTTGTGTATGTAAATTTCATATGGATGAATGATGAATGAAATGAACTTCAGCACATTTACACTCATGTGTAAGCTGAAATGTTGATTAAGGAGCTCCAGGCGGTTCCCCAGTAGGCAGTCTGTCCATCAGACCTACAGACGGAGAACAGTTATAGTGTAGTGACATCTTCTGGTCATTTTTGGAAATATTTGTTTTGTTGGAATGAAATCTTTCCATGACTGACATTACAATTACATATCCAAAAAGTTAAATTAACAAGCAGCCATGAGAGCAACTGTAATCACAGTAATACAAGAAGTATGATGAATTTTTTTTTTGCAAATTTACATAAAAATCTGACTAGTGACATTAGGTCAGTCGTTTAATGTCACTACCTATAAAGCCAAATAGTTAAAGCAACAGAGCAATGACTTACTTACTTAAAGTTAAGTGTGTCAGAGCGTAGCAGGACAAATAATCATGGATGTGCAGTAACTGTGTATACGGAAACAAAGAAAAAAAACATATTGCAGGAAACTGAAAACTTATTTTAGATTGAACTTCAGTAAGTATTTCCATTTTAAATTTTGTAGTATTTTGATCATATTTAAGTGAACGTATTTAATAAAACACCAGTGCCAGTTCATCTGCCACCAGTGGTACATTGTTTGAAAACCAGTGGCTTAAACCAAAATATGGGACAACTGAAGGTTTAACCAGATGGTGGAGCTGGAAAGGCCATGAGATCAATACAGTTCATCCTCTGAGGACCATGAATGTCACAACTTAAGTTCATAGCAATCCATTCACCAGTAACAACCATCACTACCAACCTGTTGGTGACCTGAGTCGGCTCCACTGGGGGGCATCAGTGGGCAGTCCCCTCCCACTTCATTCACTGACTATACCACAGCTGATATAGGAGAAGATTGTCTCCCCAGCTGCCCTAAGAGCCTGTCTGGGGGTAAGAAGAGATGTTTTCTGGCTGCCTTGTTCCAGAGGAGGGATTGGCTGGAGAACTCTGTGAAAGCATTTTTTTCTTTCAGACAATGTAAACTGTGTATTGTTGCATTTATTTATATTATGATAAATTTTATCTTATTAGGAAAACGACTATATTTGTGATTTGTCCCTTAAAATTTTATTCTGGGAGCCGACCACTGAATAACTTTCACTATGCATGACTACATTGCTACTTGCCAGTAATTTGGTGGACTCAGTGACAGGTAGATGTGTACCTCCTATCACAGTTTCTGCCTTTTTGCACTCTGTGGTGACCTGAGTTTAACTGGTAGTTGACATGAAGAGTTCTTTTCCCAGGATTGTTTCCAGTTGCAGTGAATGTAGAGGGTGACAGCGGCCACCTCTAAAACAAAGCCTGACCACCCAGTTTAGTGTCAAATGCTGTCAAATATAACACATTACTTTAGATAAATTTTTATATATAATGTATTAAAAACTGGAAGTTAACACATACAACTGAATGATCTGTTATGACCACATTTTAGGCTAAGTGATAAGTTTAATGAAAGAAGAATTAGGAACGATGTATTAATAGCAATAATATCATGTTTTATAGTTCAAATACCTTAATTTAAGTTAGTTTCTTACAGGTTAATATTGATATATGATTGTTATTAGGTCAGCAGCTATTTCTGTTAAAGTCTCCATGTCACCCCCTACAAGAGGGAGCACAATGACCCTGATTGTGTTTACAAGATACCTGAACCATCACAGGTGCCATCCACAAACTTTTTGCACTATTTATATTTAATTTCCACATGTACAGTTTAGTTTTAGTCAAGCTGCTCATATATGTGCCTACTTTCCTACTTGAATATTGCATAGTGTATATACTTTCATTTGTGTCTTATATTTCCTATTATATTTTGTAATATCTTATTTTGTGATATTTTCTGTACTCTCTTTTGCACTACATTGCCCTATGCTGTTGGTCAATCTTGAATTTCTCCTAAGTGGGATCAATAAAGGAATAACTTATCTTATCATGACAGGATTGTTAGAGTCAATGAAACATCTTCTGGACTGAAGATTGTCATTAAGCTGTAGCAGTTTACAAACATATTTTAAATATTTTTTCATCGCAAATTCCTTAAAACAGGCCACATGACATCAACGATCTGTTATTGATGATATCCTGATCAGTGCCATAGACGAGTGAAAACACATCAATAATACACATATTTTACATTTTTGATAACTACATAATAACTATATCATTTATTTTTTCATTCATAACTAAAAGCTGTAATTCTAATGAAATATTCACAGATTCAGACAGTAAAAACAATTATTGATCTACTATAATTCATGTGGATTGATTGATCCTTTCTCTTGGACTGTTGGTATCAGAGGAGGGAAATGTAATGACCGGACCGGAGATGGCGCTGCTTCCAATAGACAGTGAAGAAGAAGAGCAGCCATGTTTGTAGTTCTGTTTCTGTTAAAGTGGACACAGTTTGTGGAAACCAAGCCTGATCCTGATCCTGACTACTTTCTCATTGTAAAAAACAATAAAGGGGGAGGGTCAAGTAGTCAGGTCATGTGACTTTATGCAACATTGAAAAATATACTCATCATCTGTGTCAAAATCCAAAATGGCAGACATAGAACAAAACCACTGGCCACGAGGTAACAGTTGTTATTTTTTCAGGTTTATTATATTTTGGTGGACTTTGTTTCTTCAGGATGATTTTATACGTTTTTATTGAAAAATAATGAATTACATTTGAACAGCTCTGATAATGAGGCATTAAATGTCTGTACACTGGATGATACATCGGTATAAAACAGGGATAATCAAACATAGATATATGCAGGTTTTAAAGCCCATACTACAGATAATCAATAATATAAAGGTGTGAAATATTGATTACTCTTTATTTTACTCTTAAATGTGTATTCGTGATAAATTCACCAGTGTTCTCTCTCTCTCTCTCTCTCTCTGTCTCTCTCTCTCTCATAAACAATCAATATATACGTGTTGAATGTATACCCTAAATGGGCAATGTATCTTGGAAGATACGGAAAAAAAATCATGAAATTGTGTTATTAGTATCTTGGATGACAAATTCCTCTGTGTACCACTAGAGGCAGCTCACGTACAACTAGTGGTACACGGACCATAGTTTGAGAACCAGTGGATTAAACCAAAATATTGGACAAGTTAAAGTTTTGACCAGATGTTGGTGCTACAAAGGTCAGGAGAACAATACAACTGAACTGATGTATTTCTCTTTATTTATTTGAAAGCTGCAGTTCTTCCTTTCATAGATTGAAATGATTCTGAAGTAAAATGTCTTCATAAGGATTCCTCCTTGATCAGTGAGCAGAACTTATCCATCAAATGTCCAGTAGATGGAGATATTGTACCAGTTATAATACAGTTCACTGATTGGTTTTGACACTTGACAATTTGACACAAAACTGAAGAACATGTCAGCAAAGACTTCTGGGTAAAATATGGTGGGAGAGAGAGGCAGATACTTTTAGTTATATTTGAATTAATGTTTTATTTTAATGTTTTGACCATTTTGAGTCAGTAAGAATATTGAATATTGAACTATGATATTAGGATTTCATTTCCAGATTCCAGCAGAAACATTCTGAAAAATAAATACTTTTTCTGTATTTTCAAAACTTTTTAAACTGGTTAGTTTGCCCCGAAATGAAATAAGGGGATAAATGAACAAATCACATTACACAATGTTAATGACAACATTTCCCCCTGTCCTCTATGTCTTTAATGCATGAACCAGTTTATAAGCTCTGTATCAGTGCAGGTTTAAATCACTCTGACAGGATCTGTGTGGTGGAATAATCAGAAACCATAGAGACACTGGGTTTACAACAAAGCTGGTTTTATTGGGAAATGTAATGTTTATATTATTACAGGTTACAAAGGGTCACAAAGGGAGAAAGACCGAGGTCTTGCATATGTAAAGAGATACGTTTAGTTCAGTGAACAAAATTCCTAATTATAATAATAATTTACTGTCTGAGTTCAGACATCTTGAAAACACAGGTCTCCCTCTTTAAACTCTTCCAGCAGTATTCCTGCTCTTTGCTATTTCTGCCACCTGAATAAAGAGGCCAAATAAGAGTTTTTCTAAGTTACTATAAAACCTTTTGGATCTTTTCAAATTAATCACCCTTCACTAAACACTACACATTTGTCTATAAAATTAGTAAGATGCTGCTGAGAGAGGCTTTTGCTCACCCGCCTTCTCCTTTGGAGTCTGATGTCTCTCTTCAACCAGTTTTCTCAGTTCACTGAAGACCTGCCCCATGGTGGAGCATTTTAAATTACATTTTTAGATCATTTTGGTTGGGTAGTTGTAATAAATATTTCCCTAAGATGTTGATTATTAAGGATTTCTTCAAAGAATCTCCATTTCCCAGGACAACGACTGAAATCTTGTTTTCTTTGAAAACAACAAAAACATAATGTCATTACTACCTGATGAATACAATTTAAAGAAATACATTTTATCTGGATTATCTGAAAAAGGTTCCCTATACTTTAACAAGGGAGTTCTACTGGTACGAAGGCAAAGAGAGGATTAAAAACATGCCTGATAGAAAATAATAATTTCACAACTTAGTGTCAGACATGGTCCTCTGATCCAGAGCAGTGAAATACAGACAAGCTGTGTGGTATCTGCAGAATGAGCTGCTCTCTGTCTGTTTTATATGGTCCTGTTATGCAAATATTAGTGGGCGTGTCAGCTGAGCAGCAACCATATAAAGAAACAACAAATGTTTTTGTCGTCTTTATAGAGACGGTGCTGAGAGAAGATGGTTTCAGTTCCTGCTGGTGAGACTCAAAACAACAGTTTTTTACTTTACTTTAAAATCACAATGTGCTCATATCCACTAAAGTACTTGTACATCAATCAATGATATACTCTTTCAGATGCTTAAACACAAGTTATAAATTGTATTGCAGGTCCTGATTTGAGAATTCTGATTATTGGAAAAACTGGTGTGGGCAAGAGTGCTACTGGAAACACCATCCTGGGAGAGAAATGTTTCACATCTCGTCCCAGTTCAGAGTCAGTGACTGAGACCTGTAAAAAAGGTGTGGTACAGTGGGGTAACAGAGTAGTTTGTGTGGTAGACACACCAGGGATCATGGACACTGAGACATCCCCAGAATTCATCAAAAGAGAAATTGTGAGATGTGTCGAAGTTTCCAATCCTGGTCCTCATGTGTTCCTGCTGGTCCTCCAAGTCGGTCGATTCACCAAGGAAGAGAAGAACTCAGTGGAAGCCCTGCAAGAGCTGTTTGGTCCAACAGCTATCCAGTACATGATCGTGCTGTTTACCCGTGGTGGTGATCTTGGAGACACGACCATCCAAGAGTATGTACGTGAGGGCAAGCCAGAGCTTCAACGAGTCATCCAAAGCTGTGGAAACAGGTTCCACGTCTTGGAGAACACCAGTAAAGACAGAAGTCAGGTGGTGGAGCTGATCAAGAAGATTGATGACATGGTTGCTGGAAACAGAGGAACGTACTACACAGATGAAATGTATAAAGAAGTGTCAAAGGGAAAGGCACCTGAAGGCAAATACAAGTTCACTGATTCACTGTTACAACGTATCTTAAGATTTATGTTGATTCTTTCAAGAGAGTAAATAAAGTCAGTAGCAACAGGACAGCTTCTGTACCCATGAAATAAAAAGATATATGATACATTAAAAGCTTTAACACACACTCTTACAGTGTAAACAGATGTGTAGTGTAAAGATAATGCAGGTTGTGATGTCCTACTAATTATTTCTTCTTCTTTTACATATAAACTTGTTCTTGATTTTATAATATGTATAATGATAATGGTTTGGTATGTAAGAACTTAATTGTATACTGTTTAATGATCTCTTATTCATGTATTTCTTGAAAAGATAATGTTTAGTTTTATTCAGTAAAATTTTAATAATTAAATTATTATAATATAATGATAAAAAAAACACACCAGTGAAAACGTATGACTACAGCTGTAACTGCCACCAATAAACAATACAATGTGACAGCTTACTGTTTCTGTCAGGTTGGCTCACTGCCTGTATCTTTGGCCAAATAGAAGAGAAACGTTAATAATGAAGGAAGAACACATGACCTGTGAGTTTCATTGGAACATCTCTACTTGAGAAAAATAGCAAAGATAGTTTGTTGTGATAAAGCTTTGTTTCACTGGAACGAGGAAGAACAACAGAGCAGGTGCTGAAAGTCTCTTGGAATGATTATCATGAAAACAACTGTCACAGTTTGATCTTAACCAACATCTACTGCATGTAATTAATGATCTGGTAAATCCAGATCGACCTGTGTTTCTGACCCAACTTAACCTTATGTCACTTTATGTCACGTTAGCTTTCACACATTGTTCATATGCACACATTGTTTTGTCCTCTAGAGTTTTTAATATTTGACACTGTTGATTCATTACTGTTATTATTACACCCCCTTTGTAATATTATTAAATATTATAATTATTATTATAATAATATTGTAATAATTATAATCCCTCAGGTCGGGTCCCCCTAGTGGCCTGGCGCACTTCCGTTTTGAGGAGTGAACTTTTCTTATCAAACAGCAGATATAATTTGTTGTGAAAAAGCTATGGTGTCACAGGAATGGGGAAGAACAGCAGAGCTAGTTAACACACTAGTGACTGGAAAATGAATGGACATTACTATCTTTAGTGAAACTGTCTTTATTTATGATTACACTTCCACCAATATTGTGACAGTTCACTGCTTCTGTGTGGTTTGTTCACTTCCTGAATCTGTGAAACTTTAATACATTTCTGACCTGTAAGTTTCATTTGATGAGGAATTTTCTTATCAAAGATATCTCTTCATAAGCTGAAAGCAAAATGTTTATCTCTGCTCAGACAAACTGAAAAGATGATTTGTTGTGAAAAAGCTTTTGTTTCATTGGAATGAGGAAGAACAACAGAGCAGAGAGTCTGTTGTAATTTAATCTTAAATAATGGCCTCATGTAGTTGTTCTGGTTAATCCAGATCCTCCTGTGTGTTTGACTGATTTTGACCTCAGGTCACTTTGTTACCTTTCAGACGTTGCACATATGCAGACATTGTTTTGCTCTCTGAGTTTATCCTCCATTCTTTCTAAAATGTCTGATCCATCCGTACAGTTTATTTATGAACAGCTGTATCATTACTGTAATGTTACTACTTCAAACAGCATTATTCCAGATTTTGCCCCACAGAGTAGAAACAAACCAAAGAAAGAAGTCAGATTATCAGAAATAATCAGATTTAAAATGTTAAAATTATCTATATTGACTATGACTCATTTCCACCGTGTGTTTACATCCTGAATTCTCTATTTTTTGGAGTCAGGATGTGAAATGAAATAATCACAGGGATAATAAGAGCAGTAATAATTATGATATTAATCAAGACCACGGCAGCAAGCCCAACCACGATCCATGGGAACCTGCAAACCCCTAACCCTAAACCAGTTCATAACTGAGTCTGACAGGATCTGTGTGGAATAACCAGACACTGCTGATTATAATTGTTAAATGTCATTTTTATATGGCACAGCTTACAAAGGAGAACAAAGTGAGAAAGACCGAGGTCTGGTACGTGTAAAGAGGTAAGTTTGGTTTATTGGACAGAATAATGCTCCAATTTCAAACAAACATAATATGAAAATACATAAATATCTTATTATATGCTGCACATTAAGGTTTACTTTAGGTAAATATTTCCCTAAGATGTTGGTTATTGAGGATTTCTTCAAAAGAATCTCCATTTCCCAGGACGACTGAAATCTTTGTTTCATTATTACCTGATAAATACAATTTAAAGAAATACATTTTATCTGGATTATCTGAAAAAGGTTCCCTATACTTTAATAAGGGAGTTCTACTGGTACGAAGGCAAAGAGAGGATTAAAAACATGCCTGATAGAAAATAATTATTTCACAACTTAGTGTCAGACATGGTCCTCTGATCCAGAGCAGTGAAATACAGACAAGCTGTGTGTTATCTGCAGAATGAGCTGCTCTCTGTCTGTTTTATATGATCCTGTTATGCAAATATTAGTGGGTGTGTCAGCTGAGCAGCAACCATATAAAGAATCAACAAATGTTTTCGTCGTCTTTATAGAGACGGTGCTGAGAGAAGATGGTTTCAGTTCCTGCTGGTGAGACTCAAAACAACAGTTTTTGTTAATTAACTTTAAAATCACAATGTGCTCATATCCACTAAAGTACTTGTACATCAATCAATGATATACTCTTTTAGATGCTTAAACACAAGTTATGACTTGCATTGCAGGTCCTGATTTGAGAATTGTGATTGTGTTGGAATGTGCTGTTGGAAACACCATCCAGGGAGAGATTCAGTGTCCGAGACCTGTGAAAAAGGTAAGACAACCTTGGGTAGTTAGTGTGACAGACACACAAATGGACACTGGGAAATCTGAGGAATTCATTAATAGCGAAATTGTGAAATTGTTTTTAACAGTTTCCATACATAATTTTAATATGTTAAACTTTAAACATGAATTGGATTATCACTACTAATTTATACATACAAATTATAATAAACAAAACCAGCTAAAACACAATGTAGTTGGGCTACAAATCATTAAAATGTAAACCTTTTGAAAGCTGAATGGTCAAAATAGGCACGATGCACCTTTAATACCTCACCCTGCTATGAGCTGTCCACTAACTAAAGCCAGCAACTGGCTTAGCAATTAGCAATCTTTTAAGAGCATTACTACAGTGATACAATATGCACCAAAGTAAACAATAAGGCAACAGCCTCTTAACCCCGATATTTCTTTATGAAAAGTATATTGCATTTAAAGTTGAGACTGGTGAAAGAATCGCTCTCCTGGAGTTGTGACATGACAGCTGCATGTATCTCTCTGCTCCAATCCTGATGCAAACAGTGTATGACACTCCCTTGTGGAATAACATTGTAACTACACTTCTAAAGGACAGAGGGGTTTAGTATTCCTATGTTTTATCGGGGTTGCACAGGCAAAAAAGCAAATGTGTGAAAGAAAAACTTTTTCATTATATCCTCGGAAGAGAGTAAATATCCATAATCAGCAGCTTTGTATCCCTATCTATCAGTAAAGACATGTTTCAAAGAAGATATATGTTGTTGATTGTGAGAAAGGCTCTTAAGGTGCAGAATAAAAAGCATTTTAAAGATCAACTGTAGAGAAACTGATGTGTTTTTCAGGGACAGGTTTATATGTAATAGAGATAACTCTGCTACACATACAGTTAAACTTGTTCTTGATTTTATATGTATAATAATGGTGGTTTGGTTTGAGATTAATAAAATTAATCTTATCTGCCTATAAATTCAAAACAAATTAACACTCAACGGTTACATTCATTTGTCTGTAACAGCAGATATAATCTGTTGTGTCACAGGAATGAGGAAGAACAGCAGAGCTAGTTAACACACTAGTCACTAGAAAATGAATGGACATTACTGTCTTTAGTAAAACTGTCTTTACTTATGACTACACTTCCACCAATATTGTGACAGTTCACTGCTTCTGTTCACTGCCTTTAAAACTTCAATACATTTTTGACTGCCACCAAAAGCTTCTTCCAGCTTTTTCAGAATGTCTCATTGTCAGTAAATCAGCTTTTATTATTAATAAATATATTCATTAAAACATACATAAAACTGCTGCACACAAATACAGCAGACACATCTTGAACACACAGGCCTCACTTTTGGGAATCCTTGTGGGGTCAGTGTTGGACTCTTTGCTATTTCTGCCACCTGAATAAAAAAGTCAAATAAAAGTTTTTGTAATTTGCTATACATTTTTTTTTTTTTTTTTTTTTTTTGGTTCTGTTTGAATTAATCGTTATTCACTACACATTTTACAACTAGTAAGATGCTGCTCCTCCTTTGGAGGGTGTGATGTTGATGTATTTAACTCCAGTTGGTCAGCATTTCTATAATGTAGAGTTTGACTTAGTACATAAATGGTGTAATAGTATGCAAACAATGACCACAGTTTCCCTGTAAACTAAATTGACTAAATATTGCACCAGTGTTAGTCACCACTCTGCATACAAGAAATGCACTGTGTGGCACTCACACTCTCTTTCACACATACAGACACAATCACTCAAATTCATTCACTCTTCTTACAAACAAACAAATCAGTACATCTACCACCAACAGAGACATGGCACGTTGTTCATTAGAGCAAATCATTCTTTCATGTCTTTATGTTCTGTGTACGTCTGGTGTACATGTGGACTCATATGTTTCATTTCCATACATCTCAGTATTTTTCATAGTCATTCTTTTGGATAGTTAAAGTTTAAGAATCTCCATTCCCCAGGACAACTGAAATCTTCTTTTCTGTAAAAAACAACAACTGTCATTTTTATCTGATAAAAACAATAAAAATTCATATATGTGCTTACATTGTTCCTTAATTATCCCAAATCAGTATTTTACTTCAACAAAGTAGTATTACTGATACAAAGTGAATAAAACATTAAATTCAGACATATTTATATATTCAGAAAATAATTATTTCACAACTTAGTGTCAGACATGGTCCTCTGATCCAGAGCAGTGAAATACAGACAAGCTGTGTGTTATCTGCAGAATGAGCTGCTCTCTGTCTGTTTTATATGGTCCTGTTATGCAAATATTAGGGGCGTGTCAACAGAGCAACAACCACATAAAGAATCAACAAATGTCTTTATGTTTATTTTTGTCATCTTTATAGAGATGGTGCTGAGAGAAGATGGCTTCATTTCCTGCTGGTAAGACTCAAAACAAGTTTATATTACTTTAAAATCACAATGTGCTCATATCCACTAAAGTATTTGTACATTAAACAATGATATACTCTTTCAGATGTTTAAACACAAGTTATAAATTGTATTGCAGGTCCTGATTTGAGAATTGTGATGATTGGAAAAACTGGTGTGGGTAAGAGTGCTGTTGGAAACACCATCCTGGGAGAGAAACGTTTCCGATCTCGTCCCAGTTCAGAGTCAGTGACTGAGACCTGTGAAAAAGGTGAGGTACGGTGGGGTAACAGAGTAGTTAGTGTGGTAGACACACCAGGAATCATGGACACTTCAAAATCTCCAGAATTCATCAAAAGAGAAATTGTGAGATGTGTCGAGGTCACATGTCCTGGTCCTCATGTGTTCCTGCTGGTCATCCAAGTCGGTCGATTCACCACTGAAGAGAAGAACTCAGTGGAAGCCCTGCAAGAGCTGTTTGGTCCAACAGCTAACCAGTACATGATCGTGCTGTTTACCCGTGGTGGTGATCTTGGAGACATGACCATCCAACAGTATGTACGTGAGGGCAAGCCAGAGCTTCGACGAGTCATCCAAAGCTGTGGAAACAGGTTCCACGTCTTTGAGAACACCAGTAAAGACAGAAGTCAGGTGGTGGAGCTGATCAAGAAGATTGATGACATGGTTGCTGGAAACGGGGGAACGTACTACACAGATGAAATGTATAAAGAAGTGAAGGAAAAACAACAAATGTTAAAGGAATGGGGAATGAAGGCAATGGCAAGTGGTGACATGGATGAAGACCAGTATAAGTTCATGACTGCACTGTTACAACGTGTCTTTCTTTTTCATTCCATTCTTGAAAGAGAGTAAATACGGTAACTATAATCAGCATTAATATCCAGTCAGACCCGGACAGCTTCTGTTCTTGTGTGAAAATATGGAAAATATTTTAAAAGTTTTGATAGAAATGTAATGTTATTTTATATTGCCTTATAGCTGTCTATCAGTAAAGACATGTTTCAAAGAAAATATATGTTCTTGATTCTGAATAAAAAGCATTTAAAGATCAACAGTAGAGATTATACAGTCTGTGATTAACTATTTTAAGCACAGGTTTATATGTAGCAGAGAGAACTGACGATGGTGGTTTGCTTTGTCAAAAGTTAATTGTATGGTGTTTGATTTTTGCTTATTGATGTAGTGTCTGTTTGATAAAATTGAGCATAGCGTTAGTTCAGGCAGGGCACGAAGTCAGGCTTAGCTTTCAGTTACAGCTATATCATACGAGCACAGCTAGTCATAAACATACATCAGCTGATTCCTCTAAGCTTCCCATTGGATACCATACACAGTCAGCTGACAGCTCACCTGATTTCCTCAAGCATCCAATTGGCAAACATCATGCATGGCGCCTTATTTAAGCTGCTTTAGCCTGCCTGCCTATCTCTGCTGCTCCTCTACAAGCCTTTTTGCCAGGATGTTGTGTGCGTTACTTGTGGTTTGTCGTTTGTCGTTTGTTTCTACTTGTCCTGTCTGCGGTGAGTATGATGGCGGGTCGATTGCATTGTGAAGTCTCAGCAGCGATCTCGGCTGTTGGGGAGAGTGTCGCTTTGAACAACATCCGCAGTTGTGTCCGGCTGCTCTGGTTCTGGGGGGTCTGCAGAAGGGGGGAGGAATTGCTCCTGCGGCTCCGCTGCGGTCCCGGCTCTGGCTCCGGCGCTGCGCTGCCTTTCAGGGGAGCGCGGGTCCCAGGCGCAGCGGCCGGCTCCACCTGTCTGCTTGTCAGTTCTGTCCAACATCCGGTTGTCGCTTGCCGTCATGGGTTCAAGGGTCCAGGGTTCGGTTCGGCACGCCAGGCCGGCCAGTCTTCGTCCGCAGTTGGCCTGTTTCCCTCTTCGCTGTCTGCAGGTAGAGCGCATGATCCCACAGGTGCAGCGCTGGACGATGACGTCACAGCAGCTTGTTTTGACGGCGTCACATTCCCGCCGAGAATGCTGGGAAGTGCAGTCCCAATCACCATAGGGAAGAACGTGCTGGGGGCATGAGAGATAAACCTTCAACCCCAGTAAACGTCCCTGAGCTGGGGAAGGCGCTAAGAAAGCATCTAAACACTATTAGTGAATTATCTGTTATAGGGCTGCTTCATGGTTCTTAGCTGGGTTGACTTTGCTTTGAAGAGCTGAGATAGTCGATGCTTTACTGAAGAAAGGTTAACAAAGGTTCATATTGGTCCATTCATAAATTGCCTTCTCAACAAGCATTAAGGTATAGCTACCAGGAAATATTCAGGGAAAATAAATAAACATAATTATTAATTTATCTGCTCTGCAAAGGCAAACTAAGGCATAATAGTTTAAATCCTCTGGCACTTTTTCCTTATTTTATGCTATAATCTACAATGCCATCAGTTGATTAAGGAAGCATGTAGAGGCGCATGGCTAGCCAAGGCAGATGTCACAGATGCATTTAAGTCATGTATTACACCTTCACATTGGTATCCGTTCGGTTTAAATGAAGAGAAATGTACTTCTCAGTTAGGCTCACCTTTAGTTGTTACAGCAGCCCCACATATTTGACACTTGTCAGAGGCTCTCTGCTGGATTCTTTTAATAACTGCAACTGCTTTCGTGCTCCATCTCGTAGACGATTTTCTGTTAGTTGACTATCAATTCAAAATCAGACCATGCATTTTTGCTCTTAAATATACCTTTAAACATTAGGTCTTCCGCTATCCAAGGAGAAACATCAGGCCCTGTAAGGCTAGAGTTCTAGGCTTCACTCTAGATAGTGTACTGATGCAAATCGCATCAGAGAGGTAATGAAGCAGTAGTATTTCCAAAAGAGAACTGCTCTCCTTGCTTAGACATCTTAAATTGGCATGTGTGTTATTCCCCAGGGAAGTTCCCTTATATCCAGGCTTCTGGACCTCTCCGATTTATAGAGAACTCCATGATATGGTGAGCTTGGAGAAGGGCTGCAGATCCGAGCCCCAGTCCTGATCTCTTCTGTGTGATAATGGTATGGCATCTCCTTCTTTTACAATGAGCAGCTAGAATCATCATTTGCCATTAATTATTAAAGACTCAGTATATTGAGTACATATAAATGAATCGAACACTGTGTGCCAGTTCACCCTGGGAGCTTTATGTCAACAGCAAGGTCTAATAGTGTGACTGCTATGATCTACTAGATCACTAATGAACAGCTTTGCTGAGCTAAGAAGACAGAGAGCAGACATGAGGGGCAATTAGGGAAGAGCAATGGATCCACAAGTTTTTCGGTGTTGTGTACAGACATAATGGAGATATAATTAATTCAAATATACAGTAGAAGTGGCATGATTGACCTGTATGATAACCGCCCTTCCGTAGGTTTTGGGGGGGTATTTTAATAATCAGTGGTTCACAGACATATGGCTAATAATGCCTCTTCTACCTTTTTAATGAATGTACAATTGTTGTTTCATGTTTCTGTGGGGAAAACACTGGTCAAGGAACAATCATGTTTTTGTGACAATGAGGCAACTGCCAACATCATTTACAAGGGCGTTCTTCAGTTCCATTCATAATAGATTTGTAAGGCGCCTCACTTGGTTATCTATGTTGGGTAAATTCATTATTAGAGCAGCTCATATTCCATGCTTGGATAACAATTGCTGATTTTGTACCAGTTTGAATTGCAGAATTTCGCCAGCTGTGCCCGGAGGCAGTGCCATCCAGCCTGACTTGCCCCCCATTTTCTCAAACCGTGTTAGAGTAAACACAACCATGCAATCCTACAGGCTATCTACTGCTCAGTATATGCGATCTGGTTAAGCTAATCTACATTAAAATAACTCCTCCATTCAATTCGCATAGGAGCAGCAACAAATGCAGCATCCGTAGCTCCTGTCTCGATGCTAAGGCTATGGGTAAATGTTCATTATCTGCTACGAACGACATCTCCGGTCTGAGGCCAAGCAATTCTTGATGCTAGTAAAGCAATGAGTGCCCTGTAATTCCGGCTTAAATTCATTAATGTATAGCAAATTTCTGGGGATATCTCTAGTATACTTAGCCATGTACTTCAACTAGTGTCTGCTTAGACGTATTGGTTTATAGTCCTGCTGGCTCCTCTTACTGGCACTTCCATGTAGCTCATGGAAGGGAGGTTGCCTGGTGTGGTTCTTTGGGGGTCTCTGCTGCCGCTCTCCTTGTCTTAAACTTTTCCGTGAATGCACATGGAAGGGCAGGGAGATGTGCTCCCCCTGCCTTAAGGTTTTCCACGTAGGCATGTGGAAGGACAAGGAGGTCCAATACAGAGACACACCACCAAATATAATACACTTCTAGCATAACTTCTTAGGGATCTCTTCATTAATCCTCAGCCAAGTTACTTAAACTAGTATCTGCATAAGTTATTGGCTTTATTACTGTTATTTATTTCTTACAAAATTGCCCTGCTGGCTTCTCTTACTGGCACTTCCATGTAGCTCATGGAAGGGAGGTTGCCTGGTATGGTTCTTTGGGGGTCTCTGCTGCCGCTCTCCTTGTCTTAAACTTTTCCATGTATGCACATGGAAGGGCAGGGAGGTGTGCTCTCCCTGCCTTAAGGTTTTCCACGTAGGCACGCGGAAGGACAAGGAGGTCCCAGAAAAGAGCCATACCGCCAAATGTAAATTCTGCTTGGAATATAAGATATTTTGACAAAAGTGGTCCTGACTGAAGTACAGTTTAGTTTTATTCTGGAAAATGAAGATGAAATAAAAAATTATTTATATCTCTGAAGAATTGTGTTTAATGTTCCCTGAAGTGAGATAAAACGGGTGATTATTATCATTATTAGAATAGTATAATTATTTAATTAATTACTATATATATTATTGCTGCTGGTTTAGTTATTAATCATTTACAGTACTTGTGAATAACTACAAATATATATATATATATATCTGTTCATTGTTGGTTTAGGATGGTCATATACAAATAAGTATTGAACACGTCACCATTTTTCTCAGTCAATATTTCTAAAGGTGCTATTGACATGGAATTTTCACCAGATGTCGGTAACAACCCATACAATCCACACATGCAAAGAAATCAAACCATAGATGTCCATAAATTAGGTTATGTGTAATAATGTGAAATGACACAGGGAAAGGTATTGAACACATGACGAAAGGGAGGTGCAAAAAGGCATGGAAAGTCAAGACACCAGCTGAAATCTATCAGTAATGAGAAAGCAATCCTGCCACTTGTGACACCTCACTGCTTCTGTTCACTTCCTGAATCTGTGAAACTTTAATACATTTCTGACCTGTAAGTTTCATTTGATGAGGACTTTTCTTATCAAAGATATCTCTTCATAAGCTGAAAGCAAAATGATCTCTATCTCTGCTCAGACAAACTGAAACAAAGCTTTTGTTTCATTGGAACGAGGAAGACTAAGAGAGCAGAGAGCATTAAACAATGCCCTCATGTAGTTGTTCTGGTTAATCCAGATCATCCTGTGTGTCAGACTGAATTTAACCTCAGGTCACTTTGTTACCTTTCAGACGTTGCACATATGCACACATTGTTTTGTCCTCCAGAGTTTTTGCCTCCATTCTTTCCAAAATTGTATTTGAAACTATTGATCAAACTGACTCTGTAAGCAAACTTGTGTGTTCAGGTATAGGATCAGCATTGTCAGTCTCAACCAAACAGTAAACTGTACTATCTTTGGCTTGATGTACATGTTCTTAAGGTGTTTATCAGGACGACAGTACGGGCAGCAAGTGATGAAATCATGGATAAATGCCTCACCCACAGAGTCTGAGAGTGATGGCTGAAGTCTCGGTCACATCCTGACTCTAAATATCCAAAATTCAGGATTTAAACACAGTGGAAATGAGTCATAGTCAATGAAGATCATAAACATCACAACAACACAAAGGTCATCAAATGCAGGGCAAGACTTATTTCTTTGTTTCAACTCTGTGGAGCAAAATCTGGTATAATGCTGTTTGAAGTAGTAACAATACAGTAATGATACAGCTGTTCATAAATAAACTGTATTTGTTCAAATGTTTGCTTTTGTCAGTTGCTTCATCTATGGTGTAATATGAAAGGAATTACAAAACATATTACTATATCTACTAAATATTTTATATGTACAGTGTTTCTACATTAAGTTATGTCCAATCGTAAATCTCCACAACTCCTTTTACCTTTACCTCTTTTCAGTCAGTTTTCTCAGAGTTGAGGGGGCAGCACAAATCTGTGGGAACAGAACATAAAACAGAAGAGCTTCATCAGTGCTGAGCAGGATTTTCTGATTTCCATAATCACTGTTGGGGCACCTAATTTAAACTTTAAAAAAACTTTAGGCTCTTCAAAATTGGATCATTCTTTGACAAATGCTGTTTCTCTGAGAATTTTGATTCAACTTTTAAAGGAATAGTTCAACCTTTTATGAGCTTATCCATGCCGGGGTAACCAGCAAAAATAGGCTCCAATATGTGCAGAACATTACCCCCACCCTCATCCACCAAACAAAAAACAAATTCTATCAAGAAGAAAAGAAGGGAAATACTCCCTCTCCTCCTATACTGTATATTGGGTGTGACAGAGAAGAAACAGGGCCACCTGTTACTGCTCCAACTGCTAGACTCACAGAAACAGTATCGATAAAGAGCCAATCAGGATAAAACCCCGGAAATGGAGCTTCATGCAACAGCTGATCCCTCTGCCATTCAACTCTCACCCAAAGAAAATTACTGTAACTTTTATTCTCCAATTAGAGAAGACATCATATATAAAACCAGGTCTACTGTCTGCACTAAAGAAAGCGGAGCACAAGAGGTTTTTAAGCTGTTGTCTGTGCAGTCTGAAAGCGATACAGGAGATGTCAGAGATGCTCCGGTGGAAATGGATGCATCTATTACAGCTGAGAACTACTCAGCCACAAACACCCTGCCAACCCGTTCTCACCTCCAGAACAACTCCTCAGATCCTGGTTCCAGTAAAAGAGACTTCTGCATGTATGTACACGTTCTGAAGAATGTGTAGATCTGGATTTACAAAGTGCTGAGGATACTCAGAAGGCAATATAACAATAGAGAACTAGACACTAAGGCCTTATAAGGCAATATACATGAATAACCCTGTAAATTAGGTGAAAATTAATTAAGTGAAAGCTGCATCCTTCTTATTTCTAGCAGCATTTTTCCTGGAGCTGCACAATTAACAAAATGTTCAACTCAATCACAATATGACCAAGTGCAATATCCAAATTGCAAGAAGCTGCAATGTTTTGATGAAGGTAAAATGTTACAAACAGCATTATAATGAAGTACTGTAGTGCTGCAGAGATGCCCTGGCCAACCAATCTTGTTTTCCAGATGTAAGAAATCTCTGATAACATGAGTTTCAGTGAAACTTAAAATTGTGATGCAAAAATGAACATTCCCATCCCTATGAATCATATTGCAATCACAGTATCTGTCAAAATTCAACTTGTAATGCAGATGTTAGAGTTGTGCAGGAACAGTGGATCCAGGACATTTTTACTGGGGTGGCCAAGATGGGACACAAAGCTAGTGTGGAGTGGCCATGGCATAGCGAAGTTTAATGCGTATACGTACGCAGCCGACCACAGTTCGAATCCCATGCATGTCACATCCCCTCTCTCTCCCATGATTTCCTGTCTCATAACTGTCAAATAAAGGTGTCTATGCTGGTAAACAATATTTTTTAAAAAGTCTTTTTTTATTCCATTTCCACCTATCACAGTCCTCAAGTATCTCTGGTTATTTTAACATGTCTATTTTTAATCAGTAACTATGTTCAGGATAGGGTACACATTTTCTAAGAGCCATCTCCTTGTAGTGGATTAAAGTCCTCGTCTCTTCACAAGTTAGATTAGAGTAGCAAAATTCAACTGCTCTTAACTCATCCTATAGATTAACATTTATCAGTCATCAGCTCATCATCTGTTTCACCTGTTTTCTTACCTGTGTTTGCTTTACTGATTGAGGCGCCATCTTGTGGTTACATAAAACACAGCAATCCAGGCAACAGAACAAACCAAAATGCTTAAAGATAGGACCTTATTAAAAAGTGTATCTGTAAGCAAAAGATAAACTAAGCTTGTAAGGAAAAAAAACAGAAATATTTTTTATTCTTTACATGCTTAGTTTATGTTATTATTTAGCTTAGATATAATTTGTTGGAGATACTGGAATTTGAATTTTTTGGTTTGTTCTTTGCCAGGTGTGTTTTTATTTAACCACAAGATGGCGCCTAAATTAGTAAAGCAAACACAGGTAACAATACAGGTAACACAGATGATGGCCTGATGACTGAATGATGTCATTCTATAGGATGCCCTGTGATGTATGAAAATGTGCAAAAAGTGGTTTTCAACCCAGACAGTATTCATGTCCAAGGCCCTGATGAAGGTATAAATAGAAACGTTGGCTTTGATTCAGCATAAATTAAGAAGTTTATTTAAATCAAAGACTTAGAATCATAAATGGTTAAGATGCTTCTTCATAAATTAACTTATGATAAATATACATAAACAATTGAAACATAAACCAAACAAATGTTAACTACTGTGTAGTGATGTTTCAGACAGTTGTAATTGTATAACTGGAGTGACAAATAACTTGAATGTGAGCCTACATGGTAAATTCAAACTATCCAAGCATGACTTACAATCCTGCACTAGGAGCTGACTGCTCTTCATCACTACTGCTGTACCTAGGCTGCTGACCTGACTGAGCCTTTTCACTTTGAAGTAATAGCTATAATTACACACGTCAAGCAGGATGATTGTCAAATTGGGTTAGAATCAGCGTGTAAAATACAGGTGTTGGTGGGTCTCTGGACCCCCTTAAATAACAGCTTTGACCCCATTAAAATGTCAAAAAGAAAGGAGGTGTCAACAATATGCCTAATTATGTCTATTTATAGGATCTACAAAGGTTTATTTTTACACAACTACCACTCTTACCACTCACTTTTAATAACACAATTAACACATATTGCATCTCAAGCATTTGTGACATTTGAATGCAATTTGCTCTGCCTCTGCCTATTTAAACGTCTAAAAACATGTGACCTGTGAAGATGAGCTAAGTGATACAAACAAAAAGTCCTTTATCTCCAAGAGAAATAATTAAATAAAAGCCCTTAAAGCACAGAGCAAATAAATAAGCCACAGCTTGTTCTTGTGTCATAGCTACTTAAATCTAGACTGTCACTCTATATTTCACACACTGGTTGGCCAAAAAAATAACATTAGCTCTACTGAACACACACATCTGCAAAAAACACCCTCAGTCTTCAGTCCAGAAAATAGCGTTTCATATTTCATGGCGGTATCCAAATAACAATTAAAAAACTAAATGCTAACGTTCAATGCTGAACTTGGTTTGCAGGCTGCTAAGCTACCTAGTGCAGTGTAGTTGGACCTTTAGCTGCTAGATAAAGTTTTCCTCCACATTCAGAGGGAACTACGATATAACTAAACATTAAAATACCATTCCTCTCAATCGACAGATTTCAGTGTTTTTATCGTTGTTGTGTTGTTGATGTTGTAACAGCTCTCACAGCCTCAGTACGACCATTACTGTGTTAGTTAAACATGTAAAACTGGCCCTAAATCAGTTGATCAGCTGTCATCATTGATTGACAGCATTTCTCTTGTTTCTTGTGTTGACGAACTTGACCAACTACCAATCAGATCTGGGGTGATCAATGAACAATGAGCTGTAGCAGCTTACAAACATATTTTTATTTCTTATTTTTTATCACAAATTCCTTTAAAACAGGCCGCCTGACATCAACAACCTGTTATTGATGATATCCTGATCAGTGCCATAGACGAGTGAAAACACATCAATAATACACATATTTACATTTTTGATAACTATATCTAATATCTCTCTGATAACTATATAATAACTATATCATTTATTTTTTCATTCATAACTAAAAGCTGTAATTCTAATGAAATATTCACAGATTCAGACAGTAAAAACAATTATTGATCTACAATAATTAATGTAGACTGATTGATCCTTTCTCTTGGACTGTTGGTATCAGAGGAGGCAAATGTAATGACAAGACCGGAGGTGGCGCTGCTTCCAATAGACAGCGAAGAAGAAGAGCAGCCATGTTTGTAGTTCTGTTCCTGTTACAGTGGACACAGCTTGTGGAAACACCGGAGGCTGTCTGCGTGGTTCCGAGTGAGGGCGGGGTCCATTCCGTGTGAACATGGCGGAAGCTGAACACAGGTGAACCAAAACTAACTTTATTAGTCTTTTACAGAAGAGCCTGTGAGCTGAGGATGTTTGTGTGAATAATGAAGGTACAACAGGTGTGACTGAGATAAACCACCTGACAGGGCGCGGAAGTCCGGGTTGACGGGAGACGCTTCAGTCCGGTTTAGGATTGTCTTTTGAGCGTTTTAAAACACCTGCAGCAGTAAGAAAGACTGAACCTGCAAACACTATGAGCACCAATAAAAACAACCTGTTAATGAGAAATAAAACCTATAACATCACTTTCCTTCTAAACAATGCAGATGCAGCAGCATTTTCTAACGACCTGACCAGAATTAACATGCTTATTAAATATTAATCTTCTTCATTTTATTATGATGTGCTCAGCTCTCTAACTTATTAAGGATTATAAAACAGTGTGGTCTCTTTATTCGGGGTTCATATTCATGAAGAATTTATGTTTTTTTTAACAATCAAACTAATGTGAAACTTTTATGTGTGAAATTAATTTCCATTTTTCTGCTTTTCAGGATGAAGAAAGTGGTGAAAAAACCAAAGCAAAGAACAAAAGTGGAGTTTTGGGGGGAACCCTTCAAACAGCGTGATCCAGTCAGGGTGAGCCGCCTGGGCACTGATGAGTTTACAACAATGGACTCTGGAACTATGACCTCTCGAACAGGGAGAGGAATAGCAGAAACATTCCTCTGGCCTCCTGTGTACAGATCTCCTTGCTATCCCGTCTTTTTTTATGCTGGCAACAGAAGATACAACAGAGAGCCACCCACCCCCCCTGCATTGTCCACAGTGAGCGCTCCACACGAGGAGATGGATCCATTAACTTTGGCACAAATACTTAAGGGACTAAGTGACAGGTTAGAAGATACGGCTACGGATTTCAGACTGGCCCTCCAGGTGAGGGATGATTTACATTTAGCACGTGCATATCGCCCTCCCCCCTACATAACATACTTGTTCATCTCCTCTAAGGTTATCATTACTTCTATTACTCGCCGTTTAATACACCGTTTAACAAATTTCACATGGAATCACAGGAGTGACTGTGATGTCCTGGAGAAAATGGAGCAACAATCTGAGCAAACCTCATCTGAATACCATTCTCACCTCCTACACCCTCCAGATTGCTTAAGAAGCAGGACGGACTCCAGCTGTTTGTCTCGCTCTCACAGCGTTCCCTCACTGAGTCTAACAACCTCTGCAGACAACAAGACCTTTACACGAGCAAAGAGCTTACCTGACATGCTGTTCAAAAACAGCTTTGAGGAGTTTACACCTGATATCACTGCTGATGAGAACGATGAAAGCTACAGGTTCCAGTGCTCCTGCCCAGGCCTGTACCAGTGCAGTGTGACAGGTCTGCTGTTCCACATGGAGGGAGAAGGGGACGTGGTCTACAGGATTGTCCCTTGGGACAGGAGGCTACTGGGCCAACATCACAAGCAGCCTGCAGGACCCCTGTTTGACATCAAATGTGTGCAGCAGTCTATGTGTCAGCTTCATCTCCCACACTGTGAGATCCGCTCCACAGGTGGTTGTGGATTCTTGTCAGTTGCTCATGTGAATGATGACAGCATCGAGTTCATCGTCCCTCATAAGATAACAGAAACTCATGTTATCATAAACATCACAGGGTTTTCTGCTTTCGGTAACGTCAAGGATGAAGACTGCCCACCTGACCCGGTCCGAGCACTGGTTCTGCTGTTCTACAGACCCCCGGCTGATCCTGATCTTGAATCCCTCCTCAATGTGTTGTTGCTACCGACGAACGTCGTGCTCCGGGATGTGCTGCGCATCAGGAAGAAATTATTTGGAGAGGACAGTCTCATACAGGCATCCCCCCACTGTAAACTGCACCCAAAGCAGGAATACAAACTGTCCACTTGTCCTGAAGATGACTCAGTTCTAGTTCAACCAACAGAAGCAGAATTTGACTGTGATAACTATGACAACTACTTCCCGACTTTCCAGGTGAATTTAGAAAAAATCATGAAACATATTAAACTGTTTCTGAGAGAAACCAAAAGCCCCCACAGTGTCTGGGAAAGACGAGTCTGTCTTTCACCCAGTGCAGTAAAAAGATGTGTGCAGGGCAGTTCAGATGAGAGGCTGTTGGACATTTGGAGCAGCTTCATCGATGGGATATCAGGACCTGTTCTCAAAAGTCTGCTGGACAAACTGTTTGAGAAAACTGTGCTGACTGATTCTGAGAGGGAGTCAGCGGACGAGATCCAGAACAAAAGGGATAAAGCTCGTTTTGTTATCGAAACAGTGAAGAATAAAGCAGCTGGTTCAGAGATGATTGACCTTCTCTGTGAGATCGACCCCTTCTTCTCTGAACACCTCGGGTTGATCTGAAGCTGAATGAACAGGTGATACGTGCAGAACATGTTGACCTGGAGGTTAGAAACTGATCACCCTGTAATTCCCGTAAAAGACTTTTCCCTGCATCAGTCACTGTTCTTGATCTCTCCTTGATCAAAGAGAGAAAATGGTACATTGTTGTTGTGTAAGACAGTTATGAGTAGCTGGCATTAACTTATCTTCTGTCTGTAATTGTTAAAGGTTCATCAGTTTTCCTGGTATGGGAACCTCACAATCTACTGAACACATTATACTGTTCATCCATTTAGAAAAGTTTCAGCAATTAGATGTACAATTTGTGATTTTTTTCCCTTTATAAACATAAAAATATCCCTTCATCACAACTATACCATATTTACGGAGCCCCTAAAGGGACATGGGGAAAAAAAAAAAAAAAAAAAACGTTTCTAGTGCGCATTAGATATGATCCGTGTTGTGGCGAATCAACACATGGCTAATTTTAATATTCAAATGAGTATTAAACTAATTTGTCTGTAACTAAAAAATAAATGTAAATTAATCTGTAACCTCTTTTGTTACAGTCCGTATTTAAATGCCCTGTCCTGCAGCCGGACACTCATTTGTCCTCCTTTTGAGAAAATAACAAAAACAGTCCACCTTTTGACACATTACCTTGTTAGTTTAATACTTATTGGCTTAAAATGTGTGTCAAAATAAGTAATTTCATTGGTTACATTTTCGTTTTGTGACCTATCAACACATGGCTAATTGTAATATTTAAACGAGCCATGTGCTGATTGCCACAACACCAGAGCACTAGATACTATCTAGTGCGCACTAGAAACGTTTCTTTTTTTTTTTTTTTTCCATGTCCCTTTAGGGGCTCCGTACATATTCGTTTTCATATCAACATTTTTTTTTTAAATTGTTGAATCAATGTTAATAAGGGCCGTTTACTAACGTTGAATTTTTACTAATTTACTAATTATCTTGATTGCAGTCAGATTAACTTTTGTCACCAGGTTCTTACTCTTATCACTGGCTCTTTATATGTTTGTTGTTTGTATGTATTTAAGTTTTAAGCTGTTGTAATGTTCTCTGTAAGCCCCCCAGCAAGAACCAGCTGTCATTGAGTTTTACAACCAATAGAAAATAACTGGGACTTTGAAGGTCCAGCAGGTAAAACAGCTGTTTTCAGGCCTTTTATTTCCTTTTTACTTATTGTCAGTAGTGTCAGTAACACTGTGACTCTGCAGTCAAGTCAGGTTTATTCCAGGTGAGATCCTGACCTCTTGTGGTTGGACTGAAACAATGTTTTCACTGAAATATATTTAATTTCCTCCTGGGGATCAATAACATATCTTTATATCATTGTGAATGATGTGGCAGTGGTTATAAAACAGTGAAATCTTTTTATATATTTTAACATTTTGCCAGTGTGAATCTAACGGTGCAAGAAGAGGCCTAGAAGACAGCTATGCTCCATCATAAAACAGTGTCATTGCTGTATGTTAGTGTTGGATTTTACAGCATATAATTACAATTATTAAACAATATATATATTAAATTATCATTAAAATGTCTGTTATTTGTTTATGTTGGAACATGAATATAATTTGGTAAATGGATATTGTTTAGCATCATTATTGCTGGTCAACAAGCTTTATAATAAACTCATGAATTATTTGTTAATTGATAAGCAGCGTGTTATTTCTTATGCAACAGTGGACGATGTCGTTCCTTCACCATCCTAGGAAATAAAAATCCAGCTCACAGAATACTGAACATCAGAGGGACTTTATAAGTGGGTATACCTACTGCCGGCTGAATAATAAGTAGGTATACTCCATGTATCTCTGTATGCCTTGTACCACTGCTACTTCTAATAAATACAGTGGATGGGCGTTTGATATTCCCTCATGTGAGTGGAAAGAAACGGGGAACTGAAACTGAACATTACGGAGAGGAGCGGGAAAAGCAAAAGAGTCGGCAACAATGGGACGCACATGTCATTATTCATCATAATCGGATCATTTAATATATCATTTATATCGTTATAATAGATTATCGGTGTGGAAAACGCTGCAGATCACAAGCTGGACACAGAGGGGCCCACACAAAGAGGAGCCTAGGGGCCCCATGAACACCTTAATCGGATGAGTTACTTAACATTTTGTATTTATTACTCATTACTCGTTTCAAAAGTAATGTTATTACTTTACATATTACTCCCTGCCAACAGTAATCAGTTACACTACTCGTTATATTACCTTTCTGCTCCCTACAAATCAGTAATTGTGTCCCTAAAATTCAGACTTACGATGGTTAAAATCCAGTTTTATTTGTTAAAATCTAAGTAATGTGAATATTTCCAGCTGCTGAATGTTTCCATCTTTCAAACTAGTTTCCTCCACGATTACAGAAATGAATCCAAGGATGTGATTGGATTGTTGGATTTTAAATCAGTAGAGGAGTGACACCAGAAGTAATGTAACTAATTATGTTTTGAGGGGTAAGTGTAATGTTATTACTCACATGTATTAATAATTAGTTACAGTAGTTACTGAGGTATAAGTTAGTAATATTATCACTAGTAAAGCCTTTCTTCCCACAGCAGGTGTGGCCCACTGGCTTTGTGAATAATGTGAATGCTCATGAAACCGAAAGTAGATATGTGGACTCGAGTGGCACTATTTGTCCTCCATACTTTCGACACACTAACACGGAAGCCTGAAGTTCACTCAGGTGTTTCTTGTAGCTACACGAACCACAGAGATGGAAAAATATCCACTCTGAAGTCCTCCGACCGGATTAAACAACGACGTCCAACGGAGAAGCCAGCAGAGACCCGGAGAGGAGCCTGTACACACTTTTTAAAAAGAGGAATATGACTGTGTGTGTGTGTGTGTATAGTGGATATATCGATCACAGGACAGAACAACGTGTTTTATTATCGGAGAGTTGGACACAACCCCGGAAACAGCAGTTCACTCCTCTGGTGAAGGCCTACAGCAGAGACAGGAAGGTCCAATGAAATGTAAGAAATGTGCTTTCAGGGGAATTAAGAGACTATTTTGAGAAGAACAACAGCAGGAAGCAGTTTTCTCTTCACATTGAGGCTGATCCATTTGCATGTTCTCACTTTAAAATATCCTTTTATTCTATTTTGTGCTGATGTCTCAATCCAGCCTGAACACAAGTTAGAAGGACTTTATTTATACAACCCTGAAAAAGGCTAATGACTTTAAACTGACATGTTGCTGTGAGACACATCCTCATTGAACAGCTTTTTGTCTCCTTTCTGCTTCACAAGTGCCCATTCTTTCATTATTATGTGGTAAACACCAATGTAATGTTTGTGAAATGTAAAACAACTTTATACTCCACAAAGGATTTGAATCTTTCATTCTCTGCTTTATTTCAGGGTCTGAGACAAGAGGGAAAACACACTGAGCAACAGCAAGGAGGTTTTTTAAAAGTTTGTGTTTAAGATCAAGTTGAGAAAAATATGGAAGACAAAAAGGGAAATACTCCGTCCCCCGTCTCTGCTGGGTGTGACGCAGGCAGTGAGTCAGTATACAAACATCAAGGAGGACAAACTTCCATCACAGAACAACAGCTGACTGCAGATGAGACGTCTTCAGAGGATGTTCAGGATAAGCTGCAAAGCAAAAGTGTCCCAGTGCTGCCTCATGATTGTTCATCTCCATCTTCCTCCAGGAGTCTTCCTGTTTCTAATAGACAGATGTTTTTGGACAGTCTGTTCTCTTTGCGTTTCCAAATAAAGAGAATACAAAGTCAAATTTCAACTTTAAAAAAACTGATGCCTGCATTTAGGAAGTTTCCAGAGGAGGATGTTCAGGATAAACTGCAAAGCAAAAGTGTCCCCAGATTGTCTTGTGATAATTCCTTTCCTCGTCCCTACATCATCAGCAAAACCAAAGGTGAGCTGGGGGAGAAAAAAAGACAGAGAGAAGACAAGTGACGCTCCGCAGGCAGAGAATGAAGACAGTGAGTCAGTATACAAACATCAAGGAGGACAAACTTCCATCACAGAACAACAGCTGACTGCAGATGGGAAGATTTCAGAGAAAGGTGTTCGGGAAAAGCTGAAAAGTGTCCCAGAATTGTCTCCTTTTTCCTCCAAGACGGTTCTTGATTTAACGTCTGAAAGGAAAAATCAGAACATGCGTTCTGTTAATCCAATATTGCCTCGTCTAAGAAATATTTCATACTTTAAAAAACAGCTGACTGCAGATGAGACGTTTTCAGAGAAAGGTGTTCGGGAAAAGCATCAAAGTGTCCCAGGATTATCTCCTTGTTCCCTCAGTGGTTATTCCTCTCCTTCTTCCTCCAAGAGGAATCTTGATGTAACATATAAAAGGATAAATCACAACCTGCATGATCTTAATTTAATATTGCCTCTTCTACAAAGAAAAATTTCAACCTTAGAAAAACAGCTGACTGAAGATGAGAAGTTTTCAGATGAGAATGTTCAGGATAAGCTGCAAAGCAAAAGTGTCCCAGGATTGTCTCGTGATCATTCCCTTCCTCGTCCCTACATCATCAGCAAAACCAAAGGTGAGGTGGGGGACAAAATAGACAGAGAGAAGACAAGTGACACACCGCAGGCAGAGAATGAAGACAGTGAGTCAGTATACAAACATCAAGGAGGACAAACTTCCATCACAGAACAACAGCTGACTGCAGATGAGACGTCTTCAGAGAAAGACGTTCGGGATAGGCTGCAAAGTGTCTCAGGATTGTCTCAATATTCATCCAGTGGTTATTCCTCTCCTTCTTTCTCCAAGAGGATTCTTGATTTAACGTATGAAAGCATCAATCAGAACCTGGTTTCTCTTAATTATTTCACAGTGCCTAATCTACAAAGTCAAATTTCAACTTTAGAAAAACAGATAACTGCAAATGAGAAGTTTCCAGAGGAGGATGTTCAGGATAAACTTCCAAACCAAAGTGTCCTAGGTTTGTCTCGTTATAACAGTTATTCCTCTCCTTCTTCCTCCAAGAGGAATCTTGATTTAACGTATGAAGAGATAAATCACAACCTGTGTTTTCTTAATACAACATTGAGACTTCTAGAAAGTCAAATTTCAACCTTAGAAATACAGATGACTATAGATGAGATGTTTAAAGAGAAAGGTGTTCAGGATAAGCCGCAGAGCAAAAGTGTCCCAGGATTGTCTCATTATTTATTAGGTTCTCCCTATTCTTTCTTGGGTCCTTATGATTGGGGTAGTGGGTATAAATCATGGGTACATCCTCTCCCTCAGGTTCCTTTGAACTATCCATCACTGTCTGAACTGACGGAATTTCTGCCACAGTCAACTGCGTTCTCAGGTCCAGATTTGTGGGCTGGAACCAGCTCAGCAAAAATATATGATCTTTGTGCTGAGGGCAACCCGATAGATTGTAACAATTACTCCGGCTCCATGTCCAACGCGTCTACCGGCACTCAGTCCATCATCCCGACAGAAAAAACCTGTCTGGTTCTGCCTGATGGCTCTTCCCCAGTTAACACTCCTGTCTCTTCTTCAAGTTATAAACGGAAGAAGGGAAATTGGGGCGGCAACAGAAGAAAGAAAAAATCTAAAACCCATTTTACTGTTCCTTTCATTGATTCCTCTGACGACACGCTGGATCAACCTCCGCCTACTAGACTCACAGAAACAGTATCGATAAAGACTTCCTCCTCTGCAGCAGATGTTAAACCAGGAGCCAATCAGGATACAATTCTGGAAATGGAGCTTCATGCAACAGCTGATCCCTCCGCAATTCAACTATCACCCAAAGATGGTGTTTGTTTAGAGTCTGCATCTCCTGAAAAGAAAAAAAGAAAGTCTAGCAGCTCAGATGAAATGTGTGGAGACATTGATCCAAACTCAATCTTTCAGCTTCCAGTTAGAGAGGACACAGATGATGGTGGCCCCAGCTTTTACTCAAGTTCTACTGTCAGCATTGAAGAAAGTGGAGCACAAGATGCTTTTAAGCTGTTGTCTGTGCAGTCTGAAAGCGATACAGGAGATTTCAGTGATGCTCCGGTGGAAATGGATGCACCTTTTACAGCTGAGAACTACTCAGCCACAAACACCCTGCCAGCCCGTTCTCACCTCCAGACCAACTCCTCAGATCCTGGTTCCAGTAAAAGAGACTCCAGCTGTTTGTCTCGCTCTCACAGCGTTCCCTCACTGAGTCTAACAACCTCTGCAGACAACAAGACCTTTACACGAGCAAAGAGCTTACCTGACATGCTGTTCAAAAACAGCTTTGAGGAGTTTACACCTGATATCACTGCAGATGAGAACGATGAAAGCTACAGGTTCCAGTGCTCCTGCCCAGGCCTGTACCAGTGCAGTGTGACAGGTCTGCTGTTCCACATGGAGGGAGAAGGGGATGTGGTCTACAGGATTGTCCCTTGGGACAGGAGGCTACTAGGCCAACATCACAAGCAGCCTGCAGGACCCCTGTTTGACATCAAATGTGTGCAGCAGTCTATGTGTCAGCTTCATCTCCCACACTGTGAGATCCGCTCCACAGGTGGTTGTGGATTCTTGTCAGTTGCTCATGTGAATGATGACAGCATCGAGTTCATCGTCCCTCATAAGATAACAGAAACTCGTGTTATCATAAACATCACAGGGTTTTCTGCCTTCGGTAACGTCAAGGATGAAGACTCACCACCTGACCCGGTCCGAGCACTGGTTCTGCTGTTCTACAGACCCCCGGCTGATCCTGACCTCACATCCTTCCTCAATGTGTTGTTGCTACCGAGGAACGTCGTGCTCCGGGATGTGCTGCGCACCAGGAAGAGAATAAATAAAGATGAGAACTACATAGAGACATCCTCATACTGTAAACTGCACCCAAAGCAGGAATACAAACTGTCCACTTGTCCTGAAGATGACTCAGTTCTAGTTCAACCAACAGAAGCAGAATTTGATGAGGAATCATATGTCAACTACATCCCATCATTCCAGGTGAGATTAAAGACAATCATTGTAAATATTAAGCTGCTTCTCAGAGAAACCAAAAGCTCCCACAGTGTCTGGGAAAGAGAGGTTTGTCTTCCATCCAGTGCAGTAAAAAGGTGTGTGCAAGGCAGTTCAGATGAGAGGCTGTTGGACATTTGGAGCAGCTTCATCGATGGGATATCAGGACCTGTTCTCAAAAGTCTGCTGGACAAACTGTTTGAGAAAACTGTGCTGACTGATTCTGAGAGGGAGTCAGCGGACGAGATCCAAAACAAAAGCGACAAAGCTCGTTTTGTTATCGACACAGTGAGGAAGAAAGGTGAAGCTGCTGGTTCAGAGATGATTGACTTTCTCTGTGAGGTCGACCCCTTCCTCTCTGAACACCTCGGGTTGATCTGAAGCTCAATAAACAGGTGTATAGAAATGTGTGTAAATAGCTGAACAGAGCCGAGTGCAGCCGGTTAGTTAAACTGGGTTTCTTGTTGACGAGGCTGCAGTGTGAACTATAGTGCGTGTGCTTCGGGGAATCTGCCTCATCTGTTTGTAGAGACTAAATACAAGTAGAAAGTTGAAGTTTAGAGCCATCTACTGGCTGACATGAGTTCCACAAAACCACCTCACCACAACGTCCATTTAGTGTCTGTTCTTGGAGCTTTTGGGTGAGTGGGAGTGAGAGTGTAAATTAAGATGTTCACGTTTCCATTTTTCCCAGATTAAGGTGTTTCGCGATTCCGTGAACCTCCTCTCCAAATAGGTTCTTGAAAAAGACTCGTGGCTCATTTGGGAAAACCCCCCAAACTGTTTAATCCAGCCATGTTTCTTCTTGTTACCACACCTGAATAATATAGTTCCTTCCCTCAAACCGAGAGAAGAATATTAATGACTGATAATTATGCGACGGATCCTCACCCGCTGTGTTTTTTATTACCATTCCTCCTCCTTTATATTGTTTTTTATACCTTAAAACATTTAAAGATGTAGAAAAATATAATATATGTTGTATTCAGTTGAATGGCCAGGAAAATGTATATTTAATTTACACATTTTATGCAAACTGTATCAACTTTATTAGCAGAAAAAAGGTTAAAAACAAGGTAAAACCACTTTCCTGCAGTGTGCATGTAAATGATAGTAAACAAGGAGATAGTAATAATAGCTTTAAACAATTTTATGAACTAATAGTCTTAATCGTCCAGTTATGTTTTTATTTTTGTATTTTCAGGTATTTTTATGTTTAATAGTTAGATTTATTTTTAATATCCTACTTATTTCAAGAGCCCAGAATGTGTCATATACTCTTATTTCTCAATAAGAAAAAAGAGGAGTTGCTAAAAGGTTAGTGTGCACTAATAATAGCCTAATAATAATTAATAATATATATATTTCATATTGAGTTTATGTCCTTGACTATTGATTGTTTCTATTCATTGTCTGTGCTTTCTTTCACAGATTTTGAAGTCTGAATTTCATTCTATCTGTGGTGTCACTTCTTAAAACACACAAAACTAAATTATTTTAGATTCTTTTAAGTTTTATTTTACTCATATGTACCTCCTCAGCTCAATTAAATTAATAAATAAATTAATTTGTCTTGTAAGGCCCTCTATTACTTTGTAGTAAAGTAATATATAAATACAGTTATTAATATTATTATTATACATTCTCTTATTGGAATAAATTCTAGTAAATTAAATAATAGTGAAATTACAATACTCATCAGGGTTAAACCAGTGGTTCCCTTTTTCTATCATTGAGTAAACTAACAGCCTCTGACTATATATAATGCATATTTCATATTATATTTAATAACAGTAACATTAGAGAACAACTGATAAACTGTACAATAAACCCAAAGAGTGAAAGCAATAACTGCAGGATGTTTGTGTAAAATGAGAGAAGAGTTTTAATTATTTATTGTGAGTATAATGCATCAGAGACGTATTTTAACGACATTTTATATAATTCTGTTTATATAAATCTTTTTATCTATTTTGTTAAACAATCATATGTACGTTAACTACTTCTTTTTTGGCTACACCAGTATATTCAGTATAGTTTTATTAGCTCTGTTTTAACTGCATCTGTGAAACTGTAATATATTTTTTGTCCGGTGTGATTATTAAATATTTATTTATACAATATCCCACCACCTCCTTCTGTAAACTGTGTGATCTATCTATCTATCTATCTATCTGTCTGTCTGTCTGTCTGTCTGTCTGTCTGTCTGTCTGTCTGTCTATCTATCTATTGAACTATCTATCTATCTATCTATCTATCTAATCTCACTGTGCCTTGGAATTTCCAGCGGCCTTGAACGCAGCATGACGACAGTGGACCAGTCAGCCAATGGCAGCGCAGAGGGGGCGGGGCTTAATAAACCCTGAGACCCTTGCCCTTGCTGGGTTGTGTGTGTGTGTGTGTGTGTGTGTGTGTGTCTGTGCTGCACAGAACTGACGCTGTTTATCACCCACTAACTGACACCTGACGCTCGTGCTCTCACCTGAGCCGTCAGCAGGTGGATGACACGCGCTACGTCCATTAAATAAACTAAACCCAGAGCCAGCTGTGAGTCATTCCTTCATTTCAACCGGTTGTAACTTTGAATTAAACGGTTTTTTTTTATCTCACCGACAACTAACATGCGTCCCGGACACTGGTGTGTTATTAAATAAGAGTGGTTGTTAATAATTTACCCGCCAAACAACATATTTAGAGTTTTTAATCCGGCTGAGACACGAGAGAACAAAGAGAACCAGTGCACATGTCCCTGAAGCAGCCCCCACCCCCGGCACAGCGCAACCTCTCATTGGCCAGCGCCTTCGATACGAGCCGACCAATCCCGTGCCTCCACACTGAGCCGCTCCAACGTCGGCGCCTCCGATTGGCCCGATCGTTTGGCGCCTCTTGAATCTGCTGCAGCCGTAGTGGGCGGTGAGTGCGGGACACGGAGCCGTTTGAACCGCCACTGTGTGCGTGCGTGCGTGTATGTGCGTGTATGTGTGTGTGTGTGTGTGTTGAGGCGGAAACACTGAGAACCGGACGGACTGTGTATGACGGCAGGGTGGAATCAAACCGCCGGATTTTAATCTACAAACCGGGTTCATTGTACACTGCGGTCCAACCGTACAGCGGGGCGACGACCGCTCTTCGTGTGGCCGACTCCGGGTGACTTAAAGCCGGCGTCGCGCTGAGAGAATATCCGCTCCCGTCCTCCGGAGCTAACCGCTAACGCTAGCCGCCGAAGCTAGCCCGGAACACGGAGCCAGAGCTAATCCCTCCGCACAAAGGAACTACTTTCCCCCCGGTGTTCTGGGCCACACCGAGCCGAACCACCGCGTTGAATGAGGACTGAGCCTCCCGTGCAGGTAAAGACGAACTGTCGGTGTCGATGTCTTGTGTTTTTTCAGCGGCTTTGCGATTCAAATGCCCCGGGACCCGGTGCTCGTTGCCCCGGTGGTCGGTGCCCCGGGTCCCGGTGCTCGATGCCCCCCCAAATCTTTGTTAACTGACCAACTGTTAGCTCGCTCGCCCGGAGGAGGAGGAGGAGGAGGAGGAGGAGGAGGAAGGTGTCCCTCTTCGGATTATATTCCCTCGTAAAAGACTTTCTGGAGTTAACACGTTAACTGGCGGTGTTTCGGTGCATTGTCTGCCGGGGGAAACATCCGTTGGATGGGGGACAAACTTGGCTCGACATCGGGAAGCTATCGTTAATTTGGAGCTATCTTTATTGTTTAACTTAAAGCAGTTTCTACACGTTGTTGTTGTTTGTTTTATAGGTTTGTTTGTATGTTTTATTTTTTACTGATTGAAGTTAAAGTGATTGATAATGTCACATGGTGGTGGAGAGAGGAAGTAAAAAGCTCTGCTCTCTGTTTATCTCTCTCTACAACTCTCACATTAAAACAACAAACCTCCTGATGAGCTGTAAACAATAGACTCAGCTGTAGTTTATAACAGGAGATATTATCGCGATATTAATCACTATAAATGAATCAATGTGAATCTCCAGTATGGTGATAATTGTGAATAAGCTCGAACAAACAGTCCTGTGTTGGTTCCCTCTTTTATTTTGAACAAGGAGGAGTCTGCATCTTCCTTCTACCCGTCCTACCGGTTACCATATTCAGCCACAAGGGTTGGACGATATACGATATTATTGCGATAAACGCTCACTTAAATGTGTCTGTGTGGATTTCTGTCAACGTGATAGTCGTGAATATCCTCTCACGGCTTTATAAAGTCACCAGCATTCAGTCTCATGTTGCTCTCCTGATTTATTTTAAACACAGGGGACAAGTGGGAGCCTGTTTAAAGGTTGAACCGGATATATGGAAAGTAGTATAAATTCCAAAAGATAATAAGATATGTCAATTAAAATGAAATAATCTTGAGTATAGTAAGAGAAAGTAAAAGCTCTGCTCTCCTCTGATGTCTTTGTTTGTTTACTAAAGCCACAGGTTGATACGGAGGCAGAATAATACATTTATTTTGTAAGAAGTTTGTCACTTTTCAGGTTGTAATTGTTCTAATATTCTGTCCTTTTAATATCAGTGAGACTGGATGTTTATAGCTATAACAACCTGGTTATTAACAGCTGAATGTATCCGGCTTTGTAGAGGACTTATCTGATATTCTGCGTTTTTTATTTTCATATTTATGTAATCTCAACTCAGTCTGTGTCGTACCACTGCACATGGCTCACTCGTATGTCTCCATGACAGCTGTCTGACACGTCTAATAGAAAGTGTGAGGTATCAGTCAGACAGCCGGGGCCGGGAGACAGCGACTCACGCCCACCACCGGATTGGCAAAATGCACCTTGATGCTACACATGAGCGGACGACTGTTGTAATGTAACAGAGAATCACAAAGAGGAAAGAATAAAAGTGGAGGGAAGACGAGGATTTCCTGCTCAGATTTGGCAAAAGGAAGCAGAGAAATATCGTCATGTTTAATGTTGACACGTGAACGCAGGAGAGGAAACTGAATAGATGGTGTTTGTACACGGTTGCTGTGAGCATTTTGCTCTTATGAAGGTCAGATACACCTAAATACTGTTAAATAAAGTGATATATTGTGTGGGAAGTAAGTCTGTACTCGAGGCTTCCAGTAGTGAAGATTTTGGACAGATGGAGAGGTTTAATCATGTGTCATACGGTGATCGGATAAGTTGTGTCATCCATATCGGTCATCAAACGTGTGGAGAATTGTTTCCAGATTCAACCAGAACAAATTTATAAAGTAAATGATAAGAAAAGCTCCTGTGTATCAAGTCAAACAGTGGAAATATGTAATGTGAAGGCTATTCGGTGTGTCGTAACCTTCCTCCTCCTCCTCCTCCTCCTCCTGCAGGTTGATCATGGTGCTGACAGGGAAGCGCTCGGAGAAGGGTCCTGCCTGCTGGAAGAGGAGGGTGAAGTCTGAGTACATGAGGCTTCGGCAGCTCAAACGCTTCAGACGGGCCGACGAGGTCAAGGTGTGTACACACACGCACACACACACACACACACACACACACACAGAGACCTTCAGCTAAAGGACTGGTGTTTTTAAACAGGCTGACGAAGGACAAACGTGGCTTTGTCCATCAGAAAAGATGCTAAAAAGATGAGAATTAAGAGAGTTTTGGATGTTAAGCTCCTGTAAAGTGAGGCTGAAAATATAATTTAGTTATTCCTCTGTTGTTAATTCAGTACACGAGGCCGTTGGTTAGTTTGTCCAACTGTTGTCTCGCTACTTGTATGAAGACACAGACCCAACAATAAAAGGTATTTATTAACTTGTCAAAACTGCACTAAGCTCTGGCAGCTCTTCATTACCAACACGTCCAAATGTAGATTAACGCTTAAACCTTCTTCACCACTGAGTCTGTTAAGAGGCAGTTGACGTGAATGGTACATGTTCAACTTTCCAGTGTTTTCTGAGCATTTAAAAGACAAACTTCTTACTTGAACTTGATTTGCATTTACCAAACTAACTCCAAATTATGATTTAATGTGGAGATTTGCCACTGAAATTCATACACAGTTTACGTACTAGAAGTTATAAAAAGCAGCAACAGGATATATCGTGTTTGCATGTCAACATTGCATCGCACTCTCATTTCCTCTTTACATCAGCAGTGTTTTGTCCCTCAGATGTTTTCTACTCACCTTGTTTAGGTTCTCAGAAACCATTCAGCACACAGGTCAGGGTCGCCCTAAATCCAGTGATTAGAGTTATGAAATAACACACATGAAGGCAGTAAAGTAATGTTTTCATCTTTTACTTGTTCAGTCAGCGTTCTTACAACGGCAGGTAGTATGAACAATAAAACCTCAGCATCCTGTCAAATGATGGCACATAAAGGCTGCTGGTTGTTACGTAGCTTGTCTTTTGTTCTCCGTGGCTCATTTTAAATTTACTTGTAACTCTTCCAGAGCATGTTCAACACCAACCGTCAGAAAATTGTGGAGAGAACTGACATCCTGAACCAGGAGTGGAAGACCAGGCGAATCCAGCCGGTTCACATCATGACGTCTGTCGGCTCCTTGAGGGGAACCCGAGAGGTGAGCGGATTAACGTTGAACCATCGGTGACATGTAGGAAACGTCTCTGTGAAAGTGTTCTGACTGTGTTTCCTCTCTGCTGACTCGTGCAGTGCACCGTGGACAGCGGTTTCTCAGAGTTCCCCCGGCAGGTCATCCCCCTGAAGACTCTGAACGCTGTGGCCTCGGTCCCGGTCATGTACTCGTGGTCCCCGCTCCAGCAGAACTTCATGGTGTGTGTGTGAACTTGTAACAGCTGCATGTAGTGGATAAAGTATAAAATGTACTTTATACATTAACCCCTAGCTGTCACTGTGTGTGTAATGTTTCAGGTGGAAGACGAGACGGTGCTTCATAACATCCCCTACATGGGAGACGAGATCCTGGACCAGGACGGTACTTTCATAGAAGAGCTCATCAAGAACTACGACGGCAAAGTCCACGGAGACAGAGGTGAGAGTCCGCGGTGACGTCAGGTTACTCTGTGTCCACCACTACAGAGACGATGGAAGAGGGAAACGTGTGTTGTGTTTTGTTTTAGAGTGCGGCTTCATCAACGACGAGATTTTCGTGGAGTTGGTCAGCGCTCTGTCGCAGTACAGCGACAACGAGGATGACGAGGAGGAGGAAGAACAGGACTTCAAGGTAGACAAGATGGAGTTGTGTGACAGCAAGGAGCATCCAGAGGAACCGCCGCGCAAGGACGGGCTCATTAACAACGAGAGTAAGTCCACCACTGAGACACCTGTGAGCACGGGCTCGTAGGACGTGTTACTGATTGATTGTGAAAACGCAGAAACATACATAAAGACACAAACACTGAACTTGTGTTAAAGTGTAACACTGGAGGTAAGTGAGGAGTAAAGACTGTAGGAGACGTGGTTGATGAAGCTACTTTTGAGGTTTTAAAAGACAACCATCACACACCATGGCTCTAATATCAAAGAAATGTAAGAGATTTAAATAAATGATTGTTTGTGTGTGTGTGTGTGTGTGATGTTGTCTCCAGGCCGAACCAGCAACGACAGCACCAAGAAGTTTCCCTCTGACAAGATCTTTGAAGCCATCTCCTCCATGTTCCCCGACAAGGGCTCCACAGAGGAGCTCAAAGAGAAGTAAGTGTGTGTGTGTGTGTGTGTGTGAGACAGTAACGGAGGAATAAATATGGAGACAGAGAACAGTAATACTTTATATTTATAATTTCCAGTCTCGTTCAAAAACTACAGAGAATGTGATTTCAACTTCATTATTCGTCTGTTATAATTCACTTTATTGTAGGACCAGCAGTTAGTCTGTTCACTAAAGATTAATTTTATTTCCTCTAATTCAGTATCAATATGAAAGCACTTCTCAGGGTTCCTGAGGAGAACAGTTTCTTTTAATTCCACAAATAAGCTGCTATCATATACTTTTTGATACGTCTTGATTTCCAGTTGTTTTTACTCTTTCTGCATCTATAAACTACCATTAATAACACAATCTACACACAAAACTCAACAGTCAGTCCTACTCTTTGTATCGTAGTGCAGACGTTGATTTAAAGCAACCCCAACAATAGGCGCACATTAGACACCCAATTAGAGGGGATTTTTTCTTCTAGAAGATTTTAAAAGTCTTATAATTTATCAAACTAGGATCATCATATAGATTACAATAAATCAAAGCTGCCAACCATATTTCTTCTTCCAAATATTCTATCCTCCGTATACTACGACCCCCTCTAGGGCCCCTGTATTGGATAAATACTGTGACATGAGTTAGATTTAAAGCCTCTCTGGTGTGTGCTCCACACAGTCTCACTGATTTATATTTGTAGGGACTAGAAGAAGACAAAACTGTAACACATTTAAATTAGACTATTATTTTATAAATAGATGTCTTAAAGAGCATTGTGGTGGGAATTTACTCCCATAATTCTATTGTTAGGAGACAGCAGGTGTTTCCTCTTCACATGGAAGCAGGTCTGTTTACTTCACTGTGTAAATAAAATCAGAAGATTCAGATTATTCACACGAGTGTGAGCCAAAGTAATTAAATACCTTCATGTAAGAGCAGAATTATCTTTATTCCACAAGAACAAAAACAGTAATTATGGGCTCGTTTGACAGGATGAAGAATCAGTAGAAACGTCTCAGTTAGTTTCTTTTTTAAGTTTATGATTACAAGCAGCTTTGATATCTCTCTGTGTGTGTTTGTCAGGTACAAGGAGTTGACGGAGCAGCAGTTGCCGGGCGCGCTGCCCCCTGAATGCACGCCAAACATCGACGGTCCGAACGCTCGCTCCGTGCAGCGTGAACAGAGCCTGCACTCCTTCCACACTCTGTTCTGCAGACGCTGCTTCAAATACGACTGCTTCCTCCACCGTTAGTACACACACACACACACAGACAAATAAATAACTCATAGCTTCCACTTACAGTTGTGCAGTGATGTGTATGCATTCAGTGAGGGATGAAGATTTTAAATAAAGAGCTCTTGTATTGGCCAATAGTTGAAGTGAAAACACATCAGTGCATTGCTATGAGCATCACCACAACAGACATTAGCTTGGCGAGGCTTTAAAGAGACTCAAGATGATTTAACTGAATTCTTGAAAGAAGCTGATGATTGAAGAATGTGTAAAGCTAACAAGCAGCCAGCTGTTTGTATTATAATGTTTTACCACCGTGGAGTTAACAACAGACTCTTCCAATCTTCCTTTAGCTTTCCACGCAACTCCAAACACATACAAACGCAAGAACCTGGAGAACCTGGTGGACAGTAAACCCTGCGGCATCGACTGCTACATGTACCTCGTACAGGTGAGTCATCTGATCCTCGGACTCCTGAAGCGTTCATTTAATATCACGCCAGTTTTCATTGTTGTTTTCTTTCAGACTCTGAAATGTATAACCTGATAAAAAGAGTTTGATCTGCTACATTACCCTGGTGTATCAGGACGGGATGGTGAGCGAGTACCCGGCAGGTGTGGTTGCAGAGCGGGCCAAGACGCCCTCCAAACGTTCGGTGGGGCGCCGCCGCGGACGGCTGCCGAACAGCAACAGCCGACCCAGCACACCCACCGTTTCCTCGGAAACCAAAGACACGGACAGCGACCGCGAGGGCAGCAAAGAAGACGAGCGAGAGAACGACAAAGATGACGAAGACAAGAAGGACGAGAACACCAGCAGCTCAGGTAGGACGCCAGCAAACATCCGTGTTGGGTGATCATTTCTGTTTCTGTTGCCGTTATGCAATCCGAGTAGCCAGCAGTAGGCCAAGGCATGATGGGAAAAGTGGGCCGTCACTAGACGAGGCTCTGTGGGATTGCAAACTGGAGCTGGCTCCGTCCACAGACCAGCAGACTCTGCTCCGCCTGGGTTGCAAAATGCAGAGAAATAGATTTATTCATTGCCTTTTTATTGAGCAACAGCCTCACGTGTATGTGTGTATTATTGGAAATGAGACCATAAACAGACAGCTGAGAGGCAGACAGCTGAGAGGCAGACAGCTGAGAGGCAGACAGCTGAGAGGCAGACAGCTGAGAGGCAGACAGCTGAGAGGCAGACAGCTGAGAGGCAGACAGCTGAGAGATTAAACTCCATGTGTCTGTGCGACGCCGTGTTCTGTTTCTTATCTTTAATATCACAATCCAAATCATATCCATAACGGTAACTACTGTTACGGAGCGAGAGTCTTGGTGAACGGGCAGATGGAGAACAAAGATGTGGGGAGAGGAAGAGGAAGCAGACGGGTCTGTAATTAATAATTTAAAATTCCCTCGTGCTGATTAGCGAGGCTCAGCGGGCGGACATCCAGCTCCACCAGACATATAATCTTATCTCTGAGTGCACAGGAAGGTGCAGGTTCTAACATTTTAGTCCTCATATTAAAACACTAATGGTACAAGACTGCTCTTTAGAAAACGTGTGTGTGTGTGTGTGTGTGTGTGTGTGTGTGTGTGCAGAGGGAAACTCGCGGTGTCAGACTCCAGTGAAGATGAAGCTGACCGGCGAGGCTGAAGCGGTGGACTGGAGCGGGGCCGAAGCCTCTCTGTTCAGGGTGCTCATTGGAACGTACTACGACAACTTCTGCGCCATCGCCCGGCTCATCGGCACCAAGACCTGCAGACAGGTGAGCCGACAGTGACGGAGTTCAGTTTGAGAGCCAAACTGATACAGAACGTTTCTCCTAAACCTTTAAAAAGTAGGCTGATGGACACACGGTCTAATCTGGTATCGTGTCCTGCAGGTTTACGAGTTCAGGGTCAAGGAGTCGAGCATCATCGCTCGGGCTCCCACCGAGGACGAGGACACACCGCCTAGAAAGAAGAAGAGGAAACACAGACTGTGGGCCACTCACTGCAGGAAGATCCAGCTGAAGAAAGGTCAGAGTGGTTTCACAGGTCTTCCATCCATTGTATCTGTAAATCTGAGGCAGAAACTCTGAAGATAATAACATCCTCTCTTACAGATGGCTCGTCCAATCACGTGTATAACTACCAGCCATGTGACCACCCGCGGCAGCCCTGTGACTCCTCCTGTCCCTGCGTCACCGCTCAGAACTTCTGCGAGAAGTTCTGCCAGTGCAGCTCTGAGTGTAAGAACCATCTCCTGACACATCCTGCTCTAACTCATCAGAAAGGAAACTCAACTTTACTCTCGCTGTGTGAACGCAGGTCAGAACCGCTTCCCCGGTTGCCGGTGCAAAGCCCAGTGTAACACCAAGCAGTGTCCCTGCTACCTGGCGGTGCGGGAGTGCGACCCCGACCTCTGCCTGACCTGCGGCGCTGCAGACCACTGGGACAGCAAGAACGTGTCCTGTAAGAACTGCTCCATTCAGAGAGGAGCCAAGAAGGTAACAGTCGACACTCTGACCCTCTCTGTCTGCGTATCAGGAACACATTCTGATGTTTCTAAACCAGTTCTCTGTCTCTCAGCATCTGCTGCTGGCCCCCTCCGACGTGGCAGGGTGGGGCATCTTCATCAAAGAGCCGGTCCAGAAGAACGAGTTCATCTCTGAGTACTGTGGAGAGGTAGGAAAGGTTCTTCATAGTCCATCCATAATTCAAATCAAAGACTATCAGTGTGAATTAGAGTCAATCAAAACGGACAAAAACTGATAAAACATAATAATTGTATTCTTCTTCAGCTCGGGTTTCTACCATCGACATGATTCTCAGATTGGATGAATTAGACTTTTAACGTTTTTGGGGGAAATGTGTAATTTGCTCAATGTGTCTGCAGATTATCTCTCAGGATGAAGCAGATCGCAGAGGGAAAGTCTACGACAAATACATGTGCAGCTTCCTCTTCAACCTCAACAACGGTAAAACACACACACACACACACACACACACACACAGTATACACTCAGGCTTTATGGGATGCTTCCTCAACTGGGACTCACCTTTATTTTGACAGGAAGGTTTTTCTACAAAATGAGGGTGTTTGGCTTCTTGCTATCACACAAAAATGAATCTCTGATGTTTGAGGAATCCTTCCAACACTTTTCTTTTCTCCAGACTTTGTTGTTGACGCCACGAGGAAAGGCAACAAGATCCGCTTTGCCAACCATTCTGTCAACCCCAACTGCTATGCAAAAGGTAAGCTAGCATTCAGAGTCTGTCTGTCTGTCTGTCTGTCTGTCTGTCTGTCTGTACACACTAACTCCTCTGTTCTCTGCAGTGATGATGGTGAATGGGGATCACAGGATAGGGATCTTCGCTAAGAGAGCCATCCAGACCGGAGAGGAACTCTTCTTTGACTACAGGTCAGAGTTCGATTAGACAATAAAAGTTTATCCGAGAACCTTTCTGTGTTCAGTTTATGAAATGTAGCGTTAGCTCCTCGTCCTGTTTGTGATCACAAACTAATCAAACATCCTCTGAAACTGAAGCTTTATGTTCTCATTGTCAGCTGTTAGACGTGATGGGGAGTAATCCTTCTGCTTTCTCTTCTTTAATGGATTTTAGAGGATTCAATGATGAACCAACACTTTGAACCAGAAAGACAAAGAGACATTCTCCCATTTGAGACGTTGGAAACATTCATTTCTGCTATTTCTGCTTAGAAAATGACCGAAACGATCGCTTGATTATGAAATGAGTTGCTTATTAATTGTGTCTGCTGGATTTACAGCTGTATAAAGTCACTGACAGAAGCTCCTCCAACACACAGCTTTACAACCAGGAGGATCAGTGAATCACCTGATCAAAGGGAGCCGCTAACCTGTCTGTCTGTCTGTCTGTCTGTCTGTCTGTGCAGGTACAGCCAGGCTGACGCTCTGAAGTACGTCGGGATCGAGCGGGAGTTGGAGATCGCCTGACTCGGACTGCTACCTCCTGTGGATCGACGACACAAAGGCCTTACACTCAAACACAAACACACCTTCACTTCAGGAAATCCAGACGACTCGTCACAATGCTAGAAAGCTTCAGGAAAACTGGGAATATTTGAAGCAGAATTTTGATGCTGTGTTTTTTCTTCTTTTTTTTTTTTTTTGAATACTTTTCATATCTGTCTCATTTTTCTTCTTGTCAAACAAATCTTCCTCCTCTGTGGATGTGGGAGTCTCGGATTCATAAATCTTCCCTCAGCTGAAGGTGCAGACCAACAAACTGACTTTGTTTGTGTGTTTGTTGTTTTTTAAATATCCCAAGTGTTTCGACGGCGAGAGGAGACGAACCCAACAACTCGTGTGCTTTTTCAAAAAGCTTCAGGGACCAAAAATCCTCCACCAGCCGCGTTTTCTCTCCAGTGTGAACTGAAGCAGCCACACACTCCTCAGAGTGCCACTGTCTGTCTGTCTGTCTGTCTGTAACACCGGGGGGAGCGTTCACAAAGCAGCGGCACACCAGACCCAACACAGCTTTGTGCTGTTTGTAGGCTCCCAGTGAGAATGTGGAGAACAGGGTTGATCCGTTTCCTGGCAACAGGTTTGGTGATTGATTCAAACATTCTCCGTATTTTACGGTTTTCCTGTCGTATATCGTTATAAACTGAATGTTTTTAGGTTTTGGGCTGTTGTTTAGACAATATTTGAATCAGTGTTACTGAAACTTATTTAAGGAAAAGTTTGTGTATTAAAATGTTGAAAACCAAACTTTGGCTTCAGATGTCCGACCAACAGTCCAAAACCAGAATCTGTCAGTTTCCACTGATATAAAACAGAAAATCTTCAGATTGAAGAACAACAGAATGTTTTGGGGCATTTTTGTCCAATAATTGATTGTTTAGGTCAGAAGTCTCTACAGAAGGTTTGTTCCTCCTTCCTGGAGGTTCTCAGAGTTACGTTTGAGAGCTGATTGCTTTCCTTTTATCGGTTTCAAAAACATTCAATTGGAAAATAAAGTTATTAAAAGCTTAAAAATTAGGTGAAGAAGAAGAACAGGGAATTAGAAGCCAAAGAGAAAAATATCACATTTGAGAAGAACCAGCAAATTTCTGATCAATCAATAAAGTTCCAGTCAGGCTGACCAGCAGTCATCAGAGAGCTGAACCAGGGTTCTGGTTCTGGTTCTGGAGCCGACTCTGCTTTGTGCCGCTGCCTCTGCTTCAGGTGCTAATGTGAACCAGCACTAGTTCACCACCGCAGGAGACTCTTCGTCTGCTCGTGTTCTTCAGTTTCCTGTTGTGAACCATGTGCTGCTCTCTTTTACCAAACTCAACCAAAACCACACACTCATGTCCCCCCCCACCGCTCCACTACCCCCCCCCAGTTCTCCCAGCAGCACCGTGCTCCACTCGCACTCACCCAGTCCGCTCTCTGCTCCCTCCTCGCTCCCAGTCTGGTTCTGATCCGGCTGATTTGTTCAGATTGAGGACAAACGATTCTTTAATGAGACAAAAATCTACTAGATAGATTTTCTTTTAGATTCTTTTTTAATAGAAAGCTTTTTATATTTCTGCTGTCGGCTAGAAACTGCAGAACAACCAATATTTCCTTTTCTTTATCAGAACCAGAACTCTTTGAGCCTCGGTACCTCGATTCATTCAACATCTAAATAAATCTTTACATTCCTTCGATCTTCATCCCCGACAGCTGAACTCAGATCAGTATATTACAGTATTGTGTCCCCAGAGCGCCGCCATCGGTTCATCAACTCCTCGTTAAACAGTGTGCGCGGACAGAGACTTGAGTACGAGTCGAGCAGAGTGCATGCTGGGAGTGCGTTCCTAAGATGTGTCCCGCTCTCTGCTGTGCCTTGAGTGCTGAACAGAACCTTCAGTCTGTCTGCAGATCAGCAACGTGTCTGTGGACTCTCTGCATGATGAAGTTTAACCCCCTCTCCTCCTCCTCCTCCTCCTCTCGTCCGTCTGGTGCTCCCTTCAGAGCGACTGTACTGCCTCCTCCAACGTGAAGTCCAATCAGTATCATATAATCTGAATCATGTTCCTCTAGTTAAATTCGCCTTTTTAATCAACAGTCACATTCTGACTCTCGTTCTGTTCTGATGTGAATCCTGGTGCTTCAGAAACGAACCACAGACGGTCTCGACTCCGAGCAATACCACCCTCTCTGTTTGTTTCTGCTCCTCCTGCCGAGGAGACGTTTCCTGTTGGAGCTCCGCCTTCTCGCTTTCCGCCTGTAATTTATTACACGCTTTCAGAGGGACGTCTCAGCTGCTGTGATGTCTGTAGTTGACGGATGAAAGACTTCAGGGGGGCTCTGAAAACCCGGTGCTTCTCTCGCGGGGTTCCTACACATACATTTCCCCCCCGCCCCCCACTGTGAGTTTTCCAGCTCGGGAAATGTTTTCACTGATGAGACGTTGGTTCAGTGTTCTGACTACGATCTGCTGAACTGTGTAGGAACCCTTCACGGACTTTAACTGCTGATTCAGACGAGCCTTCCCCATGTTAGTGATTTCCTCTCAGTGTTGATGCATTCAAAGACCACGTAAACCAGAGACTCTGAACCATCGCTGACTCTTACAGCAGCTGTTTTCATTGAAACCGGCTCCTGTGTGGAGTTTGAGAGTCTGAGGCTGATTGGAGGGCTGGGTAACGGGAACATGAGAGCCAATCAGAAACCAAACGGACCTCCTGAAGTAAAAGCTTTCTGAAAGATCAGTTAATGTGAGTTTTAAGTCCAAATATGACACTTGGATTCTAATTGGAGTAGAAACGTTGGCTCAGAGTTACCCAGCCCCGGCTGAAGTCTCAACTGCAGGTTATTTATCGTTTCAGACGTCCGCCTGCGTTCACTTTTCATTCTTATCAAACCAGGACCACTTTTTTCCTCCGATGACACAGGTGCTGATTTTGTAATGTTTACAGGGATTTTGTTGTTCAAAGTGATGCAGATTAAAATATTATAAATGGTGCTTTTTGTTTGGTTTGTTTTTACTTTAAACTGACTCTGAGGAGAGAAACTGCTGAAGATAGGAAACATTTTATACTTTATCTAAAAGTTAAAGTGAATTAAACACTAAAGTTACACAGGAAGGAATAACTGAACATTATAGATCAGATTGTTTAAATCTCTTCCATTAGTTTGTATTTTTAGGATAATGTGATTTAATTCAGGTTCCTCCTCCCGACATTTAAAACAATCAACCACATCTGAACAGAAACAACCAGTCGGAGACAGAAAGATGGCGTGTAAACAGTCTGGGATCAGGATTATCTCTCGTATTACAGTCCGCATGTAGTGAAGGATTCTGGAAATATGACATTATTTGTATATAAAAGATCTCAAACATTCAGGTAACGACACACACAAACCCAAACCTACGTGCTCTCGGGTGTGAACAGAGTCTCGGAGAGAGAGGCGAGCGTTAGAGAAATCTTTCCTTGTTTTTATTTATCACACATTTAGAAAATGAACCACACTATACAAATGTCCACCGTTCAGTAATGAAACAGGCCTCCTGCACGAACCCAACCGACCTCAAACCAAAACAGAGACAACTTCAGCAGATAAAGAAGCGTCACGGCGGCTCTAAACTCACCACCTCCTCTTCCTCCTCCTCCTCCGGTTCAGTCGCAGACTTTAATTACAGGACCGGCGTCGATTTCGTGTCATCGTACGGTGGACTGCGTCGGCTGCCCAGTGACTCGACTCTTATTTTAACTTTAATCTTTTAATCGTGGTCACTGTGGTGCAGGTAGGCAGTAGCATGCAGAAACCTTTGGATGCGGCTCTCCTCTGATTGGCTGAAGGCTAATTCATTACATTTGCGCTATGTAAAGAAGGGAGCAGGGTTTGTTTTTTCCTCTTAGAGTCTGTGGTTGTTATTTACAATATGACAACAAGGAAGAGTGTGTGTGTGTGTGTTTGAGTCCTACAGATGGGACGGGACAGGGCGAGCGTGTAGACGGGGTTTCCCAGTCTCAACAGGAGGGGTTTTTTTGTTCCTTCATCGCTGAAGGGAGAGCAGAAAGTTCACACCCTCCTCCCCCTCAGGTTGGTGGTGGGTTGTCATATCAGGGCGGTCACATGGTCAGCGACACACTCACAACATGTCCGCCGCTCAGAGGGATCCTCACTTTATTACTCAGACATAAAATTAAAAAAAAAAAAAAAAAAAAAGAAGAAGATAACAAATAAAAATAAAACTGAGGAGAGCCGGTGGGCGGGAGGGCGGGGGGCGGCGTTCAGGCCAGGTAGCTGTACGTGTCCTTCTCGCCGTCCACTCGCTCCAGGTACTCCTTCTCTATCAGGATGTCGATGCATTTCTGTCCACAAGAGGGAGACAAAACCACAACATGAGACACAAAACAACAACTGTGTGTGTGTGTGTGTGTGTGTGTGTGTGTGTGTGTGTGTGTGTGTGTGTGTGTGTGTGTGTGTGTGTGTGTGTGTGTGTGTGTGTGTGTGTGTGTGTGTGTGTGTTACCTTGATGACGGGGACTCGGGGTTTGAATCGGGATGACAGCTGATTCAGGACTTCAGCCAGAAGCTGCTGGTGCTTCAGGACCTTCCTCATCTTCATGATCCTCACTATGGCAGCCTACAAACACACACAAACAACAATAAATAATAACAACAATACTAGAGGAACACAGTCGCTCTCTCTTTTAGAAATAAGCTCTGACCTGAATGAGGAGCTTTCGATCCTCCTCGATGTTCTTGTGAGTCGTCTCCTGCTCCTGTTTCTGCTCCGTCTTCATCGGGACGTTGATGTTCACCCTCAGTTTCTTACTGCGGACGACAAAAAGGAACAAAAAGGTCGTTAACTCGCGTCCACACGTTCGTGGTCGGAGTGGAAACAAACGGGAATCGAACCGATTTCTCACTTCTTGTATCCGAGGAAAAGTTTGATGACCGTGTCGGGTTTGAAATCCATCTCGTCCACGTTGGCGTTCTCGTCCTCCATCACCTGACGGACAGACAGACGTCAGCTGATGTGAGTCGTTTATAATTCAACACTGACTACTAAAACACAGTAACAGCATTAATTACATATATTTATATATTTATCTATAATGTGTGTTTGTTTCAATAAATAATAAAATATTAACACATTAAATGTCTTCTTTGGCGCCCTCTGGTGTTCAGCAGGAGAACAACAAATACCGGTCAGGAGTTTCTTTCCAGCCTTTTAAATAATCCAATATGTAACACTACTGTGGTTAAAGTAAAGGTCTATCTCTGCAGGGATCCATCCCATAATGCTGTCAGACACTGAGAACAACAACCTGAGTCTTAATCCTGAACCGACTGTGACTGTTAGAAACAGATAATGTGGAAGAGAGAGTTTGTTTTACTCACCAGCAGCTTTGATTTTAACAAAATCTGCAGAACTTGAACCAGAATGTCCTGAAAATGAAGGAATAAATGTCAGTGGACAAATTTTACTTTGATACTTATTTAAAAAACTTAAAGACAGCTTGTAATGTCCTTTAAAGACAATAAGAATAGATGATCTGCACTATGACCTCCCTGAAGCCTTTAAACGTCTCCATTTAAACGTCGTGCTTACAGTTTTGATCTGTGTGCTGTCTGTGAGCTGCTGGACGGTGTAACTGTCCTCTGTGTTGTACTGCAGCAGGATCGCCATCTGGAAGGTGGAGGCCTGCAGCGTGTACCTGTAAACAACAACAACAACAACAACAGGTTGGTATGAAGCAGACTCAAACTGCAGCGACTCACTCGTACAACATCTGACTGCTTCATAATAAAATAATAATAAACCACCTTAAAATATCTACAATGATAAAGCGCCCTCTACCTGTGTCCCCCCCCCACACTGCTCTCTACCTGTGTCCCCCCCCACACCGCTCTCTACCTGTGTCCCCCCCCCCACTGTGTGTACCTGTTCTTGAAGCAGTTGGTGACCAGCTCTCCTTTGGACAGGTGATAGAGCCAGGTGAGCTTCCTGCCGCTGTGTCTGCTGGCGTAAAACGCTGTGAAGCGCTGATAGCTTCGCTCCAGCTGCACAGAAACAGACACAAAGAGGAGAGTTCAGAGCGGTGGTTCTCAAACTGCGGTCCGGGGACCTCAAGAGAGAGGTAATTGGACTTATTCGGTCGCACTGAGGTCATAAAAGCTACTCTTATATTAGTCTTACCTCAGACGGCAGAGCGAAGGTGCAGGACTGCTGGAAAGGCCAAGACCCAGAGCTAAGGACCTGGATACTGAAGTCCACTGGAAGATACACACACAGGTTTTAGTTGATAGTGATAGTGCGAACTTATTGAAATTTAAAAGTAAAATCATAATTCCTTGTGCATTTGTAAGCTGAATACTTTAGGGATCAGCAGATACATCATGATTGGTTGATTGCTTGGCTCTGTGTGTGTGTGTGTGTGTGTGTGTGTGTGTGTGTGTGTGTGTGTGTGTGTGTGTGTGTGTGTGTGTGTGTACACTCACAGTCCAGAGGCTCAGAGTTGGTCAGGTGTTTCTTGAACTGTTCGTTCAGGTCTTTACTGACTCCGATGTCCTGGAACATTCGCTGCAGTTTGGACGTGTACTCGAACCCGCACGCTTGCTGCATGAAAACAAGAACAGACCCAGAGTCAGTCTGAGGAAGCTGAGGGTGCGTTAGTGTGACAGAGACAGAGACAGTGTGAGTCACACCTTCAGTTTGGAGATCATGCTGGCCTCTGCGTCGTCACTGGCGCTGTTCTGGTGGACCAGACGTTTGGCCAACATCTTGGCATAAAACTTCTGGAAAACGTCTTTGTCCTCGATGTACTTGAACACAACCATCTGAAAGAGGAAAGACAGACAATCAGAGGAGAGTGCTGCACTATAGCTGTGTGTGTATTCCTTAGGTCCAGTACAATATATATGTGTACATTTGTGCAAACACAGGTAGGTAGGTAGGTACAAGTGTCTCACCACTTGGTTGAGTGTGTCCTCCAGTTCTGCCTCCTCTGGGTTTTTAGAGCTGGAGAAAACACACACACAGTTTATGTTTGGCTCAGGAGGGACTGCAGTGTCCCCTGAGCTTCACAGAGCAGTGGACAAACAATCTACACTCAACGTCCGCTTACTGCCTTCTTCTATCTTCCTATCAACCGTTGCCCGATAGATATTTGGATTAAACTCTTTTTACACCAACATTAGTGTGTATGCAGTTCTTAAACACACACACACTCCAACAACTGATGGTTTCCTGCTCTCAAGTCTTCTTCCAGTGATCAGCACCTCTCACTACAACCCTTGGTGTGCATTACTTTCCTATATTCTGTGTTATATTTCACTGTCTGTCTCTCACATAGCCAGATCTCCACAGCGCTGAGTCAGCACTGGAGAAAGTGCCAGTGAGCCCGTCTGTTTGCTCGCTGTCTCGTCACGGCTGCATTTTGTACCATACAAAGAACAAACTTGCCACCGTCGACTGTAATGACAACAAACAATCAATAATGTTTCAGCATCACGCTGGAAAAAGGGGGCGAGGGATTTAACCGGGGAATGAATGCTGATTCAAGACAAAAGTCAGGTGTTAGAGGGTTTTTTATCCGGTGTAAAAGAGACTTTAGTCTGAGCGCTGTAAAGACTTCCTGTCCACTTCCAATATGACCCACCTCTTCTTCAGTAAAGAGTCGCAGTATCTGGCCAGCAGCTCTGGAGATTTGCTGGACGACTGAGCCATCCTGGTGACGGCGTTGTTGTTGATGAACCGACCACACGCCTATGAAAACAGACAATATATGTAAACGATATCTCTCACGGACAGACGCTCCGATTCTCTCCTGTAAAGTTTACGGTGGGATTTTAACCGACCTTGTCGAGTGCTGCCACAAAACCGGCGTCGTTGTTGAAGGCAGACATGACCAAGGCGTTGTACTTCTTATGGACGTCCAGGGTGGTCTGGACGTACACTTTAGGGTCCTGGAAGAAACACACACGTATTTGCGTTACTTACTGCACTTTTTTACACCTTTACTACGCTCAACTTTCTGCTTTCAGCCCAAATTCTCGTTCCGATACGAAACCTGAACATTGGCTGCTTCGACTATCAATCTGATACTTGATAACAAGTGTGCCCTACTGAGCCTGTATGATAAAGATAATGTGGCTGATAAAGACTGAAAACCTCTCTTCCATAGCTCCCTCCTGACCTCTGTTCCAGCAGCACACGGATTTCTGGCAGCTATTAAAATGTTAAAATCTCTAACAGTAAAAGTCATTGTCGCTCTGATGAGAGAGGACAGCGACTGTTCTTAGTGTTAACTGACAAATAACCCGTGCTCAGAAGGTTCGGATCAGGACATTAACTATGGAGAATTGTTATCGGAGGTAAAAAACGGTCCGTACGTTGAGCGCAGCCTCTCCACACTTCTCGATGGCGGCCAGACCCTGGTTGTGGATGTGAGTCTCTAGAAGTTTCTTCAGTTCACCCAAACCGTCCGTGATCCGAGACACCAGGTTGTACATCCGTCCCAGGTCTGAGAGGAGATACGGGGAGACACCAGTGTTATCAGCAGGGGGGAGAATTTAAGTAACTTAACACTAGACCATGAAAAGTTGAATCAGTGACTTCTAGAGACGGTATATAATGAGTCATATTTCCCAAAACAATGCACATCACACAGTCTTTGCAAGTTTGTTAGACTGAATATAAAAGTGTTGACATTGAGCTCTTCCTGCTCATCAAGGGAAGAAATATCTACACAGTACATCTGTAAGTGCTGGCCTTCTCCTGGCACACAATGTCTCCACCTTGTGGCTGTGCCTTTAAATTCCCCCAAATTTGGAATTTTGAGTTTTTGACCCTTTGCAAGCAGCTATGAGTTTATTTCCTGTACCTTCTCTCTTATATCTCCCAGTTGAACCTTTATGTCCTATCAATATTTTGAGCTGATCAACTTAATAACTCTGAATCAGGACCTCCAATATTGTAGCAAGGACCCAGTTGTGTGTGTAAAGACAGCAGGGTACAGCTGACTTTGATGTGTCGGACACATTTAATCAACATTTAATCTTCCAGTTGTTGCCACAGGTTCTGAATGTTCATTAGGTTGACACGAAAACCTGAAGTCATTATTTGCTGCCTTTTCAGCCAACAAATAGTGATTATTGATCTTTTAGATAATTATAACTTGAGTTACTTGCAAATATTGGACACTAGATCTGATTTGAGTTAATAAGGGATTTGAATCATTTAGTCATTACTTTAATTTCCTCATAAACATTTAAATCTCCATCATCTATTTTATGTGTGTAAATAACAGTTAGCTGGAGCTGTGATGTTTCTGTTCAGGGTCAGTGGAAACGGCAACACGCAGACCCCAAAATAAAACGGCAGGTTTACCTTCGTTCTTGTCGGCGTCCAGAAGGTTCTGAAACTCGGTGTGGAAGATCTCCAGGTGTTTCTCTATGAGGACCTGCTCACACTTCCTGGCCAGCTCGTCCTGGGTGGATTCGTGGAGGTAAACCTGCACACGCCGCTGCTCCTCCAGCAGACGGGCCTCCGCCTGAGGAAAAAGATTATCACTTTCACTCACAGCTGAAATGTTACCCAGAGGAAGGAGTTTTAAAAGCACCGAAACAAGTAAATCTTTCATAAACCTGCCATGAACCTGAATTCATTCATTCATCAGTGTTTGAATTGGAAAGAGCGTCTACCTTCTTCATGTACTCAGTGACGGGGTTCTGCTGCAGGAACTCTGTGCTCTCGCGCGTGTAGAAACGTTCTGTGTCAGTGAGGAACTGACATTCAAAGTACTCCTTGTACACGGACAGCGTGGGGCCTTTGGCGAAGGCGTCCTCCTCGTTCAGACCCAGCTCAACTGGAGGGGAGGAGGAGAGGGGACACAGAAAAAGATATTAATGCCTTTTAAACATATGATAAACCCAATTAGCTTCACAGTTACTCAGCATGATTCAGTCTTTGTGTCTAGATGGAAGACAGATGAGGTATTGTTAGGAGGAATATCTTTATGTTATTATTTTTAAAGCTTTAAAGGTAAAAAGATCAGACATTGTGAATTCTCCAATGAGACCCAGGACTTGACTTTTAGTATCTAGTGACAGTTCAATATTTTATACAGGGTTCGTAGAGCATTATAAGAGTGAAATTCAAGCACTTTTTAAGCACTTTAAACGACTCTTGAAGCCTTTATCGTTACATCTATTAATTTGTGTAATTTGCAGAGAAAGGGATCAACAGAGGATTTATCTCGCTATGAAATGACAACTGAACACGCCAGAATATTTTCATTTAAAACATTTAAAGATATTTTGGTTTACTCAAATGATTGTGTCTATGAAACACAAGATTATGTTGAAAATTATTAAGTAGGAAAGCTTAAAATTAAGCATTATAAAAACGTTGTACCGCCCCGTTCAATATATCTATCACAATACATTTTGTCTGTTCATCTATGTTGTTAGACATCTCGTAACTTGCCAGACAAAAACCATTCAATGTATACACATCCCATATATATACCTGTACTGACTGATTCCCTGCAGATGTTCTACATGAAATGAAATCACTCAGTTAGATTTTCAGATCTATCCGAAATCCCGATCCGGCCTAAAATCAAACACGATATCAAAGTCGCCCACTGACAACGGAGGAATTATCACAGCTACAGGAAGCAGAATAAAAAGAAGAAGGGCTGAAACTGGCCTCCCAAACTCGACAGCTGGTCTTAAGCATGAAGTTAAAGGTGTTTAGATTAAAGCCTTGAGATGAAAATGAGGTATAAAGTTAAGTTAATAGTTAAACAAAGTAATTCATCCCAGATTGAAGAGATGTGGTTGCTCACACTTTTAAAACTAATCGTAAAGGACGAGTTAAGATCAGTTGTATGTACTTATGGACCTCAGAGCTACAAGCATGTGGCTTTGCACTTCTTTATTTCTTCACTGTACTCATGGACCTACCATAAGACTGGACCACACCGCTGATCAGTCTGGTGTTAATGGTCTCGCCATTCCTCTCTCTCTCTATCAGCTTCAGCACAGCGTTTGTTACCTGAAAAAGAGAAATTATTATTATTATTTGTACAATGACAAAACTAAAGCTCATGTAAAGATAGACAGAAGGTTACAGGTAAGATTAAAGGCACATAAAATGAACATTATGAAGTTTAAATCACTGTGTTGTGCCACTTATTTCACTCGCCACGTCTATTAAAAAGAAGTAAAACACACCTGTTTGTTGAGGGGTCGGAATAAACACTCCCTCCAGGTCACAAGTGCCAGCTGGGAGGAAGCAGCAGAGTAGGAGAGGGGAGGGCGAAGACAAGAATGAGAAGGTTAACAAAAAGGTCAAAAGACTTCAGGCTGTTTGTTACTCGTCTCCATTCCTGTTGGACGTCAAATGAAATGACTTTCAAGGTCGTGTATGGTTTATATCGAGGGGCTTAGAAGTCTTCGTCGGGGCAGGACAGAGGTCAAAACTGTGCAATCACAGAGGCCTCAGTCAGTCAGTCAGTCAGTCTTGTGAAAGCTTTATTATGAAGAAATCCTTTAAACTGTTGCATCAACACAAACATGAAGCACAGAGGATGTGTTGTGACTTCGGCAGGCTTCAGCTCCCAGAGGCTTCTTCCACAAGACTCTCACTACGAAGCTCCATTTATTTGGAAAACAGTATTGTTTCTGTGCTTTGTGCTCACACAATCATTAATAATCTGCAGGAGTAGCTCATTAGCTAATGCAGCATTCTGACAGGTGAGGACTGTAATGTTTACCAGCTAATCCTCTCACACTGTGTAACACTACTTAAAGTATGATGTGACATTTATCAGACAAACACTCTGGCTTGTCTGCGTACAGAGAAGGAAACAGCATCTGTTTAACGGAGCTCCAGAGGTGGTGGGAGGTTGTATGGCGAGTCACGATGGTTGTTAGCATCTTTTATGCTTTCTAACGGCACAAAGGAAGTGAGCAAGTTAAGACGTTAAGTAAGAAGTTGCTATATTAATTAGAAAACAGCATTCACTTCAGAGGAATGTTTTTGTTTATAAGAGGAAGAGAAGAGTTGTTTTGTTATTATTGTTAAGTACAGATGTTGAAACGTTGTTCTGATTAAACTCAGACTCGAGTACTCGCTCCCGCTCTACTGAGTGTGATTAGAAGCTAAAAATACTTCCATCCAAACACACCTTCAGTATTCATTTAACCTCTGGTGTGAGCAGTGTGCCCCTACAGTACCGGCACAATCCCCTTCAGATAGCAGACGTACCGAGTATATCTCATAGATTCCCTTGCGTCCCTCATCACACTCTCGTCTGACCCAGTGGCGGTTGAGGTAGGCACAGATCCCGTTGAGGACCTTACTAGAGAAACGGTAATCCTCCCACTGCTGGGTGTAAAACTTCAACACACACTCATCCATTAGATCCTCGCCATCCTGGGAGGGAAAAACCAGGAAGAGAGAGAATATCGGTGAAATGTAGAGCGAGTATCGTCAAAACATTATACGAAACAAAGAAGTGCTGACACTGCGGAGACGTGTGTGGACTCACCTTGAGCAGGCTGGTCAAATAGTTCTTCAGGAACTCCTTGAGTCGCTTGTAGAGCTCCAGGCCTACAAACTGAGCCCCACCGGGAGTGGTGGACTTTTTGGAGGGCTTGGCTGGAGGCACAGAGCCCCTGCCCTGGCTGGACTGGTGGACGCTGGTACAATAGTTATATACATGTCTGAGGGGAAGGGTTAAGGAACAAACACAGACACATCACAGACTACAGTACTCTAACGCTGAAACTAAACAGTGTTAAAGAGAAAATGAAGTTTTAAAATAAACCGTAAAACATGAAGGACCAGCACTGAGAGCTGTTATTCCTCACAGTATTTCTTTTATACACAACATGCTACAAAGCTAGCTATAATTAGTAACCAGCGATGCAGAGTTGGGCCAAAAAAAGCTCTGAAAGGCAAATATGTCATTCACAGATTGGAGCCTGTACATAGTTTAAATTAGTGCGGTTTCTTTCTGCCTCACAGGGTTAGGGTTACAGCTCTGAGCTCACATGGCTGGGTGCATTTCGTACTTCAGGGAAATGATGACATCCTTTACTGCCAGAGAAAAGTGCGTGAGAGGAAGCGAGGTTGCCACACAACAAAATGTGCCCTCAGAGAAAATCACTCAGATCACACACACACACTGTGTATCTAATGTCTGTACGTCTGGTTAACCTTTTAGAAATAAATCCTAGCTGTGACACAGTATTTGATGAGTGGATTATGTGAAAGCACAAGACGGTATTGTGAAGTGAAATGTTTGTTTCCTGTTTTCAGGACTCTGGTCCTGCTGGGTGTTGCTTTTGTTGTAACTCATTACCTGAGCAAACCACAATAAAACAGGTTTTGGTTTTCAGAAAAGGAGGAAGTAGCGAGCCAGTGCCACCAAGTACACCACCCACACACCCACCCACACTCACACTCACTCACTCACACTCACTCACCAAATAAGTAAGTAATAGTGGTAACCATTTGCTACTGTAAGTCACTGAACTTAAAAAAAGATCCTTTAGGGGAGATTATGATTGTCTTGTATGGTAAATAATTAAACAGAATATGAATGTTTACACTCTAAAAGATTAGACTTGTGAGCAGTTATCTATAAAAATGTCAGACAATAGTGAAAAATGTGCATCACAAATCCCAAATATATTCACTAAAACCAGTGAATAAGGTTTTAAATGTACTTTTTCAATTACTTTTCTGTTGGTGAATCAAGTAATTGTTTCAGCTTTAGAGGCACATTTGTAAAACTCCACCCAACATTGAGAGCTTTAATCACAGCGTCAACCCTCCCCGATCTCTCAGGATACGTGTAGAGTTCCATGTAGCGTGACTTGGCCATGCTTTGCCGCGTGTACACCTGCTGGATGCCAGCCCGCAGGTCGTCCCATATCTGGTCCAGGCCTATCTGTTTCAGTCCGTGGGGGTTCTGGGTCCTGTTTGACGACATCGTTGAGCTTTGTCCTCTCCTCTACCTCTCCCTACCGAACGATGCCCTCTCCCTTTCCTGCTCCGGCGAGCGTTGGCCCCCCGGCTCCTCTCCTCGGTTGATTTGGGTCCTGACTCGCTCTGCTCTCAGAGTGCGCAGTCCATCTGGCGGCGGTGGCTGCTGCGGCGCTTCGGGAAGCTGGTCGTCGGGTTGCGAGACGGGATGCAGTCCCACTCTGCACGCCTGGGTGGCACTGTCTGCCACTCCTCCACCTAAAAGCTTTGGCACTCCTCACCAGATGACCTGCGAGGGAAAGATGATAAAGAAAAAACACATTTTGATTAACAATGTTTCATTTACATAAGGAAACAAGCTGCATAAAAAGACGAGTAACTCTCAGGATTAATTTCAAATCCCCAGTTTCCTCAGTGCTGTGTTAGCCAGGTAGGTTATATGGATTTACACCTGGCTCTGATCCCTGTGGACACAGCGCTGACCCGACCCTGACGTCACTCAGCTAATGACAGATTAGTCCACTTCAACGCCTCCCAGGGTTTCCTTCACTAGTCCAGTCAGCGCCGGTCTCCCTCGTCTCCCTCGTTCCTTTTCAGGCCACTACGAGCCAATTTTAACTTTAAGCATTTGTCCAAAAAGCCTCATCCAAACCCTGTAAGTAGTGCAAAGTGTTTCATCACTTGATGAGAGTGGACAGCTCCTCTGTGTCTGTTGCCACGTTTAGAGGAAACTAAAAGCTGTACAGGCGCAGATCTTTTCAAATTAAACTGTCCTTTGTGTCTTTGTTTTCTCCACCGCACCAAAGTTGGCTGAAAGTTTTGTTCCATTGTGAGTAAATCAGCTGCTCTTGTTTGTTAGTTACCACTCAGGTTAGCTAGTCCAAACGTGGAGTCAGGTGATGACTGCGACACTATCACAGGAGTAAACGCGGCTGGGTTAACAGTGGCACTGAAGACGGTCCGAGGAGGCCGCATCATTACGGCTAACTGATGGACCTAAAGCTGTAATTTCATCCACACTGTCAGGAACAGAAGAGAGAGGGTCAATGAACGCCAGAGTTCGCAGCATCGACATCTTCCAAGCCACAGAGAGAGAGAGAGAGAGAGAGAGAGAGAGACAGAGAGAGAGAGAGAGACAGAGAGAGAGACAGAGAGACAGACAGAGAGAGAGAGAGAGAGAGAGAGAGAGAGAGAGAGAGAGAGAGAGACAGAGACAGAGAGAGACAGAGAGAGAGACAGAGAGAGAGACAGAGAGAGAGAGACAGAGACAGAGAGAGAGAGACAGACAGAGAGAGACAGAGAGAGAGACAGAGAGAAAGAGAGAGACAGAGAGAGAGACAGAGAGACAGACAGAGACAGAGAGAGAGAGTGACAGAGAGACAGAGAGAGAGAGAGACAAACACTGCTCAGGGTAAGTCACTGTAGTTACTAAATGCTAAACTCAGCTTCTTAAAACGAGACCTTTTTTTTCTTTTCAGTAGTGATGCGAGATCGGATTTAAAGTTATGATCATACTACACTGTCCTGTCATGTGACACAGATGTTGTGAAACAGCTGCATTCAGACATAATTTCACTTTCAAAATGTCCCAAAAGACATAAGTGGGAATGTCCAAATCCAAATGAGAGATGAAAAACAAGTCTGTTGATTAATCGTGTCCGTCGGCTGTAAAAACATTTAATTCTCAAAAGTGAGGATTTGCTGCTTTACTCTGTTTTTCTTTCATTTTAAGCTGTCATTGGGGTTTGGACAGACAAAACAAACTATTTAAAGTTGTCATATTAATTGACAAAGAAAAGTAGTTGCAGCCCTAATTAAAATCAATCAATACTGCCACAACAGCAGTTCAATCCGAGGTCTTTAGCTCGAGGCAAATGTGATCATTTTAGTGACTCTGCGTGAAAACAAAAGATGAGAAAGAAAAAAAACTGCTGTCTAAACTAACACACACTCATATTTAAGGGCTCATGTGTGTTTAAATATATGCAGCTACCAAAGCATAAGTTATTGTTGATATCCCAGAACATCTGATTATTCAAAAAGAAACCGTCCTTCAGCGTCACTGTGCAGAGTCAGTGCAGACTCAGAGACTAAAGGGAGGGTGCCTGGGTACAAACTGCTGTGTACATGTAGGCAGTGCTGCTATATTTAGAAAGGAGCAGGCATGCAGCGCTGCCCGTCACCGGCCGTTCACAGCTATTAGGGCCAGAGACTCAGGACGTGACCCAAGTGCAATAGTCTGTTAGTGGAAGAGAGGGGAGGAAGCTGATTGACCTGTTCTGTTTACTTCCTGCTCCTGTTGACGGAGTCCTGGCCGCCGCCGGACAACAAATGAAACAGTTGACGTCGGAGCAGCGTCGGAGATACGGCAGCTACAAACACGCTGCTGCTCATAAAGACGTGGGGGAGGAAGATACTGATATTTAGGTCTTTAATTCACAACTCCTCATTATATTAGACCTTTATGTGGCATGTTCATTAATAAATGTACGTAGAAACAGACATCTATTGGTTATAATTTCATTAAACCGACTATTATTTCTACAAGGGCTGCAACTGAACATTATTTTCATAACAAATTAATCTTGTTTACAACATTATAGGATGGTGAAAATGACAATCGACTATTAAAATAGTTGCTGACTGATTTTTTTCTCAATCGTTTCCGCTCTAGTTTCTACCCACACGTACTCTCTCCCAAAGACAAAGCAGAAAGTGGCCAAGAGGTCAAAGCTAACCTGGGGGGCTGATCCGGCTCGCTGCCTGTTTGCGGGTTACTTTGTCAGCTTATGTCACTTCTGGACGATGCTCAGGACGACGCTCGCAACAGGACGCTGACCGCAGTTCGCTTAATGTCCACTGGAGTCACTATTAACAACTGTTTTCTTTAAAGTTGCATAAAAAACCTTTAAAATAGTTCTGGCAGCAGTAGACGCGCTCTACCAGTGCACCTCCCTGATTGCATTGGAAAACCAAAGCAGGCTCAACCTCCGTCTCCTGCATCCCTTCCTCCCCCCCGCTCACAGACTGACCACAGGACTGCAGTCTGCTGCCACTGTAACAACCAAACAAAACTACATGTCTGCTCAACCTGCTGCAACAGTCAACAATCTGACAGAGGCTCCAATCAAAGAAACACATACACACAAAAAAGCAACTCTCAATCTCAGAGCCACATAAAGCCTTCTTATATATTTATTCAGCAGGATTAATCTACAAACAGTGTGGTACAGTTCAGTTTCTATGGCCCGAGACGTACTTCAGTTTAACTCAACGTTTGCGTTCGCGTGACGGCCGCCCTCACGGTATCCTGTGGACAATTAGTTGTGCACGTGGTAAAGTATATCTCCAGCTTATGAACTATATTTTGCAGCTTAACAGCTTAAAAACATTTGGGGCAGAAATGTAAGCAATCGGTGGGCAGAGCTGAGTAAAGTTCAACATCTCAACCCTCAAAACTAAAGAGAGAGAGACTCGCTGACACATCAAATCAAACATGTAATTGCAAATTATAAATAATATCACACATCTGAGATTTGAATTAGATCTCTAAAAAGGTTATTATGATTTAAAATAGTGCATTTAGAGCCACAACTTGTTTACAATCCACAGAATATTTACACTCCTGAGAAATAAATATATAAAAATCTAGAAAAAACTTTTAAAAAACCCATCAAACTCCCCGTTTCCCGCCATCTTTGTGTGTTTATATTTACCACCCTAACCCACAACAGCACCGGCTCACGCAGGACGCCGGTCGGTGTGTGTTAACCGACGGATGCAGAGCCACACACACACATCTCGGTCCAGACTCTAGACCTGCTTCAGCCTCCGCTTCTCTTCAGTGGATCCTCGCTAAACTCGGGAGGAAAAGTATAAAGAAAGGCAGGCCCCTACCTGAGGTGCACCGGCAGTTGCCATGGCAACTGGGGCAGACAATACGTTTTCGGGCGGCGATTCGACAAACAGAAGGCAGAGAGAGTTTCTATTCACCGGTGGTTAAAAAAGAGAAAGAAAGAGAAAAGGTGCCCTTCACAGCAGCTCTGGGGTCAGATTTCAGATTCCCACAGCAGAGGGTTTCAGAAATACGTGTCGCTACAGTATCTGACCTGTGATCAGTTTCTACAGCTATGTGACCAGCAGCACGACGTGGACAGTTTCTAGAAAGTTTGTTGTGAAACAGGAATCTGTCGCGGTGGTCGCCGCTCTCCTCGCTCAGCAAAGTTCAAAGGTTGTGACCAGTTTCAGGGAACAACTGGTCTAAATGTGTGTCTGTCAACAAGTGTTGTTGACGGTTTAGTGGGGCCTGTTTGTATTTACGATGGTGCCAGGCTCCTTTAAATGAGACTACGGGTACAGTTACAGATCGGAGAGTTGAAACTATTTGGGCGATTACTCAATTTGTTAAGATAAAATATCAATCAGCAACTATTTTGACTGATTTAATGAAGTTTTCCTGTCATATATATAATCATAAACTGAATATCTTTGGCTTTTAGGCTGTTGGTTGAATAGAGGGAGGAATATAAATGCATAACCTTGAGTTCTGGAAGATTATAATGGGCATTTTTTAATATTTGATGACATTTTAAAGTCAAAACGACCAGTAATTTAGAGAATAATGAGTTACAGCGTTAGCTGTGGCTCTATTACAGAATTGACCCAATTACAGGGGTTGGGTTATTATAAAAGTGTTTCTGTTATCAGTTACATTCAGTCCCACAGACTCAGTTTTTAACACCAGTAATCCCTCCCTCATGTTCTCATGCTAACTCATATTAAAACCATCTCAGTGAGTTTAACTCTGGTAGCACCGGTGTTGGATTGGTACACGGTATCGGTATCAGGAGAGTTGGTGCATCTCTAAGTACAATTATTTATATTTCAAATCTAAAAACATTTATGTGACTAATATCCTCTGAGGATATCCAAGTAAACATTATTAAGATGCTGTATTTATGTAACATTATAGGAAGGAGGAAATCTAAATACAGCCACCACAAACAAATGAAAACCAGTATGATTAAATACGCTCACCATGAGGTGACAGAAGAGACTAACTGGGACAGCGAGGGGAAACCAACACGCCGTCCTATTGTTTAAAAGCCGCCGTCACTTTCCAGCGGGGACAAACAAATTAAAACAAATCTTACAAACAAATTGTTTACTCGCCGAGTGTGCAACTAAAAAAAAAAAAAAAGCCAACACATTAAGTTCTTACCCTGCTATCTGCTCTCCACAGCAACAAGATGCATCCAAAACCAAAGCAGAGTTTCATATCAGGACTTGTAGATGATGAGCCAGCCACAGTGGGCGGCAGCCGACCCTCACCTGCATTCAGCCGGTTGGTTTCTACTCTCATACCACTGAATGTCTTTACTGCCCTTTAGTGCGGCAGGTTTTACCACAACTCAGGACCCAGAGTGCGTCCGCCTCACGGTCGAGTGTGTGAGGGAGATTTTCTGAACGGGAAGGATGCAGGGAGTGGTGGAGAGAGAGAGAGAGAGAGAGAGAGAGAGAGAGAGAGAGAGAGAGAGAGAGAGAGAGAGAGAGAGAGAGAGAGAGAGAGAGAGAGAGAGAGAGGTGTTCGTGGGAAAAAAAGCTCAGCCTGGTAAATCTGATTACCCTGGTCAACGCTGTGTCCTGGCCAGACTCAACAACCTAATACCCTACATTTAAAACACAAACAATGCAAACCACAGAACAAACCAACACACGCGTAAACAACAACCTGCCATCTCTTCTGTAACGTCAGCGTCAGAGAATCAGGTCAGAAACACGTCTACTACTTTCCTTTAAGGATTTTCCTCCTTTTGGGGCCCAAAACAAAAACATCATACTCTGACATCGAGTCCTGAGGAGCAATCAAGCTTCAGCTGGGTCCGAATCACAGTGACATGTTTGTAAAGTGTGTGTGTGTGCGTGTGTGTGTGTGTGTGTACAAAAACCGATCATGTGCCGGGGTTACGCAGCGAGGGAGGACATTTCATTAGCGTAAGCAGCTTTTGATTTCTGTCGCTCTGCTCAGCATTCAGTAGAGCAGCCGAGCAGACACTCGCAGCCCCCTCTTCCTTTTGGATTGACGTTACGATCGCTGCCCCTCGGCACCGTCACTTCACAGCACCTCGTACATATTGAGCAGACCTGGACGGGTCAGACCGGGGTAAAGGAGGACATGGAACCGCTCCCCATAGCGGCTGACGTGGTTTTAAATCCTGATTTCGTCAGAAGTGATTTCACTTGTGTGAGTGAGCTGTTGTAAAAGGCCACATCGGGTGTTAAATGTGCTCCACGTAGGATAAACATCTGTACAGAAATCACCAGGAACAGAATAGTTCTTCTTAAAGCCGCAGGAATCTGTGAGTGTAACACACCAGCGTCTCCACGACATTAATAACAGCAGAGTTTCCCCTCTGGGGGATCAATAAAAGATTATTAACACAACTAGCAGTGCAGCTTGTATCTGTGTTATTTAACTGAAGTGAAAAGTTACACCATGTACGACGGAGCAGATGGAAGTGAGGTTATGAGCGTTATCTTTGCTGCCTTTCGCCACCGGGCACAAGCCTCTGAATACCCATGCATGTAAGGATGGATGGATGCAGCTGTTTTACCATCCTACAGTATCTTTACGACTCTGAATACCGATGTACGCCCACCCTACGGTCTGTACAAACACAGAGAGGGAGAGCCGCCCACTCACACCGGTTGACTCTGAGGGGATGAAACTTGTCTACACATGTTCAATTAAGCCTCATCGCTCCATATAAACGGTGGCAGGAAGAGACGCAACTTAAAACTGGATGCTATCTCAAACAGTGTTAACATAATGTCCCTTAAATTACAAATATTACTGTAGAAATGGGCGATGTGTCAACACTATCAGTATTAGGCAACATATGATTTATATTACATTATGCAACCCTCTTTTAATGTGCCAATGAAGACACATCTTATCATAAAACATAATCAATGTTTCATTTAATCCTTTAAAGACTCACTGTGTCTGTGCCAGTGTTTGTAAGTAAGACTGAGGAAACAACACATTTTAACTTTAAAATAAAAAGGCTCAGACACCTTGTCAACCACGAATAACAACCAAACACTTCAACATGAATCCTATCCTGTTAGGACAGCAAGAGAGGGTCCTGATCACTCAACAGACACAATAAAATACAAATACAATTCAAGGGAAATAAGATGTTTCCTAACACCTACAGTCCTGGGGGATTATATTTTAATACACACTTTCTGGTGAAAGCATTTATATATCAGCTGTTGGTATAAAATCATTACATATTGTACAGAACCAGCGATTGGTAGCGACTGTATCTCCCAGCAAATGGCTTAAAACTAACCTACAGACAATAAAACATTATTATTATTATTATTATATATCACTCTGCCACCAACATTTACCATTTACCAACAAAACAATAACAGCTGTAATGTGAAGTTAACAATAAACAACAAAAGGGATGTGACTGTGTTCATCTTCCATTAAATAAACAGAGAAAAGGAGGAGAAGACAGTCCACAGTTGGGATTATACAGGTGACAATTAATCCCAATATTATAGAAATAGAGTTGTTATATGTGATTAAACATCATTATAAAGAAATATTGTAGCTGCTGTGGCCTACAGATGTTAGAGAGGTCCCCATCATCTGTATTTTAATGTATAAAATGAGATTTAGTGATATATAAAATGATATATGTGCATAAATAATCTCAATATGCAGATTGTAGCTCATCGAGCAGCTGGTTCCGGTCCATCCACAGCCTCCTCAGAAACTTATCCCCTCCTCTAGTGTGTGTTATACATCCATCTCCAGGGCCCAGGGCCTATCTGTAAAGACTGGACTCACCGTGGAGACCCGGTTCTGATGATACCTGCTGTTATTACCCAGGCAGTGTGGGAGTCCAGTCTCCGGATCAATCCCTCATCTGATCTGAACCGGGTTTAAAACCGAGCCGTGGTTCCGACACTTACACCCACACTCTCTAATCAACCCACAGAATTACCACGGAGCTATACACGATCTCTGTTTGTGGATATTTGTAGAGATGAGCCAGAACCGAGCCGCGGACGGTGTCAGACTCTGCTACGCAACACTGCTAACTACCATTAGCTCCTGTGGCTCGGTTAGCCTGTTAGCTCGGGAGCTACGTTAGCTCGGTTGCCTAGCTTCAAATCAACGCGCCGCCGCCGTTTTTAAACCGGATTTATTCCCCGTTAAGTCCCCGGTGGAGTGTTTGGGGTCTGTGTGGAGGGTGAGTCCGGTGTTAGTCGAGCTACCCGCGGCGGACAGGACGGACGAGCTGCCCGTGTTGTCGGTGTAAAATGGCAGCCTAGCTTTTTCTCCGGAGCGGCTCAATAATGAGTCAGGAAAACAGTCCGCTAGCCGTTAGCGTTAGCACGAGCTAGCTCCGAGCGAGAGGGTGAAACAGCGCCGCGGGCTTTTTCTACGGCTCCAAACCCGGTTCTTACCATCGTTAGGGTCGCTGTCGCCGTGCCCGCGTTGTGTGTGCTGATGTTCGGACCCGGTCGGTGTGTTCCCTCCGCCGTCTGTAGCTCCTGTGTGTCTGTGTGTGTGTGTGTGTGTGTGTGTGTCCGTTGCTAACTGCGCTCTGCTTCGTTCGCACAAAGATCAGCTCAGCAGCCACACAATCATGCGGCGTTCAGGCGCTGTCGGAAAGACGAGCTCTGCTACAACGAACATAAAAAAGTTGCACAAGCGAGTGGGTTTTTTTTTTTTTTTTTTTTTTATAGTTTAGGATAAATAAAATCAATTTCAAGTCTTACTTTCTTTTACATACAGAAAAAAACAATATAGTCCATATATGTATTATATATTTACATGTTTTTTTTACCTCCATTTGCACTGTTTACTGTAACTGTTTCAAGTTTATTTTATATTTTATATTAATATTTTATTTTATTTATTTTTTATTTTATTTTATTTTATTTTATTTTTTATTTTTATTTTTATTTTTATTTTTTATTTTATTTTTCTTATTATATATATATATAATAAGAAAAATATTATATATATATAAATATTTTTTTAAGGTAAGGGTTTTTTAATTCTAGTTTTTATGTAAGTATAGTCTATGTAATGTATGTTTTGTATTTTGGATGCTACTGGATAATTGATTTTAAACAGACTTAGACTTCACTTTATTGATCCCTTTGGGATGACTCCCTCAAGGAAATTGAATTTCCAGCAGTTAACAAACACTTGTATAGAAAATAAAAGAGGTATAAAAAAATACAATATAAGATAAACAATAAACTTTTATCTAAATATAGAAAGTAGAGATAAGAATAAAAGTAAAATAAAATTCAAGTAAAAAATAAAATAAAATATCTATCTAAAGTATCTATCTATCTATCTATCTATCTATCTATCTATATAGTACATCCTCAGTAACAATTATAATCATAAAATGTAAATATAATAGTAGTAATAACAACTAGAGCTGTGTATTGGCAAGAATATGGCATCATAACACACAATCAGAAATACTTTATTGATCCCCAGACGGGCAATTTGTTGTTCAAGGTGCTCACATGACAAGAATAAACATATTGATTATATTACAATATCTGACACAATATATATATGTATATATAGGTATATACATATGAAATAAAAGACAAAAATAGAAAAATATAAGAGTCTAATTTAGGAAAACTGTCATTATAAATAACAAAAGTAAAAAATATTCATTGTGCTGATTTTAAAGTAAAATAATATACCACAAAAATAAAGATACAGTCATAAATAAAGCAGCAGTGACAGTTTCTCTCTTGTGAGATACACATATCTGCAAAGTGGGAGATTCAAAGATATATATTATGAAAATGAACCTTGGATTACAGGATGTATCTGTTTCTAATCCACATAAAAAAGAGAGATTATTATATAATAATTAATAATTAATTCCAGAAAACATTTTTCCCTCTGCTGCACATTTACAGAATAAAGTTTCTGACATTAATAGTTTCCAGCTTTGTTGCTTTATGAAGAGAAGAATTTACTTTTGTGTCTTTTTACAATCTTTATAATAATTGATAAAACAGTCGAGGTTTTTATTCCTCATCAACCAGCGTCTATTTTATCGGTGTTGATCTTAAATGTTTTTATTAATCCAAAATGAGGATATTATAATCTATTAACTATTCATAAATACAAGGCACTTCCATAAACTCATTTATTATCGTCATGTTTATGTTGCGTTCTCCCTGAAGATTCATCTTTGCTCTTTTTAAGTCACAAAAATATGAATTTCTTCTAATTCAAGTCCTGATATGTGATTTATTTTACGGTCGGGGGGAAACTGAAGATCTCTGATTAACCTACAGCCATTTGAAAAAGTAAATAATCTGAATAATAGTATGCTGACTTATAAAATAATAACACACTCACCTCTCAAGTACTCGACATTAAAACGTCGGAGTTGACCAGGATTCCCTGAATGCAGCATCAGCGTCACAGAATGGCGTCTCTATTGGACTACAAACATGGCCACACAAAACAACTACAGCTGCTTCAACTACAGATATTGCAATATATCTCACGCATGCGCATTTGGCCGGTTCAGTCACCTAATATGACATTTTAATTATGCATGCCCGAGACAGACGCACGATGCTCACATTTATCTCCCTGTCCTTTAATCTGTGTGTGTGTGTGTGTGTGTGTGTGTGTGTGTGTGTGTGTGTGTCAGTGTGTGTGTGTGTGTGTGTGTGTGTGTGTGTGTGTGTGTGTGTGTGTAACATTAGAATAATCTTAATAAAACAAAGATATTCTCCTGTAACAGTCCACCGGTTCACGGTGTTTGGCTGTGACCTTGTCTGAGGTATTTAAAGTTCAACGCTCTGACTTTAGTATTTATCTTTATTTATTCCTGGAGGGAACCAAATGTTCTCCAAACACAATATGTTGTGTGGTCATCCTCACTATCACACCCTGTGCACCTTCACTGCCTCTGAAACAGGCAGAATACGACCCCTGTTGGTGGATGAGAGAATGACTGGCTGCAATTAATTCCCTGGATATTTACCCTGACCTTTACTTTCCCCATTACATTACATTTCAGTCATTTAAAATTTCAAAAGTAGTTACAACCTTACATACATTCAGCAGCTGGAAATATTACATTACTTTGATTTTAACAAACAAAACTTAGAGAAATACACAGTAATACTAAAAGATTATGATTAAAATGAGTAATAAATTACATTTTTTTGAGTAACTAGCCCATCACTGGTAATGGAAAGCAAACTAATTACTTTTATCTTCTTCTCAAAACACCGTAATCCTATAAAAAGATGACAATTCAAAATGATTTCATCCCTCGAGGGGCAAGTTAAAGGCAAACAGAAATACAAACAATTCAGTCTCAAACATAAAAAAGTAAAATACAATGTTAGAAGGCGTACATAAGGATGAATCTATCGGTCTATACACAAAGTAAACTGACTGAATTTTACATTTCTTGTTGCCGTTCACAAGTCTAATAAAACCAAACTTTCTTCCTTCCATATGTTTTACATACAGTCCGTCTAAAACATATTCCTGATGTCAGCAGCTTAAAGTCGTCACAGAGGACAGGTGAGATAATCTTATGTGGAGAACTTGTTCAGTCTAAAGTTGTATTGTCTTACCAATAACTTCAGAGCAGACGCTTTACTCTGCACCCCAAAAGAGTTTAGTTTACGTAGACAGTAGAGACACTAGTCTTTTTCACAATGATATCTGTATTATAAGTATTTGTACCATGAATGTCTGTTGGACCACAGATATCTATAAGAGTATACCAACAGTTTTTTCTAGCCCCTTTCCCCCTTTATCTATATGAAGGAGCTCAATGTATAACCACTTTATGACTAACTCCAAACCAGAAAAACGTTTATTAGTATTTGTCTCATTGTCAATAAATATCATAGAAACCCCAAAACCAACACTGAATGTATGAACACACAGTTTATTTATTATATTTTCACATTCGCCGTCCTGCTGCCCCAAATACTCACAAGAGCACCAAACGTGGATCAATCCGCCTGCTGAAAATAGTCCCCAACAAATCCATTACTTCCTCCTGTTTACGTGCGATAAAAACAATAATTTCCAGCTGTTTTTGGTGAATCATTGACTGACGTTGCGCAGTGCTTTATACAAAGAAAGAACAGAAAGAGAGAAGAGAGAAGTTTTAAAGATGCTTTTTAATGTTTTGCACTGATTCGGTTTCTCTGAACTCCTCCAGAGTCCAAACAAACTTTTTCCAGCCTTGATGTTGGAGCGGCGCTGAAGATCTGCCCACAACAACTCCTTTAAATACACAGCTGCCTGGCCCGGTAGTGTATGCCAGAGATAAAGTCTTTGAACATGACATAGAGCCTGTGGAGAGAAACTGGTGCAATGTGTTTGTTTAAAGCCTCACAGCTGAAATCATTAAACTCATGTAGAGGTCAGATGACTCTAGTTCTGTGTCAGTACAGGTAAAGCACACCTGTACAAGAGAGAGTCATTTACAGTGACAGCCCTTTTACGTCAGTTTACGTCTGCCAATCATCTCCGTAACACATACCTTATGTAAGAATGGCGTGATGTGTTTACAGACCACGCCCTGAATAAGGTACAAGAGTGAAAGCTGTCTGAGCAAAGCAAAAGATCAACATCTAGACCACTAAACTAACATGTGTTTTAATGATTAATTTTTATACAAGTCTCCGTAGACGTTTAATGGAAAATTACACAATATTCAAAGCCTGTGTGTGTGTGTGTGTGTGTGTGTGTGTGTGTGTGTGTGTGTGTGTGTGTAAAAAAAAAGGAAGGAGGAAATAAAAGTCAGGAAAATAGCATCCACAAACTCTTTTAATTTCAACCTTGTTCCACTCCATGTCCCCCCCCCCAGTCATCCACATCCCCTCCTGCAGTGGCCCACCAGTGGGACCCGCCCCACAGTTTGAGAACCACTGCGTTTAAGTATTTGTTAAAGGTTTATAAATCCATTCGTAATGTTTCTAGATCCAAATTTTGTGTTACCAGTTTGTGAAAAATCCACATCTAAATATCTAAATACTCCTAGTGGAGAGTGAGAACATGTTTTTGTTTGTGTAATTTGGTGAACTAACCCTTTAAATTGTAAGATTTGTGCATGACATACGCATTATATACAAAATACATAACATACTAAACAACTATAATGCTGTATGAAATCTTCATAACGGGTCAGAATACACACAATCAGTGTCACGCTTTATATACAAATAATGTAACGTGTACATATTTTTTCTAACCAGGTTCTATTTACATTGTGTATTTAAATAAGTGTGATTTGAATCCAGTTGGAAACAGTGTGAGTGTCCAACGACCAGAGTAAAGTAGAGTGGAGCTGCCGGCAGAGACGGGAGGAGAGGGGACGCTCAGCTATTCAGGACAGTTTGCTCCATCACCTGCGTCTTCATCTGAAACAACAACGCAAACACACACGGTCAATTATTAATCTGGTACATAGTAAATATATATATATATTTACATAAAGACTAGTAAAGATTTTTTATTTGACTCTAAAGAAGAGACTGCACTTTTACTTTGATGCGTACACTGATGCATTTCCCATAAGCACTTTCATTATTTACTACAAAATAAAATGGGAATAAATAAAGGCAAAAAGTCTCAAAGTTATCTGTTTCTCTATATTTATCTTTAATGCTGTGCCACAGATGAAACGAGGAGGAAACACTACCGCTCTTGTCCACAGGGGGTCGCCAGACTCAACACAGAATGAAAGTTCCCTGTTGCTGCTTTAAGTAAAACATCTGAGTTCTTCTGACGACTTCTTATTATGATTTAAGTTTCTGTCAGTTGTTTTATGAAATGGCTCTGGAGTTCATATAATCACAAAACTGTTTTTGTAAACGGCATAAACAATAAGTCACTTACTTAAGTGTATCTTACATTTTAAATCATTACAGAACTTAAGTTAATAGATTTTGTGTATATTTGAACTCGTTGTTAAAACTGCACTGCATTCTGGACCTGGTTTACATTCTTTTGTGCCAAAACAACTGTAATAAAACCCTCAATATCTCTGAGTTATTGTGGTTATAATAAAAGTTGCAGTTGTTGATGTAACACTTGTAAAATGTCTTTTTAACCAGCTCAACGTTTGAAATGTTAAAACTGAAAGTAAGTTGTCCGACCGGTTTCTGTTTTCTTTTTGCTTGCATCATTTCCTGCTGCTGCTTCGACCGTACTTCCTCCAGACTCATACAGCCACCTGTGAACACACACACACACACACACACACACACACACACACACACACACACACACACACACACACAGTCAGATTACAGTTAACATACCAATCATAATAAAGTCTTTCTTTGTGTGTGTGTGTGTGTGTGTGTGTGTGTGTGTGTGTGTGTGTGTGTGTGTGTGTGTCTCACCAACACTGCTGGGGTCAATGGACACGTAAGCCATCGCTCTGCTCAGCCGAAGCTCCTCTAAAGCGGCGAGCTCCGCCTCCGCCTCTGCTCAACCAATCACACGACAATAACAATTAAACCCGATGTTGAAAAACAATCGTATGAGTCCTACTCCATCCATCAGCACGACGACTCACTTTTCTGGATCTCTCTTCTCTTCTTGGGGTTCGGGGGGATGACGGTGAAAGCTTTGTGGCTGCAACAGAAAATCACACGCTGGTTAAATCTCTGTGTTCATTTCATTTTGAAAAGGGCGGGGCCTACGAGTACGATTTGTGACGTCACAAATAGTCAATCCTGGTCCAGTTTGGGATTTAAACAAGTGAGATGTAGAAACTTGGGGGGGGGCTGGGGTCCCTGAAATCTGACCACCCCTTCCCCTCTTCCCCTCCGTCTCCCAGAGGCTGGAACCGGCTCCGTTTTAAATATAACAGCGTCATAAGAAACTAGACGACCTAACATGGTCATACTAGCATGTCAGGAAGTTGCTAAATAACATTAAAGGCTAAATTGTGTCAATGAAAAACCTGCCATAGCCTTTTTTAAAGGGACCTCTGACCTCTAACCTCAAGATATCTGAAATAAAATGGGTTCTTTGGCGCAGACATGCCCACTTTATGCTAATCCCGTGCAGTTTTAAGCAAAAAAAACTTATTTTTTATGTGATATCTATGTGTTAATTGAATATTTCTGCAAACTGGGGTCCATAAACTGTATTGGAATTGCATAAATTGGGAATGACTGGAAACCTGAGACACATACTTCATGTAGGTGACCACAGGACACGTGGCTCCCGGCTGACAAACAGTCAAACAAAGCTGTTGTTTCTGGATGTTCACCTGCAGGTCAGTCATAACAGTGGGTGGTAAAGCGTGTGGGATTAATCCAGAGCAACAGATGGCCGCAGGCAGCAGCCGGGGGACGGATACTTCGGGACAGGATACCTGCCTTTTACTGCGACGTCCTCCAGACTCTGAGCTGCATCCTAAAAAGGTCTCTTTTCACTCTGAACCAACAAAGGACAAAATAATCCTTAATATATTGTGTTGACAGCAGAATTTGAAGGTTTTTCTGAACATTGTTTATGTGTTAGTCACCAGATCTTTAGAATTTGTGATACACACACACACGGTGGATTCTCATGATGTAGATTCATAAAGAACAATGATCATCTGCTTTCTCTTGGTCCTGTTTTGCCATTGTGGACACCTTATAGGAGACATTTTATAATATATTCTTATTGAACAAAATGAGTAATCCATAGTTATATCAAACGTTTGGTACCAGAACAACTTCAGTTTCATCAATATGTGCTTTGATCCAGAGTAAATCTGATGTTTGATTCTGATTCTTTTGCGTTTTTAGAAAGAAAATCAACTTTTTCTACCTATTAAGTCTTAATACGAATGTGAAATCAATAATTCTTCACACGTCTTCCACAGCAGATTCAACCTCTAACAGAAAGAAAACTTTTCTTTAACATATTGAACAAAATAACACATTTCTTTTGTTTGTCATTAAAGAGATACTCAATGTTATTAAAGGGTTCAGTCCTCAGTTTTAATTGATTTGAAGACTTTCAGGTGAATTGACATGCTGACATTCACGAGGCCCTTTAAGAACCTGTTAATCCATTTTAAAGATAATCGCATTGATAATAACTAAAAGCTAAATATTTGTCCAACCTTTCGTTTGTATCTCCAGACATAAAAAAGTCTGATGTCTCTTTCCCCTTTTACCTTTTCAGACTTAATGTAAACGTTCATGTGGCTTCAAATGCTCAAAACAAACGTACAACACAGCAAAATAAAGACACTCTGTAGTGATTATTCGACCTATCTAACAACTTGTAGTCCCTAGAGTCAACTATTAAAATAACAGGCAACTATTTTCATAGCAGATTAATTGATTAATTGTTTTGGGTCATTTTTAAAGAAGAAATTCTCTAATTTCAGCTTCTCAAATGTGAATATTTTCTGGTTTCTTTAGTCCTCTATCACATTAAAATGGATATCTTCAGATTGTGGACAAAACAAGACATTTGAGGATGTAACTTTGGACCTTTTCGAAATTTTCTGACATTTAATGGACCAAACAACTAACCTATTAATAATTTTGAGTCATTTTTTAAAGGAGAAATATCCAAATTCTTTGATTTCAGCTTCTGTGATGTGAATATTTTCTGGGTTTAAACTAAATATCTTTGGGTTGTGGACAAAAAGACATTTGAGGATGTCACTTTGGGCTTTAGGAACAAGGGTTCAACGTTTCCAGAAGCCAGAACCGACATGAATCCACATTTTAAACATGGATGTGTTCAGTGTTTCACCAGCATCACTAAACGCTAACAGAGCAGCTTGTAGAGCGCATTGGACACAACAAACCTCTCATGTTACAACCCAGTAGAAACCACAACCATCAGGAGCTGTGGGTGAGACAGGTATCCTCAGTCTCACCTCTGACTCGCGTGTTTTGCCTCAGCTCTGCCTCCCCGCTGCTCCCTCGGGCCCGGACAGGCGCTCACCATCTCCCGGCACTCTGGGTGGGCAGCAGCGGGATGTTTCACAGAGTTGGTCCCCTTCCGATGGTCCGGGTTCGTTCTGGGCCAGTGTGAGGTCACTGTGGGGGCGGTGGAGCGGGACCTGGTCCTCCTCTCGCAGTTGGTTTTGAAGGCTGTGCGCTGCGCCCCGGTGCTCCTCTCGCTCCGGTCCCCCCGCTGCGGACACCGCGGGCAGCTCGACGCGCGGCTTTTACGCACGGCGGGCAGCCGGAGGTCGCTCTCCGCTCCGGGAACCGCTCTCACCTTCACCGGTTTGGGTCTCTCCAGGGTCTTTGTCGGAGCCTCCACTGGTTTTTGCTTGATCACTTTTGTGGCTGGCATTTTTATTTTCAAGGTAATGTTTCTACTTCCGGCCTGAGGTCGTGGAAGAGACGCGTCATCTTCTTACAAACTAAATGAAAAGGCAAAAAGATCAAATCTCAACTTTTCCTTTCAGTGGCCCGGTTACTATGGAGCGTGCACCCTAGCAACTGAAGTGTCAAGTGCCACAGGTGAGGGTGGGACTTCTGGTGCGAAATTTCAAAATAAAAGCAGAAGGTTCAAAACGAAAAAACATCAACAAACAAAAACAAAAATAGTTGAGAGGCGATTAAGAAAATGAATCTGCAACAATCTTAACAAGCAAATAATATTTTTTAAAGCAAACATGCAAAAAAAAATCACTTCTTTCAGCTTCTCAAGTTTTAATATTTTCTGGGTTTTTTTCCTCTTCTTCTATAATAAACTGAATACTTTTGAGTTTTTTTGACAAGCTGTTCTGTAATTGTTATTGTTCACAGTAACTGAGACAATAACTGTTAGATTAATTGAGTAATTATCTACTCAGCCCATTGACATGTTTATTGCCAAGTAAGTTTACACATAAGAGCAATTTGTCTTGGTGCAAAGGAATCACAATCAAAATGTTTAAATATAAATAAAGATAAAGAAAGATTTTTTTATTCTAACACAGTGCTACTGTCCCTCACTCTTCCCCAAAACATAAAAACTATACTGCAGACCTACAGGAAACCTCACCTGTCCTCCGTGGAGGGTTTCACTTCACTCTGAAACAGGATCGTGTTGTTGCTGTTGATCGAACTTTAACCTGAAAACTTTTTGTAAGTCTACATTTTATTGTGAAGGCAGAGCCGGCTGGTTTCCGGGGTGCTGCTGTCTGACTGTGTGCTGTTGATGAGCTGCAGATTAAAGTAAGTGACGCACAGGACTTTTTGTTGTCGGTAGGTGTCCGTCTGCTCATCCGATTACTGACACGCGACTCTACACAGGTCACATGACCACATACCGTGAGAATATACAGAGTAATGGGCTTATTTACCTTTTGTTTATAAGTAATACACAAAAATAAACTTTTATTTTATGACAACAGCTTGATATTGAATAATAGTGAGAAGAATATAATACACTTTATAACTTCTTTAAGTTACAAAGTGCTTAAAAACATTTAAAAAGTGCATTCAAAAAGAGAAAATGAGGAATAATTAAAGTTATAAAGAGAGATTAAAGCTTTTACAGTTTCTCATTGGCTGATGGCTCAGTTTTTGGTTCCAATCTCTGAACAGTTTGTGTTTTGTTCACCACAGATTATGTTTTCTCGTTGTGTTTTGGCACACGTGTGCAGGAGAGTCATCTGCAGTTTGCACAATAACCACTTGCACATGGCTCGCTGATCAAACCTCATCAGACGACAAACTGTCTCCACGACTTCTAAACATTCTTTCATCGTTTGAGGCCAATCACTGATGAGACACACACATATTCCATAAACGTAAACCATCCAATGTGCTGTGAGGAGGTTCAGTTTGTACACACTTTCATATGACTTTACATGAACTATTAAAGGTGAGTTTTCCCAGTTTACCTGCTGTTGTTAGTCTGAATCTAATAAACTCAGCGTGATTCACGACAGCGTTCAGCTCGACTAGAAGCTGACGTTCCCGTAGAGCACAGTAAGCAGTCGGCAATAAAACAGAGATCTGGATAAACATTTGCAGGGTGGATGGTGGAAAAACATCCAAACATTGTGAACCTCAAACACTGACAAGCTTTTCATTTGGGTGACTCAGTAACTGAAGGAAGGAAAGGTTTTTGGGTGAGTTACGACCTTCTGCACATGTGCAGTAGAGTCCTCATGTCCCATGAAACACTGCGGACTCATATTTGATAAGATGTAGTCTCTCTAATCCTTCTCTGATAAGAGTTAGTTATTCAATAACGTGAAGAGTGAACCCTGTGAACTGAACAGTCATTGTACTTTCTGTCTTTGACCTTTTAGTCAATGAAATAACAGTAAAGGTCTCTGAGGACCCCCTGGAACCACCTTAAGGACCCCCGAGGGTCCCTGGACCACAGGTTTACAACCACTGGTTTAAAGAAGAGTTTGTGTGTCTGAGAAGGGACTCTAACTATAATCCCTCCACTAGTATTTCAGGAATATTACGTGACACCAAATAGGACATAAATATATCACCTTTGAGGTACTTTACTTTCCTCGATTACTTTCAGTTTATAAAATTCTTAAAACTTCTTCATCACTACATTTCTGAGATAAATATTATAGTTTTATATCCACCACATCTGACCGCTATAATTAGTTTACAGATTTTATACAAAGACAGTTCAATATATTATTATACAGTCAGAGTTTTTTTGTGATTGTTGCGGGCAAAAATCATTGATTATGCGGCACGTTTTCACGTCACTTCATAACGTTCCCATGGCAACAGGGGAAAATGGCTGCATTTGTGTGAAGTAAACGCAACATTTTTCAACTTTCTGTTAAGATATATGTGACTTTTTTGCAACGAAAATGCGGGGATTATATATATGTATATCTTATATATTTGGCGCGGAAATCTGCAATTTATGCGGGGAAAGTGCGGCGTATTTGAAAAATCCGGCCCCGCATAAATAGGCTATGCGGACTTTGGCTGATTATGCATTGAATTATGTGATCGAATAATCGGGTTTTTCAGGAGGGACTGATTATAGATTAATAGAAGCTCCCCCTACAGGCCAGCTGCAACACTACAATGCTGCTCACATGTTAATACATCAGTAATTATATTACCTTATTATATTAACTAATTATATTAACTTATTATATTCACTTATTGTATTAACTTATTATATTAACTTATTGTATTAACTTATTATATTAACTTATTGTATTAACTTATTATATGTACAACAAAAAGACACTGTTGAGGATTTTCTATATAATATTACTGCAAACAATTCAGTCCCGATGTCCAATTTACACACTTTTATCCTGTTTGTTGAAGCTTTACAGATAAAATCCTTCAACCTCAATATATGAAATATATGATAAATATGTATTTAAGTAATAAATGTGTAACTGCATCATAAGTATTATACTTGAGTACTTTTACTTGAGTATTTCCATTTCACCTGCACTGCACTACACAGAAAGACAGTGAAATCAAAAAGGAACCAGTGCGCCGAAAGTTGTGAAGTGTTTGTGGTCAGTGTTAATGTTGGAGCATCCAGGGGGGGCACTTTATCATGTTTTATATACCACAGGGGCATCCAGGGGGGGCACTTTATCATGTTTTATATACCACAGGGGCATCCAGAGGGGGCACTTTATCATGTAAATAAATAAATATATAAATAGACATAAATATTGTACTTTTCATGCAGCTACATTTATTTTACAGCTAATTAAATATTTCTATACATCTATAATATAAAATCAATTTGTAAAATATGAAACACTTTTATAGATTAAACTGTAAAACAGCAGATGAAGTCATTACCATTATAATAACCACATTATAAAAGGAGACAGTCTGTGCTGTCACTAATACAAACTGTCGCAGGGGGTATTTGTATGTGTACCTACTGTTGCCCCATTATTGTGCATTAGTACCCCAGTGTAACTCCGCTGTATGAGTGTGTGTGTGTGTGTGTGTGTGTGTGTGTGTGTGTGTGTGTGTGTGTGTGTGTGTGTGTGTGTGTGTGTGTCTGTGCGGTCCTCCTGAGCTCTGAGTGGTGCTGTCTCGCCTCCGCCCTCCTGTAAAAAAACTGCCTTCCATTGCATTTCTCCACCAGCGGACTAACCAGGCCCCTCGCAGCCGCTACACGGTGGCCCCGAGCCGGGCTGATTCCCACCACAGACCCGGCAGGTGTGACGGTGGTGGTACACCGGCGGACGGCGGGCAACGTTGCCCCCTCTGGATGCTGGATTTACGGACTGCTGTGCGGGAAACACTCGGGGATGTGGAGGAAATCCTAATCAAAGTGCGACACACACACAAGCCCATGCACATGATAAACGGGGCCTGCCTTGCATTGCAACTTTTGCCCTTCTTGCCTCCCTGCAGGGGTAAAGGCGGATAACCAGGAGGTGAGGCTGGTGAAATTATTGTCTGGGGGAGGGTGACGCGCACTTCACAACAGCCCCTGCGCTGTCAGACGAGGAAGTGCTTTATACACGCCCATTTACAGCCTGTCGACCCTGCTCAAAAAGCCTCAGACCCGCTCATCAGATAACAGCAACAGACTTTATAAACATGCGGTCACTCTCGGATGGACGGTACCGGGAATAAGCTGCAGGACGACGCCGATCTCAGCGGGTAGGTGACCGGAGAGCTTTACGCATAACGTGGACATGACAGTCTCACCAAATGTTATTATCGTGAGACTTCTCCACTGTGAAGGCCTGTCTCCATCTTTTTTTTTTTTTTTTTTTTTTTTTGATAGTCACATGCATGATCTCTGGTCTAACTGTCACCGACATGCTTTGTGACTCACACACTGAGTGTCATCGCCCTCGTCCTGCGAGAATAAATGTGAGACTGCCACTGCACAGTTAACAGGCTGCGGGGCCAGATGTCAGCATCTGTGCGTGAGAGTGGCACCTGCTTTCGTTGTGATGTTGCGTGGATTTAGTTCAGGCTGCAGACTTGAGCCCCAAATTTAAACCATAAAACCCGCTTTTGATTCGATTTTAACGCAGACTTTTGAACCAATCTTTAAAATGCGGCAGCCTCACTGTTGAGATAAGTTGGAGTAGGTTACACTGTAGTGATGGTAGGATAATGCTCATTTAGCATGGGGGGGGGTCACACTGAGACCCCCAAACTCCTTTTATGTTGGATGTTTCTAGAGCTGAGACAGTTGGTTGATTCTTTGATTTTGTGATGAACAGAAATAATTTGGCAACATTTTTGCTGAGAAATAGTTGATTCACTGTTTCCACCTTGTTAAATGTGAGGATTTTCTCATTTTCTTCATCTTTAGTGAGAGTGAACTGAATATTTTGGGGGTTTAGATTGTTGTTCAGACAAAACTAAACCTTTAATAATGTCACCTTGGGCTTTGGGAACTTGTGATTGCTCTTGTTGTATTGATCAAACCAGACCACAATTGATTAATTGCAAAGATCCATAGATAATGAAAATAATAATTAGTTGCAAAAATAGTATAAAATTCACTACTTAACATTAATAATATATTTTATAAAGCATATAGTTCACTACAATAATGTGTAACATCACTAGTGAGTACCACACAGATATGTTACATCCATAAGAGGTATTATAAATATATTATAGTGATACTAGAAGATAAAGGTTTTGTAGGGGGACCGCCAGGAGCCCCACTGGGATCCCTGAGGTTCTGAGTGCTCTGCTTAAGTTACAGTAACTTATAAATTGAGGCTGCAGCTCCATTTATTGTCTCCAAAGATAAAATGTGCTTCCACAGAGTGTGTTTAATGGCAGCTGAACAACAAAAAAGTGGCACTTCAGGGAACTTAAAGACGTCTTCAGCTGTGTGGTGCTACAAAAAGATGAGGTCTGCATTTAACACTTTGTTTTTTTACTGATTCAGAAACACAGACAAAAGCCCGAGTGCGTTGAATGAATGATATAAGAATGAGCTCGTGAATATGAAAACAAAACAAACACTACGGTTGAAAAACTGTGTGTTTTCAGTTCCTAATTCCCTCCCACTGTCTACCTGTGACTTCCCTATGTGAGGTATGTGACTGCGATTACCTCCTTGTGCCTTCAGGTGACGTAACAACGGCAATATTTACACTCAACACACACACACACACACACACACACACAAACACACATACATATAAAGCACACATTAAACAGTGTGTCTCCAGAACACATTCGTACAGTAACTAACAGCTGGGACCAAGTTGTTGTTTTCAAAGTAAGTCAAGTGCCAAGTTTATATGGAAGGTCTACTAGAACAGGTTTACATACTTTTGTACACACATTTGTCTCATGCTGTACATTGCTTCCTCGAACTTTAAGGTAACTTATCGTCTTGTTTTGGGTGAACATCCAATCGGGGCTCTTCAGTAGATGCAACAGATTGCCGTGTCACACTTTTTAAATATAATACTTGTCCATCTTTGGGCTCTTTGGGCTTGGTCAAGGGTGTCAAATATTTTTAAGTCAAAAGTCCTAAGTCCATGAAGTGAAGACACTAGTCTCTGGTGTTAAGGTTGAGTCTGACTCTACTGACCAACAGTCGAAAACCCTCAAAGATATTCAGTCGACTGTCACATTAGATAAAGAAGAGCAGCACATCTGAGGAGCTGGAACGGAGGAATGTTTGGTGTTTTTGTTTGAAAAGTGACCGAACGATTAATCAGTAATTAAAATAAATGATTATTATTTACTCATTAGGTCGTTCAATTAATCAGCAAATCATTTCAGCTTTAAACCTGACAGTAGTAGCCTGAATCTGCGAATGAAACGTGAGCTCGAAGGATCGTCTGGCTCCCAGGTCTAGACAATGGCACTCCAAAAACACAAATCCTGATTTATGTGTGACAGTTTAACACGAGCTGTGAACCCAACCATATAAAGAGTACAAGGAAGACTTAAAGTAGTCACAGTACAAAACCAAAACAGGGACAAATATAAAGTTATAGTTCTCAGACAATGTACCTGAGTTCAGGCATAGAGCAGTTTTACTAGTTTACTTAGAACATTTCCAGCTAACAACTCTTTTCTGCTTTTATTCCTGCAGATAGAACGTGTATATAATATATATAATAATAATAATATAATAATTACTCTAAAAAGGATTTATAGAATGGAAATTTTGTATTCAGTTGGTGTGATTGGATGTTATAGTGCAACGTATAAGATGTTTTTTTAGTGGTTTATTCTACTGAATATAAAATATATTATAATGTCATCATGTATCTAAAGAAGGCTTTGATTACTACATGGTTTCAGGGAGGCCAACATCTTTAACATGTCTTCCTTTTCAAAACAAAATATGTTAAAATAGTTGTATAAACACTATAAAGTCCAAGTATTTAAGTGTTTGAAGAGATATAAACAAATGTGTTACTGCACAAGTAAGAAACAAATTGTCACAAATTGTTGTGTGGTGTTTTGTCCTGTTAAAGAAAGTTGTGTAATTGTAGTGTTATAAAGTTATAACTGTTAATAAGAAGGGTATGCAGATAATAGGGCTCCCTTCTCAACGCATGTTACACAACTTGTCCCAACCGTAGGGTTCATACCGGAAATTAAACCTGGTCTATGGTTTATCCATTATATAGTGACAGTTCAGCACCACCTCCAAATGAGAGTGTTTCTTTTTTTTATTTAAGTTTTGCATTTATAGAGACATACACAACTCACATGCACAAACATAGTGAACTCACATAAACATTACCCCACCCTGTATTCCCCCCCCCTACCTCCCCTGGGACCAAGAGCACGCAACAAACAAACAAAACAAGGCAGATTACCAAACAAAAGTAAATAAATTAATACCATAAAATACATACATAAGTATAATACAGGACAACATCAGTCAGGTAGCATCATAGAGTCAGTTCCTTTACATATTAAATAAACCTGAATAAACTCATCACAGGACCCACTCAGCAAGGACCTCCTGTATCCATCTCTCTAAAACGGGAGGTGTTGATGTTGACTAAAGAAGAAGAGGAGAAGCTTGTTTTAAGGACTAACTGTCACAGCTCTGAAATAAAGGATAGTAATACTAGAAGATAAATACCACAAACTCTCACAAACATTCAGTACTCAATTTCTAATTCAGATGGCTGTAGTGACAGATGAAAAGTAACCTACCATCATTATAAGTCCCTGAAGGAGGAGTTTTTCAGTTGTCTTTGCAGCGGCGGCTCACATGAACTGCTGCCATGGCTCTAATCCAAAACACTGGGCTGAAGTGGATAGTAACGGTGTCGTGTGTCAGTCAGTCTGCCAGCGAGGGTACGGTCAGCGGCGTGGAAAGTTTTACAACTGTGATAGATGGAGGATCCGTCTCATTATCATGTCCCTCAAAACCAACCGGGGGGGGGACACATTTAATCCATCACTATCTACCAGACGCATGTGTAAAAAAAACGACTAATATTGGTTTTATCTTTGGGTCCCGACATTCAGACAATATTTGTTTTAGTTACATCTAAGGATGTCTGGTTTTGTAAGATAATATTTGTTAGTCTTATGCTCCCGCCTCTAATATGGCCATTGTCTTGAATCCTGTATTTTAGAAAGGCCCCCATCCAAAAAAGTCTCCAAAATGTTTTAATTATGTTATAATTTACTGTTCAATTACGACTCAATTAACAAAAACCATCTCTCTGTCTCTATTTCCTCAATAATCAGTACCAGATTACATTGTTCTGTACAGACTCTTAAAATAAGAGTGTTACTGATTCATAATCAAAGTGATGTGAGAACAGTGGGCACAACTTACTGAATAAATAACCCTAACACATCTACAACTTACTATTAAAAAGAGCTCCTGTTTGTGCCACCGTGAGGTCTGCACCTTGCTGTTTATCTGTTTTTTTTACACAAAACCAAACAAGATGTACAAGATGTTGGAACCTGTTTGGAAAAGGGCAGTTACTTTAAAAAGAATAGATAGCATCAGTTTATTACCTTCTATCACAGGCAGACTTCAACCAATCAGGTCAACAAACCATATAACGTAGCCAAACAGTTGGTGGAAGTGCGCGTGTCGTCACACACACCTAACATTTAACCACACCTTCAGCATGCAGCTCTTCTCCTAGACCTTCTTTTTAACATACATGTGTTTTAGTTGCTGTTGTTGCTCTCCAGTATCTCCTGAGGGAAATATCTGTCTCTTTAGTTGCTAAATGCTTCAGTATGTTCACCAGCTAATCTATAAATGTGTCTGTCTGTGGTGAGAGTGAACCAAAACAGTAAAGTTGTGTACCAAGACAGCTGAGCTACGAGCTAAAGACTTCTGATACGATAACCGGTATCACAAAATCCCTCTAATATTGCCTAATATGCTGTATCAGAGATTGTTTTCTTAAGGCACATGTATCATGTATCAGTACTCTGTAGACACCTTTCACATTGTCCCATTGAAATATTGATTATAGTTGACATATATGTAATATATAGAAAATTATATAGAACATTATAAAGATGATGTCTCTCTCTCTGTTGCAGTGAGCTAAAGTGTTGAAGGATGGACCGGGAGCTGGTTCGACAGAGCCAATCAGAACACGGAGAGGCCACCAATGGAACCAGCCCTCAGACCTCCGCCACCACCCCTACGACCCCCACCCCTCCACGGCTCACCCCCAACCCCATGCTCCTGGACTCCCCTGCACCCACACTGACGCCCACCACCTCCTCGCCTCCCCCACCCCTCACCCCTGCTCCCTCCGTGACGGCCACCCACGGCCCAAAGCTGGCGGTGGCGACAGCTGCGTCTCCCCACATCCTCGTCCCCGCTCCCCCAAAACTCACCCCCCACTGCGACCCCCGCCCTCCGCACGTACTCTCGTCCAATCCTTCCCTCCCCGACGGGCGTCTCTAAAGCATCTCCTAGCACACAAACCTCCCCCTCCTCCTCCTCCTCTCTCCTCCCTCCGTCCTCCTCCTCTTCTTCCTCTCCTGTCATAGCCAGCACCACCTCGCCCCTCCTCTCCTCTTCTTCACACAGCAGCACCACCACGTCAACCAAGACCTCCACCAGCCTGACCAACGGGAACACCAGGCCTGTGTCGACGTCGACCTCCACACCAATCACGCCCTTTCACACACCAGCCAGTCCACCTGGCAGACAGGTAATGGACCCTAACCACATACACAAGTTGAGGAGACACATGATCCCCAGATATCACTTTAAAGGAGTAGTTTAATGTTTGGGAATAAATCCTGGAAATACACTTAAATATGAAGCTCCAACCAGCGGCTGATTAGCTTAGTTTAGCATAAAGAGGGAAAACTTGTGGTTTTACGGGACGTTAGGTGCTAGACGTTTGCTTTTACACTCGGGTCTCAGTTACAGTTGGTCAAATCACATAACACCGAATGTCTTCAGTGATTATTTTATGCATTTTTCCATGTTGAAAACTGTGGTTAGCCATCCACGTGCAATCCCATTATGCTCTAAACTCAAACACACTGCACAGTGAAATATCATGAGATTTACAGACAGTGTCATTTTAGAATTGGTACATCAGAATATTTCAGACGCTACACAGCCAACGATAAAGCTGACCACTGGCACAGTGTGCGGCGTTTAGATTAAAAACCTTTCCTCTGCGCTCCAGATTCAGATTATTTGAACCGTAATCCCGTTGACTGCTGACCTTTCAGCGCATGCACAAACAGATTACTGCTGATTAAGAAGCTTAAGTGCATCTCAAGAGTTTCCAGACATACAGCATTTACCTAATTTAATAATGAGAGTGTATTGGCTTTTGTTCAACACAAATGTAACAGTTATTATATGTAAGTTATATCACGATGAACTGCTGATTGATTGTGCCGTCTAGGTCAGTGTTTGTCTGCGTCTGACTGTTCGGTTTCCTCTCGCTTTCATCTGTTTCACAGCCTCAGGTGTCAGATCTCGGTCTCTGTTTGCTTTGTGTATAACGTATGTGAGCACACGAACGCACACGTACGCACACGTACATACATTCACAGACGTACAGGCGCTGCTGTATGTGTTCTATCTCCACTTGAAGCACGAGTGTCGTTGTGGAAAATAAGAAATGTCTTGGGTTTGATCATTTTACTGTCACATAAGTTATTTAAGTGCTGTTTAAGATCCGCTGCCTTACACGCTTATTTTTTAATGCGATTTAAGAAATACTTGAGTATTTGATGCTCCAGATAAAGAGTTATTTTTGTATTTCAACCCCACAGCAGGTAAAGTGAGAATTTGATAGTCAAAATAGTAATAGTCAGTGAAGTATTCCCTTTAACTGCACACACAAAACGCAACTCTTCTCCAGTACATCGCGTTATTCACCTCTCGGCTTTATTGCCTTCGTCAGGAACATCAGGAGCTGTAGTCAGTCCCTCCAGGAAGTCGCAAACGCAGCAGTTAACACAAATTCAGGTTTCAAGTCAGGTTTCACCAATCACAGCAGTCCCTCGCACAAAACATTGAGCCGTACGTACGCCTACTCCCCATTTTATTCTCATTGGAACAAATTGCAGCTGGTTTTCACATTCTCCAAAAAAAAAAAACATGTACTGCAATCCCCCAAACAAGCCAGTGAAATCCTGCAGGGACTGATTAGTTAGAGTTAGAGGATGTCACCTGAAGATTGACTTTGAAATTCGCTCATGTTAAGAGATGGAAGAGATTTGTGTATGCTGGGCTTGAAGGTTGAAAAATAAAGATTTACCTTTGTTATCAATCGATGGATTAATATCAACGATTATATTCTGTAAAGAGCGTTTTTAAAAGTTGGTTTTAATATTGTATGTTTTACTTTCATGGCCATTTATATTTGTCCTGTATGTTTGTGTATCCACTTGGAGCAAATGTCGTATTTTATAGTAACTGAAGAAGATAATGATGATGTTTTAGTCGTATTAATGATTTATAAGTCACATGTCACCCTGATGAAAGCTGAATATTTTTGCTGAAGAAAGCATGGCGTAGTGAGGAGGAATTTTTTGCAGTCTGTACCTGCCACATTTACATCCTGCTTGTAATGAAATTTGATATGTAAATAAAAATTTCCTTGCTTTGCCTAGATGCTATCTGAGCTGTCAGGGGCGGGGTCAGTAAGGCCTCCAGCCAATCTGTCTAGTGAACCATGAATTCTGCTGGTAGCATTTTGTTTTGAGTTTCTTTAGAAATATAATTTATATCACAACTTTTTGAATGTTTACTCTTTTGGTTTCCACCCTTTGTACACACACACACACACACACACACACACACACACACACACACCACTGTCTTCAAGGAAATGTAACAAGAAGACGTTCTTGCTCTAAATCTCTCCCTGATTTGCCTCCCTTCCCTCCCTCCCCTCCTCTCCTCCCTTTTGTTCCAGGTATCACAGGCTCATCCTGTGGGCACACCTGGTCTTGTGCGAGCCAATCAGAGCCCCTCCCCTGTCAGGCAGAGGGTATCCCAGCAGGCATTGCTCCTAGGGAAAGGTCTCAAAGGGTCTGGCCAAGACCAGGTGCTGCTTAGAGCTCAGATGGTAAACAGATACACACACAAACCCACATTTACATAGATTTCTATGTCTACTGCGGTTGGCTGCTGCTAGCAACGTACAGCACAGGGAGCAGAGAAGATTACCAGTATTAAAATGAGATAGTAGCAGGGAGTGGAAAAGGTTGGAGGGATGATACATTCAAGTTATGTAGGAAATACAGACGCTGTAAGCTTTCTGCTTGCAGCTTAGGTTTTAAGCAACAGACCAGAAACATCTGAAGAGACAACGACAGGTGTACATGAGTGTATAATAATATAGTAATAATGTTTGTTATTTAAATGCAGCGTGTATCAGAGAAGCACTGTCTAATTAAGTTAGAAGAAAATAAAAAATAAAAAAAAAACTTTTTATTGCACTTTTTAAGCAGAGAAACGTCTCAAAGTGCTTCACAAAACAGGATTATAAAGGGGAAGTTAAATTAAACGGAAAACTAGAGCATAGAAAAACATCAACAATAAGTATAATACTTGATAATAAAAAAATAGTTGATGAATTGAATATCTGACAAATAAGAAATTGATGGAAAGATTTAAAACTAAACTAAACTAAAACAAATTATAAACAGTGTCACAAAATCTGATAAAATGTTTAGTGTTTAATGGTTTACATTATCATATCCCCCTTTCATACATCAAACATTAAAAACTATTCAATCTGTTAAGTAGAAAGTCAAAAAAAAAAAATGAATTGATCTACTAATACTATTTCTCAAACTATGGTACCTGTGGTATAAATGCATATTAAACAGAGTTTTTAATGTGCAGGTGATTTTTTTAAAAATGACTTTTTTTCACATTAAACAAAAATATAGATCTTGCAGATGTTTCTTAATGTGGGAAAACATTATTAAAAATAAATAATTATTTGATTATTCTTATCAAATCAAATCAAATCAAATGTGTATTGATCCACCGCTAAAAAATAGTAAAAAAAACTACAGTGAGCAGCATTTACTGAGCTTTTCTTACATGAATCTATATATTTGTGAGGTGTTATTGATGGTTTTAAAATAAGTTTGACTCTCAGATGTTTCTGTAATATCCTAAAAAAATGAAGAAGAGGTAAAGAAAGGGAATATTATTCAGTGAGGTCGAATGAGTCACACAAACATATTCTCCTCCAGCGCTCGAGACTGTGTGCTTTAATCCCTGCTCTCCTCTTTTTATTTCCTCCCGTTTATTCTCTCCTTTTCTTCCTGCAGCTGATTCTTACGTCTGCTATGCGACCTGCCTTGTCCTCTTCTTCCTCCTCCTCTTCTTCCTCTCCCCCTTCCTCTAACCCTGCCTCCGCTCAGGTGAGCAGCCGACCAAATCCCACCTATCTTGTGTGCGCATGTATGATGTTGAATTGTCTGTTCGCTAAGCCCCGCCCCCTCCAGTTCATCAGTGTTGAGTTAAATGAAGCTAACTAAATATAAAGCCACAGCTTACAGCCTTTTACTGTAACTCTTTATGAATGAACCTCTCTTGCTTCAGCTCTGTGTACAGTGCATCAACATGTGACAGACAAACCCGCCCAGTGCCTAGTTACAGTTGCTAAGCTGTTATTGGACAATCACTTCTTGGGGGAGGGGTTTAGCGAGCGGTCAATGCTTGAACACCTTGAATCAAATTCTTAAAGTGGAGATCTAACTGAACATCTCTCTTTCTGTCTCCCCTCTCCTTTCCAGCTCCAGAGTCTCACCCTGAGGCCTCCTCCCCCCGGGGCCCTCACCATCCCTCCCTCCCTCCGCCTCAAGCCCCCCTCCTCAGCACCGCCTCCCCTCTCTCGCCCCCACGCCCCCCTCTTCCCACCTCTAAGGCCGCGACCGCAGCCCAGCACCACGGCAACAGAGAGCCCAACAACGCCCAGCCGCCACCTCTCCGTCCCTCCTCCAAGTAGGTCCCAGAAGGAAACTGAGCCTGGTGTGATAATGGGGGAAGACGTCGCTCCTCGCTGTGGGCTTTATCTAGGTTTTATACTGACCTTTAAAGTTGCTTTAGAAATTACTTTAGTAAAGTTTGTTTAGTTACTGATACTTAATGTTAACTAAAAGTTCTGAGAAACCTGGAAACTTAGAGGCTAGTTTTCCAGTCATGGAAACACCTGGAAGATGGAAATAATCTATGTTAACCCCTCACTCAGATCACCTGCGTAAACCTAAAGGAAAACTGTAGTATCACTGGAGACGCTGCAGCTGCTGTGGTGAGAACAGCGTCCCATAAACCCTGACCACCACCTATCTGTAATGAACCTGAGTTACTTCATCATAAACCTGCATCATTAAAAAAGGAGGAATAAAACTGGGAAAATGTGTCAATACTGGGACTAGATATAAAATATATAACCTTTTTGTATTGTCAAGAAAAAAACAAGACAGGAACAGAAACAGGATTCTGTAAAGTTAGAAACAGTATGTTCATTCTCTCTTCAGTGGAAATTGTACTTTTATAAGCAGCAACAAACTGTTATTAAGGCTGATGATTGAAGTTTTATTGAAGCAGAAAATAATAATGAAGAGTACAGACAGGTTGTACCAGCGACGTCTTCCTCAGGTAACCTGATCCATTCATACTATATAAATACAGCTATTCACCGGTTGTGCAGTGATCTGACTCATAATTGGGTTGTCAGTTTCAGTTCAGTTTTACTTCCTGCCATACAGTAACTGCTGAATGATGTATTTTGCATCATATCTCCTGAGCCAAACGTGATAACACAGAACATGTAATGTCAATCAGCAAGTTTCATGCTTTTTAGGAAAAAGTAGATATAAAAATCACCTCAAATTTGCAACATATCGTCTGGACGAACAGACTTAGTTTTCATTGTGTTCCCTTTCCAGGCTCCTATAAATGATTCCAATAATACAATCCTAGAAGAAGTCACTTTGAGAAACTGATCACAACATGCAACCTGTGAAGAGTCCAAAGTAAACGCAGTTGTAAAGCCAAGACAACAACAATACTCACTTTACAACAATAGAAAACAGAGGAAAGCTGCTGGAGAACTTCAAACCAGCAAATATTTGTTGCAGCGAGCGAGTGCTCGTATTAGATTAACATTTTGTCAGCGGGAACAGTTTCTATCAGTGCTCTGTTCTGTTCTCAGTCCTGAATTTTGCAATAACCACGTCAACATTTGTTAACAGAGCTTATGAGGGGCCCTTTTCCTCGCTCTAAAAAAGGTCCAGGCTGGAGGTCAACGCTCACCCGGAGCAATCAGAGCCAGGGGTACTGACTTTCTGAGTTGTTTGAACAAAGAGAAAACAAGGATGAAGCAACAGGCATGAAATGAACATTAGGAGAATTTAAGAAGCTTAATGTCAACACCTTGAATCAGAGTTTCTCCCTGGGAGCTGTCAGTGAAGCCCCAGGTGTTTTAGTGTTTATCTCAGAGCAGATTACACCGGAGCAGCTGGGGGTTTCATCTCTAACACTGCGGGATCCAGCTGTTGGAGCATCATTACAGATGAACACCTTAGCATTTAGTCAAGAGTTGAGATACCGGCCAATTAAAAGGCAAACCAAACATTTTTTTGGTTCCAGCTTCTCAATATTTACTTATTTTCTTCTCTTCCTGCAGCTCTTTACTCTCCAGTTCGAGCCGTCCCTCTGAGACCCAGACTTCACTCTCCGAACGGGCACAGAGCGGCGTCGCCAAGGCAAACCTCATCCCTCCAACCAATCGCTGCTGCTCCTGCCAGTCACGCCTCTCCCATCAGCCGGCAACTGGCTGGACTAAAGAGCTGTCCGTTAACTCAAACTATGCTCGGGCCCAGCCAATCCCAGCACAGCTCATTATCTGTGACCAACCCCATGTCTGTCTCCTCCCATTTCGAGCGCTCGCCCTCTGCGGCGAGGCAGCTACAAATCATTGCCCTCTCTTCGGGCCGCCAGTCGCAATCCAGCACGTACACCCACACTGTGCAGTCGGCGCCTCCGGTTGTAGAGTCGCCTGAGCTGTCCAGCCAATCAAAGAGGACTCTGGGCGGGGAAGACGTGCTTCCTCTTCCTTTGAACCCCACGTTGCCAAAAACCACCTCTCCTCTGCCCTCGCCTCCGTCCCTCCTGAGTCCAGCATCCCCTTCGAGTCAGGCCGGTCCTCAAACACAAACTCTGACGCAGAAAGGAGAGCCGAAGGAGAGCGAAGACCAGCGGGAGAGAGGGCGAGGGGTGAGACAAGGAATCCGAGATGAGGGGAGTGTTGGTAAGGACCTGAAGGTGGAGAAAGATGACCAAAGAGAGAAAGTGAAGGAGGAGAAACAGAGGCTTTCAACTGAGAAGGAAGGAAGCCTCGTCAGTCAGAAGGAACCGGAAGTCCAAACAGTCAGAGAGGAAGAGCAAATGGAAGTGACAGAGGAAGGTCAGAGTGACAGAGAGAGGGCGGAAAGGGTTGAGGAGAAAAAGATGGAGGAGGAAGAGGAAGGCGAGACCGCTATGGACCAGTCTGAGAACCTGAGCACTCAGGTTCTCCCTCCGTACCAGAACGCAGATCCTACTCCAACGCCCGTTAAAGACTCCAGCTTGGAACCAAAACCCATCCTGGGTCTCATTTCAGCCTCAGATCCAGTCCAAACCCCTGCTTCAGTCCCAGTAACTGCACAAGTACCAGCTCCGGTCCCGGAGGTCTCTGTCCAAAGTCAGAGGCTACCAGAGTCTCATCGGGACCTCCAGCCGGTCAGCCAGGAGGACTTCTGTGAGAACATGTCAACACAGTCCGACAACCAGTCAGGTACCTTCAACCACACATCTGTACACACACACACACCAACTGTTTCCACTCTCCACTGTACGGCTGATGGTTCTAAAGATTAACGTTTCAGCCCCAGTTTGAAAAATATGTTGCAGCGTTCTTGGCGCAAACAAAGACAACATCCACTTTCTACCTGTCACAGAAGCAAAGAGGGACTTTGGGAGAGGGAAGGTCAAATTTAATTCAATTCAATTCAATTCAATTTTATTTGTATAGCGCCAATTCATAACAGAAGTTATCTCAGGACACTTTTCAAATAGAGCAGGTCTAGACCGAACTCCTTATAACATTATTTACAGAGACCCAACAGTACCACCATGAGCAAGCACTTGGCGACAAGGGCAAGGAAAAACTGCCTGTTAAAAGGCAGACACCTAGGACAGACCCTTCGGCTCTAGGTGGGTGGTCGTCTGTCTCGACCAGTCGGGGTGAGAGAGAGAGAGAGAGAGAGAGAGAGAGAGAGCGACAGACAGACAGACAGGTGCATAGCAACAACAGTATTGGCAACGGCAATCTAGCAGGACCATGGCAGGAGGCTCCACCAGGATCGACAAGAACCTGCGAGACGAGAAAGCACAAGAACTCCGGGGAAGAAGTGAAGTTAGTAACATGCATTAATGGGACATGAATGAGTGCAGAAAGAGAGAGGAAGGGAGGAGCTCAGTGCACCATGGGAAATCCCCCGATAGTCTAGGCCTATAGCAGCATAACTAAGGGATGGTTCAGGACTCACCTGATCCAGCCCTAACTACAAGCTTTATCAAAGAGGAATGTCTTAAGCCTACTCTTGAATGTGGAGAGGGTGTCTGCCTCCAGTACCACAAATGGAAGCTGGTTCCACAAGAGAGGAGCTTGGTAACTGAAGGCTCTGGCTCCTGTTCTACTTTTAGAGACTATAGGAACCTGATTAGGATCCATCAGGTCACATTTGTGGTAAAGTCTTTGAGATTATCTTCTAGCACAAAACAAGAAAATGGCTCTTTGCTCTCCTGTAAAACCCCTGCAGACAATTCTCACAGTGGAGACATCCTGTTTACAACAAATGTGACAACAAAAGTCACAGGAGTAGGAAGGGCTGGGCCATATAGCCTAAAGATACACATACACATATTTTTCTTAAAAACAAACTCCGAAGGACATCATCACTGGGGTCCCTTCTTGTCTGTTTTACCTTTATTTAACCCGTTAAGTCAACTGAGAACCAATTCTCATTTACTTTGACGACCTGGCCAAGAGACAGCGACAGGAGTCGATACGACGAGTTAAAACATACATACAGCAAATGCAAAGAACAATACAGTTAGACAGAGTTAAAACAGCACGATATGTACAGAACAGAGATCAAAGCAGGTTTAAAAGCAGGTGAACAGAAACTAACGCAGGTGCCGAGTTATCAAAGGAGGATAACGGAGGGTTTAGTGACTTTTGCTGACCGATCACCGATCTAACTCTGCTCATTGTCTTTGCTCCTCCCAGCATTGTCCAGCCTCTCCTCTCAGTCTCCGCCCTCCTCGCCCTTCATCACCCCGTCGGCAGAAAACCCTCCTCCCCTCCTCCCCGCTCAGGCCGCCCGGCCGACCGACCTCAACCTATCGCAGCACGAGACAGAGAAGGTCGACAAAATGGTCGCAGACGAGTCGCAGCAGCACCGGGCCGCGACCGAGACTGAGACCGAGCCCCTCGGCCAATCGGGAGACGAGTCGGAGAGCTTCGGCCAATCGCTGAGCAGCCCCTGGGAGCCGAGGGCGTGGCCTGAGGGGCGACAGGTTCTTACTCACCTGGTGGAGGGATTTGTCATCCAGGAGGGGCTCCAGCCGTTTCCTGTACGGACACACACACACATACAGTATTTATTTTACTGGAGACCAAAAGCTTCAGATATTATATTACTGATGTTACATACAGTTAGAAAACACATCAAACCCACTACAAGTAGAAACAGTCTCTTTATGACCTACATAAACAAACAAGACCATCAGGGTTTTAATGTTTTTAATAGTTAGAAATTTACAGGCTAATGTTCAATAAAAAATGCTATATTTGTCAGTTAATTTAATTATTTTACCAACTGTAGTGGACATCAGTATCTTAATGTATTAACTGTAATAACTGAAGCATTAACGTACCTGTCTGTGTAGGTAAATGCTACAGAAAATTTGCATTTATCCAAAGTAATAAACAAACTATAGTTACTAAGCATTTCTATAGTGGGGAAGAAGTCTTTTCTGAGGAATAAGAATAGAGAACTGATATTAATTCAATACAGAAAAAACACACCGCCTGATGTAATAAAATGAGTCTAGGTGACCTGCAGCCATCACTCTCTCAACTAACCACTGGAATAAATATCTAGATTAATACAAATGAAATCAAAAGAAATCTAAATATTAAAGCTTTATACAAATCTGCATTAGATATCACTTTATTTACACTTTTCATAAACCATAATCTGACCCTCTTAATGTGCAGCGGTAACGTGCACCAGCTCCTGGCAGCACTTTCCCAGTAGTAGTGATAATAGTGGTGAATGCACATAATGGTGTAATGGTGCTCGCTCACTTTAAGTATCATAAAAGCTCCGACTGCCGCTGTTAAAACTTTTATCAGCTACAGTTTACAGAAGTTTGGAGCTCTTGTTCAGTAAATGTATCTTCAGTAGCATGAAGTCACTGTTGTCTCCAGCTCCTCACATTTACACAGCTGATCATTTAACCTACTTTAGCAAAGTGGGAGAAAATTCATGTTTCCTGTGTGTAGAAATTTAAAATAAATAAATATAAAGATATGGATGGGAGGATTTCTCCTCTCAGATTGTAAAAATATATTTTTTATTGCAGGTGAACCGCTCCTCATTGCTGGTTCCAGAGCAGGTGACCAAACCACAGGAAGTCAACGGGACCAATGGGAAAGCAGCGTTACCGGTGACAGACACAATAAAACAAGCTGAGCCGTCCACTGACTCCGAGCAGGAGGAGGCCGGAGACACAGACGACCCCGGGAACAGTGAGTGGACGGTTTATAAACTACCTGTGTTAAAACTGTAGCTGAGGTCAGAATGGGGTCTGGGAAGAGAAAAGCTCTCCTATTTTGTAAAAATCTTTAAATATATAACTTGATTTTGCACTGAGATGAATATATATCTATTATATGGTCATTTACTCATGATTCAAACACTTAAAAGCAAAACTTAACCTCTTAAATGCCAGGAAAAAGGGCACACATTCCCTAAACTAAACCACTCACTCAGTGACATTTGTCATTGTAAGTTACTGACTGAATCAGTATCCCATTACCAACAATGCATTATCAAAGGTGAGAGTGTGTTCTCAGTAAACGATCAATTAGTGTCACCGTGAATGGAAACCTTCCTTTGTGGATTAAAAAAACTGAACAGGGATGCTGACGTGGTCATTTCTCAACCGTTAGGTGTGGAAGCTTCTTTAAGGCAGTAACTGAAAATAAAGGTGGTTTACCTAACACTTGTTTTCATACTAGATTAATATTTTATTAGCTAAATATTTGGTTAATAAAATCTTAGAAAAAAGTCTTAATAACTTCCCATCCTGTGAAAAACATGTTGTTGCTCCTATGGTTTAACTTCTCACCTTGCAGCTGTGGTGCACAGCTCACTCTGGGCGTGGTTACACATTTCTGACCACACTCAACCACTGATGTTGGGTGTGGTCAGACGTGAAACATGGCCGAAACCTTCAGAAAGTAGCAAAATCCTGCTTTTCAGGCCTCATTCTTTTTCTCCCTAGCCCAGGGTCACATATTTAAAGTCCTCCGAGCACGAGCCTGTGTTGAAAAACAATCTAAAAAACTGCTGCTATAATTTAGAAAATGTATATTTTGATACTGTATTGTAGTGTGAGTAACAGTGGACTAACAAACTTTTACAAAACTATACGTTCGATCCTTCAAGATTTGATTTGAGTCATTTTTCAAACAAACATTCTCTGGTTACAGCTTTGGTACTTTTCTTTCTCTTATGTGACAGAAATCTCAATTATTGATGATCAAAACAACCGGAAAAGAAAATAATAATCGATAATGACAATAATCAATAGTTGCAGCTCTAATCTTCTCAATAAGAAGCAATTTGACACTTTCCTTTGTTGCATGAAGTAGTATAAAGAGGACTTGAAATAGTCTGGTCTCACTTGGTGTAATGAAGGTATTTATATCTGCAGCTGCACTTTAAGATGAGATAAGACTTTATTGATGCCACAGAGGGGAAATGTAGCTTCAGATACACAATAGATAAGGCTATACACATTCAATAACGATATAAGGAGGCGGTATGGAAGAGAGAGAGTTATATATGTGATTTATCTATTTCCTGAAAGATTAACACCTTGTGCAGCTTTATCGGCTCTGAAATGTAACACAGTTGACCGTGAATGTGTTTGTCTCGCACATACAGGGTCGGCCCACAGGGACAGGACAGTGCTGCACTGCCAGTTCTGCGGGAAGAGAGGCCACGCACACAACTTCATGCGGTCCAAGCGCTTCTGCTCCACTTCCTGTGCACGCGGGTGAGACCTGATTTCATTGGCTCACAATTCAAGAAGCAGCTTTTTGTGCAGCGTGACCTTCAGACAGAGTTTCTGAAATGCAGCAACGTCTTTAGGGGGAGTTGCTGTCACAGCAGCAGCAGCGCTGACAGGATGTGGTGTGCGGCCTGAGTAGAAACACACAGGTGTTAAAAACAAATATGAGTGTGAATCAAAGCAGCAGAGCGAAGAAACACACCACTTCTCTCATTGTTACTCTGCCCTCCTTCTCCCTTCTTCTGTGTCTCTGTCAGGTTTAACGTTCGTCTGACGAAGCGTCTGCGGGCCCTGAGTGCAGGCAGTCGGTCAGAGAGGCCCCGCCCAGCCCTGAACAGGGCAGAGTCCGTTCCTGGGAAACCTCTGTTACTGCGACTGGTAGGGACCCTGAACTCACCACAGTTTGAACTCACTACACTGACGACTGGAGTTTACTTCACATACATTTCTCTTTCTAGAGAATGTGTTATATTTCATTCAGGAGAGAAATACAGTCTGTATCTCACACTGAAACATAAAACCCCACATAGAGCTTCAACTTATGAGTGTTTTAGTATTTTTGCTTCCTACAAAAAAATACTGAAAAATGCTCGTTAGGTCTAAAACTCTGACGTGCATGAATTAATTTAGCGAAATAGATGACCTGATCCAAGTAGACCCAAAGAGGCCACGAAGACAACAATACACTAAAACATACCTATAAAGATTATATTCCCTTTCTGCCAATAGATCCTCATCAATGTCACACACTGGACCTTTCATGTAATAAATATGAGCTTGAACATCAATAAAAGGGTTGCTTTTCAGGAAAATGTCACAATAAAAGTCTTTTCTGATAAACCGGAAACAGGCAACAACAGAAAGATGTAATCTTTAGCATGTTAGTTCCTGGATATGTAGAGACTCGTTTTCCAGTCGTGGAAACACCTGGAAATTCTTTAAAATGAACAAATATCCTGGAAATAATCTATATTGTCCTGGAACAAGTTAATTGTATTTTAGACCATCATGCCTATGTAATCCTGGGTTAGAGGAAATTATATTATATCATCATGAACAAACTGTGTAAATACCAGGCCTACTGTTTGTGAGCAAGCGCTGTCCTGTATTGTCAAGAAAACTCCTGGAAAATGATTTCTTAAAAACAGTGGGAACCCTGAACGTTAAGATTCTTTTATATGTTAAATTAATAAACCAAAATATGTCCCGCAGACTATTTAACATTAACCTGCTGAAGAAAGTTTCCTTTGTGGTCAGCTCAGAGTCACTCGTCATAAACATCCACAGAAGCTCTTTAACCTCCTGCTGCTGTTTAATCTGCATCTCATCTGTCCACATAAAGCTAAAACACACTGATTACGTCTCAGTCCTTAAAAATAACACTTGATTAGTGTTTTTTAGACTCTATATATGAGATTATGACTGTAGACTGTAGCTCATTTATGGATATAATTGAACATTTAATTAAGTTTGAGACTTGAGAGTTTGGAAAATGTGAAATTAGCTACTAAAACTGTCTTTGTCTTTGTTTTTATTGACTTTATTGCAGTTGGAAGTTTCTTGTAGCCTCTAGTGTCCATCAGAGGAACTGCACTGTTAGCACCCAGCTGTGAGTGAGGGCAGGGTTATTCAATGGTGGAAAGTAACTAAGTACTTGCAAGTGTTGTAAATAGGTACTTTTATTCAAGCAGCTACATTTCAGAGAGAAATATTGTACTTTTTAATTGTAAAACATGAATTTGACAGCTTTACCTTTCAGATTAAGAGTTTACATAAAAAAAAACATGATAATCTTCTAAAATACAATAAATTAGGATTAAACCAGTTGTTTCAAACCTTTTACACAATAAAACCAGTGTGTAGCTGTGGCCCCTCATCATGTTTCAGTCCAATATTTCACAAAGCATTTGTTATTGTTGTATTTATTCAGACTTTGAGGAAGCAAACATTTTCTGAATCTGGATACTCGAGTATCAAAGTGATGAAGGATGAACTCACCTGTCTTCTTTACCTCTTTTTTTCTCACAACTCGCAGCCTCGTGATCTCTGGAGCGCCGGGCGGCGAGAGAAGGAGGGGAAGGAGAAGGCAGCAGCGGCAGAAGAGGAGGAGGAGGAGGAGGACATGCGGGGAGGAGGGGAGGAGGAAGACGATGATGCTGGGGAGGAGGATCCCGCCATCGCCATGACAGCCAGGATGGAGCGTCGGGCGGCGCGGAGAGCGAGGAGGGCGTCTGCGCCCGCCTTGACCACCTCTTCGCCCACGACCACGTTCAAACCCGCCCCCTCGCAGTGGAGCGTGGAGGAAGTGACAGCCTTCATACACACACTGCCAGGTGAACACCGACTGCGTATTAAACAAATCGCTCTCATGTGGAGTCTCTGGACGCCGTTCAGCTTCTGTTGAAACTGTCAGTTTGATTTAAACAAACACTCGAGTGTCTAAATCGTCAGCAGATGACGAACGGCGGGGGGGAGCTCAGTAACAGCTTCTATATCCCCCCCACGTACAATTAAGTGTTTCGCAAAACACTTAAATTAACCGCTGGGTGAGGTAACGTGCATACTTTTAACCACCAACTGTCAGCGCGAGTGACATCACTGTGAAACATCTGGAAGGAAAACAAAACACAGTGAACACTGCGGGTGTCGTTCCCAAGCGCAAATCTGTAGATATCTGCAAGTTCACCTCACAAAGAGGATGTCATTGTGAACATTGGAGAAGGTTTCAGGAGGCTCCTCACTTTAATAAGTTTAGAATCATATAATATATATAAGATATAATGCTTTAGCAAGTAGATTAAACTCCAACAAGAGCAGCATGGGATCATGGGAGTTGTTGTCTTCACCACTGGCGTCATTGCAGTCAGCTTCTCCCGGTTAGGATTCCTTCAGTGTTCATGGTTCAGGAGGTTTCTACCGGGAGCCCAATGATCCACAGAGGTCTCCTCCTCTCCAACACAAACAGACCCGCTGATTAAAACCACTAAACACACTGAATAAAGCAGTTCCACCTTAAACACACTGAATAAAGCAGTTCCACCTTAAACACACTGAATAAAGCAGTTCCACCTTAACAATCACTGCTTCTCCCACGCTGTTGGACAGACAAAGGACGTCCCGGAGGGGCTGCGAGCCGAGCTGCTGCTAACGTTAGCTCAGCTTGTTTCTCTGATAACTTAAGATCCAGACGTCTGATGACTAAAATCCTTCATCCGGTTCAAATCTAGAGTTAAAAAGCACCAAGATCTAAACAGTGGATGGTAAAAACGCAGCGTGTCTCAACTACATATAGAACATAAAGCCATATTATAGCTTTTAAAAAGTATTGTTTTGGTTTATGAAACTCTGTCAATGACTAAAATAAACTAATTGAACCAATGGAGGGTTCACTGGAGGGGTAAAATAATGGAAACAAGGTCAGCAGTTCTTCTTGTTGTGTTGAAACAGGAAACTTCCTGTTGATTTCCCTTCATTTGAAGATGGATGGAGGTTTTTCAAACCGCACTTTGGTCCAGAACTTATTTGTGCTGTTGTGTTTCAGGCTGCAGTGACGTGGCGGAGGCTTTCCGGCTGCAGGAGATCGACGGCCAGGCCCTGCTGCTGCTGACCGAGGACCACCTGATGACCAGCATGAACATCAAACTGGGGCCGGCTCTCAAGATCTGCGCCCACATCAACTCGCTGAAAAACCAGTGAGAGAAAACACAGACAGACGGACAGACAGAGGAAACAAGAAGAGAAGGTCAGGGCGGGATGTCGAAGGAAAACAGGCAATAAAGATGCGCGAAAACCGAAAACGGAGGAAGTTTAAAGGAGAGTTTTTTGTGGTTTACGGAAAAAAACAAAAAAAGCTGACACCAAGGATGACAGAACAAAGTCACAAAAAGAGATTTGTGGTAATTTATGAGATTATAAATCGAGGTGTGGCCTTAAGACGGGAACAGAGGAGGTTTTTTGCAGAAGCATGAAGACACCAGAAGAAAATGTCGTCCAGTTTCGGGCCCTCTGACTGTAGCAGGAGACCGGGGGGAATTTTTGTAACTTTGTGTACATTTTACATGCCGCTGGAGAAAGTGTAAATTTGAAGCTATTTCATGAAGGATTTTGAACATTTAATATATAAAATTTGTCTATTTAGTTTTTTTAGAACGTGACGTCCATGACAAATCTATCCCGTAGCTAACATAACCGGTGTGTGTAAAACAAAAAATAATAACGATACGTAGACTTTGTAAGTGATTAATGAAAGTTTAATGTTTTATATCACTATATTCTGGACAAAAACTATGTCTGTGGATTAAAAAGAAAGTCACTATCAGGGTAGAGACTGGTGTCTTTAATCGTCACATTTTTATGGTATCCTGCTTGAAATTATTTAATAAATGAATAATTAATCAAATCGATTGGTTTATCTTGTTGTTTGAGAGGAGGTTAGGAGGTTTTGGTGGTGGTTTTCTTTCACCAGCAGAGGGCCACAGTGAGACAGGTGAGTGATAAAGAGAAATCTGTCTTCTATAAAAACAAACTGATTTGAATTCCTCTCACCAGTTTCCTTCCGGTGCTTCTCCAGATCCACAACCTTTAAATATTCCAGGTCTG